GAGCAACAAGATAATGTGGTGGTGGTGGTGGTGGGGGGAGTTGCTGACATGTCTTCCACAGAACCATTACTATATTATCTTCTAAATACTGATTTTCATACAAGCCTGGATGTCCATATTTTGTAAGTAAAGGTAAAGGTTCCCTTGCTTGAAAGCCAGTCGAGTCCGACTCTAGGGTTGCGGTGCTCATCTCCGTTTCAAAGCCGAAGAGCCAGCGCTGTCTGAAGACGTTTCCGTGGTCATGTGGCCGGAATGACTAAACACCAAGGCGCACGGAACGCGGTTACCTTCCCACCGAAGTGGTACCTATTTATCTACTTGCAATTTCTTGCTTTCGAACTGCTAGGTTGGCAGGAGCTGGAACTAGAGACGGGAGCTCACTCCGTCATGCGGCACTCAGGTCTTGAACTGCTGAACTACTGACCTTCCACAGCCTGCAGTTCAGCGTCTTAACCACTTGAGCCACCGCAGCTCCATCCATATTTTGTACACATATACAATTTTTAATTCTCATGTCTCACCCTCAAGTTTTTCAGAATTTCAAATCCAAGACATACAGATGATGCTGTGAGGTCAATTTATCTACTATATTTATTTTAGTTATTTATATTCTACTTTTCTTGTGAGATTCAAGGCAGATTGCAACGTATAAAACATTGCAATAAAAACACAATAAGAAATACAATAAACAATGCCATATGACTGGATTACAAAATTTTAAAAAGCAAATAAAAACAATATAAGACATGCCATACCATTGTTGTTGTTGTTCAGTTGCACAGTCGAGTCCGACTCTTCGCAGCCCCATGGACTACATCACGCCAGGCCCTCCTGTCTTTTGTCGTGCTCTGGAGTTTGCTTAATTTCATGTTCGTTGCCTCAATAACACTGTGTAACCATCTCATCTTTTGCTGTCCCCTTTTTCAGTTACCTTCAATCTTTCCCAGCATCAGGGTCTTCTCCAGTGAGTGCTCCCTTCTCATTTGGTGGCCAAAGTATTTGAGCTTCAGCTTCAGTATCTGGCCTTCCAGGGAACAGTCAGGGTTGGTTTCTTGTAGGATTTGCAAGGATTTGCCATACCATAGACAATGCAAAGTCTGAATTACAGAAATAGAAAACAATGCAATAAAAACAAGATAATAAATACAATACTGTCATAAACTATAACACTTCCTTTGATAAAAGCAAGTGTGTAAACTAGACATACAGGTGGCAAGTAAGCTCCAGTGTTGCTTCACAGAAGCAACTAGTACATAGCGAAAAGTACAAATCTGCCCCCCCCCCCAACAACATCCTTGAACACAGTAGTAATTAACCTGGCATAAATGACAGCTTCAAGTTCCATACCAGCACTAACACAGATCTCCTATGCTCATAAATACACTTTGAATGAATGTGTTGTTGAGTACAGAAAGTTAAGAGTATTAGGAGATAACTAACTGGCAGGAACTGACAGAACTTGGAACTACTGGCACAGACTCAAGACCACACCTCTATACTCTTATGGCTTAATTCACACCTGCCTTTTCATACAACAGTATATTACTCTAGCAGTAACTTCAGTCTTAAAATACTTCTGTTGTGTCCACACTGCCACTTCAGAACTAAACAATTACTGAGAAGCTTAAGAAACAACTGCTGGTTAGCTATGAACCCTACAGCACTAGGAGCAGATCCAACAGTAAACCAATGGAGACTTGCCATTTAATCAATTTATGTCAATTAATTTGACAACAAAGGTTAAAATACACATTACCCGGGGGACTCATGGATGGTGCTGTGATGCTGGGGATTTAACTCTTCTCCAGCAACACACCATGAAGTTTCCCAAATAAATGTTATTATGTGGAGCGGGGAGGTAATAGATAGGGGACATACAGAGTAGCCTAGCCAACTGAGATTAATAAGTGGTGAAAATTCTAGTTGTGAGGCAGCACATCCCTTCAAAGTTCCAGTTGAGGTCGTGATGCACTGTGAAGGGCAGAAAAAAATATGTATTGTTGTAAATCAACCTCCTTGCATGGCCAGAAATGAATTCAGCAATCTGAACACAAGCACATTCAAAACAGCCTTTCTGTTTTTTCATACGTGAACATCAACACTGGGCTCAAAAAGTGGGTTCAGTGACACATGTAAATTTCATCTGAGATAATAGGCATTAACTGATCTTGAAAACTTCTAGTTACTAGTACTTTACCTGACACAACGTTAATCCTAATCAACTTCAGTCAGAACTTCAGGTATCTGAGGAAGTGCTTGTGCACAGGAAAGCTTGCACCTTGAATAAAACGTTGTTGTTTTTAAAGGTGCCACTGGACTCAAACTTTGTTCTGCTGCTTCAGGCCAACACGGCTTACCCAACTGAATGCAACTTCAGTCAGAAACAGGTCTTTTTGATTTCCACTGGGATTTGTTTCCAAATCAGTCGCATCGAATTACATGGAATTTGGTGCCTATCAGGATCGTAGTTTTACAGCTTAGTCCTATGCAGAACTCGCTCGATTCCAATGGTTTAAGGGCGCCTATACTGCTACGATAGTGCCAACAGAAGAGTAAAAAAGGATGCGTGGAAATTGCTAGTGACAAGGACAGACAGGGGTGTAGGTAGGGAGCAGGCGCGCCAGAGCCGGCCAGCGTACACGGCGCTGTTTTAGAGAGCTTCGGGGCGTGGTGTGAGTCAATCCGGGAGGACCAAGATGACGAATGAGCGAGATCCGCTGGCCCAGACAGTGAGCGGACCATACTGCGGTTGCTTCCCTTGTTTCTCGCCCGAGGGGCTGCTGTGAGAGGCCTAGTCTAGTTGCGCAGGAAATCCCGGCCGCCGGCAGGAAAGGGGGCGGGGGGATTGTGGCTGGCGGCGGCGGCGGCGACGACGACGACGAGTGCATTGGTTACCGGCAGTTTGAGCAACGGACTGGGGCCGGTTGTCTGTATGTGTCGGCTTAGGGATATCGCCTGCGCGGCCCAGTCTTGTTCTGAGCGCTGCATGTGCCCCAAAGGCCAGAGAGGCCAAGGCCCCGACGCTCGTCTAATGGGCAGTAAAGCTCTTCTAATGGGCAGTGCAAAAAGCAAACCGTTCCTCTGCTCCCGCTAGGCGGGCGGGTTTCCGTTGCCGGAGTTTAGGGGGTGTAATATGACTCTCTGACGGCGAGCGCGACCTTTTTTCTCCACCCCAAGAGAGCCTGCAGGCGGGGGCGGGGAAGGAAGTTTCACCGGCCGTGCTGAGGTGAGCATCTCTGGCGCACGTTCAGGCAGACTTCGTAGTGGGCGGGGGAGGCTTGGGGTTTGGTAAGTCAGAGGTAGAAGAAGGGTAACAAGTAGTTTGCCTTTAGCAAAGTTAGGTGTTGCTATGGCCTCTTAGTTCGTGTGTCTGTTCTTGTAAGTTCCAGAATTGTGGTGTGTAGCTTTTTTTTAAAAAAAACCCTAACTCAAAAGGTGCAATGGTGTATTCAAGTTATTTTCTCCTTTGGGAATAAGCCCAAGTAAACAGGCACAGCATTGGTCTGGGGAAGTTTTATAGTAGGTGGGTGGTATCAATATATTGTGCTAGTTTTTGAAGTAGTATTAGGGTAAATCTGAGAGGCAAGGCTTTATGTGCTTGAGCAGTAGGTCCTGTGCACTTTCTAGGCACATTGATTTCAGAGTTACGTCCAGTTAAAGTTTTATCTAATGTTATTCCTTGAAGAGTTGAGAGATGTTGAGGACAGGTGGCTGAATGAGAGCAGATCTGCCTCTGACTGACTTCACACCTCATTCATGGAATTCTTACATGCTCATTCCATGTTGGAATTTGCATTAATCCTATATGCACATAGGGCAGTTCCACATGAATGCAATTTGTTGTGATATAGAAGTCACTGCTTCATAAAAAGTTCATAAGGTGACCTGCTGATGGGAAACTTGTGAATGGTGGGGCTGTGTATGCACATAGAGGTGGTGGCAAAACTGGTAAAGGCATAGATTTAGACAGACTGTTAACCAGATCCCTGGAGAAGAAAATGCCTTAGGAAATAATCTTTGGATCTCAATGCCTGTGAAAAATATTTCTAGTTGAAACATGTTAGCTTTTTAGTTGAGTACTTTTTTTTAGCCAGACAGCGACTTGAGCTTCATCCCTCTTCTTATCAAAAAGCTCCTAGCTGTATATGCTGTCCAGCACCATTCGGAGAAGGATGGGTGCAAATGGGAGGACTTGAGTGAGCTGGCCAGGAAGGACACATGGGCTGGTGTTGGGGAAGAGGCATGCAGGCAGGTTGTTGGAAATGGGTATCTGAGTGGAGAATGTGATGGCAAGCGGGGAGGGGGACCTGGACACTCTCTGCCCAAGGCCTCCAAAACCTGGAATCTGACCTGATTTCATGAGTGCTTTGGGGAAGCCCTTATTCTGATAAGAACAAAAGATTAACCCCAAATCGGTCAGTAGGAAACTATCTCTCTGATTCTGTTAGGAAGTGCAGAATTATGGATGTACCCATAAGATCTGAAGGCACTGAGCAATGGCCTCACACTCTCTTATGGCTGTGAGTACTTGTGTATTCTTATTTGGAAGTGTAAAGGAACTATTTTTCAACTGAAGGTCATTGTACATCATTTGCCAGTTAAATAGTGTAGCCCTGTGTAGAGTTACTCCAGTCTGAACTCAATAATTCCATTGGGCTCAGACTGGAGAAACTCTGTATAGGGTTGCACTGTAGATTATGCACATGTTGTCAACCAATAGGAATGTTGGGATTTGCCATTTTTTCCTTTCTACAGAATAGAAGCCTCCTGTTATTGAGAGAATTAAATACCTGCCCAGAACCTTTCTTGCTGCTTTTGTAAAATGAAGTAGATTAATTTTTGTTCTGTATATCACATTTTAGTGTAGGATCATAATTATGCTCCTGTATTTACATAAACACGATGCATCTTTTCACTACCACCATTGCTGCTGTTGAGGAAACAGGAATGATCCACCTTGTCTGGCAGATTAATGAAACAAGTCTTCTGTTTGGTTTAAGATGGAAGGAGATCAAGGGGCCAGCAGGATGAAAATGCAGACGGTCCAATTATTGCCAGATGAACAACTAGTGGCACTGCATCAACAGATGATAGAAAAAGAGGTATCGTATCAACAAAAGTTACAGAGTTCACAGGAAGCACAGCACAGGCAAGCGGTCCTTGTTCAGAAGCTGCAGGCGAAGGTAAATCTTGTTGCATTTCTGATGGTATTGAAACAGGTTAATAAAACTGGATTACAGAATTAGAGAGAAGTGCAACCCCCCCAGTATGTTATTTATGCATTTGATAAAATATTTGTACCCCACACTTTGTCTTGGCTCAGAGTGACTTGTAGGCAATAATTAAAATATTACAAATTATAACCAGTTAAAACCTTCAAATACCTCCCCCCGAAAAGATGTCTACTGTGTTTTTATTTATTACAAGATTAATAATATTAATAAAATACAGTTTATTAAAATCTAATATCCACAATCAGGACCTTATTCATTTTATAAGAATGCTCTCCTGAACAGTTCCACTGTGGAGTGCTAAGAGTATGAGAACCTTTGGTGTCTGTTTTCCCTTGGAAGACAAATAACCACATAGGGAGAGGGGAACTGGAGAAGGAGCATGGGAGAGGGTTAACCTTTCCTCCCTGTGCCATAGCCTCAGGCTGTTTGGGAAAATCTGCTCACAGTTCTTCCCCCTGTCTTACCTGATGTGGCCCTAAATGCAAAATTAAAGATGACGGTGGGGCACCAGCCTGGGCATATTCTTGGCAAGTCACCCAATTCTAAAACATCTCTCAATATTTTTATTTCTTTCTGTAAGCCATTATTTTCCCCATTCCCACTTATATATTAATTTCTGATTCTCAGTACTTTCATGTGATTGTGGAAGATTCCAGAGATGTACTGGAAAGTACTAGACTCAAAATACTTTTTATTCAAGTATAAGAACTATTTGCTGTTAAGTTCTACACAGTTTGGGGGCTGCGGTGGCTCAAGTGTTTAAGATGCTGAACTGTAGACCTGAAGGTCGGTAGTTCGACAGTTCAAGACCTGCGTGCTGCATGGTGGAATGCGCTCCCGTCTCTGGTCCCAGCTCCTGCCAACCTAGCAGTTCGAAAGCAAGCAATTGCAAGTAGATAAATAGGTACCGCTTTGGTAGGAAGGTAACAGCGTTCTGTGTGCCTCGGCGTTTAGTCATGCCAGCCACATGACCAAGGAAATATATTTGGACAGCGCTGGCTCTTCGGCTTGGAAATGGAGATGAGCACCGCATCCCTAGAGTCGGATTTGACTGGCTTTTGAGCAAGGGAAACCTTTATCTTTACTCTACACAGTTTTCTTAGATGTCTGTATTGTTCCGCAGATACACTTTGTTGTCATTTTTTGTATATTTTAATTATATTTCTTTTACTTATGTGGTTATATTTTTATTTGTTGGAAGCTGCTTTAGGATCCATTAGGGAGAAAAGTGGCTAGTATATATACTAGCTAACTATATTTCAGTAGTCTGTTATGCTCTTCTGATGTATCATGATACAGTATGTTGAGGCAGGTGAGTGTGTACAGCCTCTGCATTTATTTATTCAATAATATTTTGTATTTTTTTAGAATCAAAAGACACTTTCTTGGACCACATGTCTGGAGGCTTTCTTGCTTAATTGTTGACTCCATGTAAGCCATTGAGAGCATAGCCAGTGTTTAACTGTAATATATGCATGACTTACTGGTGCTGGGTCTTTATGAAAGCAAACTGATTTTATTGTGTTGTTTATATTCTTAAGAGAGATTTATACCACATAGAAAGCTTGTTATTAAAATTAGGCGTGGCATTTCTTTTCCTTCTATCTGTGTCAGTCTTCTTCAATGACTGAATAAAAATAATGTTCAAGGAGCCCTTTAAGTAGCAGGTGAGCGCTTGTTGTTCGTGTTAATTGTCTTGCTTATTCTATGAGCAGTGTTGAGCCTTCCATCACCATAGTGTAGCAGGCCAGTGGATATTTCATGGAACACTATGCAGGAGAACATATTCACAGCTGGTACAAGCCCCACCTAATCTTGAAACCATTTTGTGCTGTACAATTGTGTTCTGGCAGTGTTTGCATGAATATTAGCTGTAATGCTTTGAAAAGGTACCAAACTTTCTGCAAGCTCCCTGTCTATGGACTGGCATCTCTACAAATATAAGTGGTTTCTTTCATTGGTACATTAGTGCACATGGCTGCAACAAAGTGTTGTTTCATGCAGTGAGCTTTCCTTCCTGCTGTTGAGTGTTAGCATTTTTTACTGTATCAAAGACACATAGGTGCATTTACTAAGCAACAAACTAATGCATGGATAACTAGACAGTTTGCTATTAGAAGCATTGCACTGTTTTGCATACTTGAGAAACTGTTCTTGTACTTTGATGTGGCATGCTGCCTAAAAAACAATTACTTTTGTTTCCCTCTCATTTTATTTACCTATTGAAGCCTGTGAACACCTGTGCTCTTGTTCAGCCTTGTTTTAAAGGGTAACCAATCCTTTGTGAAATTCACAAAGTTTTTCCTGAGCAAAAATGGCAAACCTCTAGCTATAAGAAATATCCCATGGGGTGCTGTTGTACTAGGGTTACCAAGTACCTACTTTTGAATTGGCGGGGGACACATGGTTCCCAGCCGGAACATCCCTTGGTGGAATACATGGCTGCCGCACCATGCCTTCGCCCAGACGTGATGTCAGCACGCTGGGCACATAGCTGGGCGACGCTCTGGCAATGGAGCTGGACCATTGAGTTTCCAGCTCCATTGCCAGAGCGTTGCCCAGCTACGTGCCCAGCGTGCTGGCGTCACATCTGAGCGACGGCATGGTGCGGCACATTTGTTTTCCGCGCGGGAATGTTCCTGACAAGACATATGTGTCCCCCGCCGAATCAAGGTAAGTACTTGGTAAGCCTGTGTTGTACGTATTTACAGATAAACTCATACTCACTATTTGCTTATTAATAATTTTTATTTTGTTTTATTGAAATTTAAATTGCAGAAAATATATAGCAAAACGTGAAGAAAAAAATTCAAAACAAGGTTCTGTTCATTACAGGTGATACAATATCGGAACTGGTGTCAAGAGCTAGAGCAGCAACTGGAAGCAAGCAGAGTAAGTTATAAGGGAAAGGGCTGCTATTTCCCCTCCCCCCCCCAGTACTTCCACTGTTGTTGACAAAGTGCTGGTATAGAGAGTGGGTTGGAAACTTGAAAGAAAATGTTTCTGTTCAGGGGAAACTGATGACTCATTCCTTGACGGTAATTCCTCCCATGTACTTATTTATTGACTTCATTTATACCCCACCTTTCTTCACAATGGAGGCCCAAAGCACTCTACATCTTTCTCCCCTCCATTTTATCCTCACAAAAACCCTGCTTAGGTAGCTTAGGCTTAGAGAGACTGTGACTGGCCCAAAGTCACTCAGCAGTCTTCTATGGCAGTGGGGATTTGAACATGGGTTTCTGAGATCCTAGTTTGACAATGACCAATGAAGAGGACCTAAAGAGCCTCTTGCTCAGGGTAAAAGAGGAGAGCACAAAAGTGGGCTTGAAGCTCAACTTCAAAAAAACAGATCATGGCATCCGGCCCCATCACTCCTTGGCAAATAGAAGGGGAAGTTGTGGAAGTAGTGACAGACTTCACGTTCCTGGGATCCCAGATCACCGCAGACTGTGACTGCATCCATGAAATTAAAAGATGCCTGCTACTTGGGAGGAAAGCGATGGCGAACCTAAACAGCATGATAAAAAGTAGAGACATCACCCTGCCAACAAAAGTCCGCATGGTCAAAGCAATGGTATTCCCAGTAGTCATGTGTGGCTGCAAGAGTTGGACTATAAGGAAGGCCGAGCGCCGTAGAATAGATTCTTTGGAACTATGGTGCTGGAGGAGACTCTTGAGAGTCCCTTGGACTGCAAGAAGATCAAATCAGTCAATCCTAAAAGAAATCAACCCTGACTGTTCCCTAGAAGGCCAGATAATGAAACTGAAGCTCAAATACTTGGGCCACCAAATGAGAAGGGAGCACTCCCTGGAGAAGACCCTGATGCTGGGAAAGATTGAAGGTCAAAGAAGACGGGGACGGCAAAGGATGAGATGGTTAGACAGTGTCATCGATGCAACGAACATGAAATTGAGCAAACATCAGAGTACGGCGGAAGACAGGAGGGCCTGGCGGGATCTAGTTCATGGGGTCGCGAAGAGTCGGACTCGACTGTGCGACTGAACAACAACAAAATACACAACACTGAATCTTCTGATCAGTGTTAAGATATCATATCTAGCTATATGCCCTAATATCACAAACTTCTCTGATGCTAGCACTGTATTCACAATAAAAATACTTGAGAGAAAACTGAACTATGTGTTAACCGTGCACCAGTCACATCTTTCATTGACAAGCAATAGGCAAGAAATGCCTACATAAGCAAACAGAAGGGTGACATGAAGCCAGCATCACCACTGCTGTAATACTGTCGTGTATTGTGTGTGCTGCCAAAAGCCCTGATGTGTGAATGGGTCTGGAGTGTAGAATATTAAGGGAATAATTCAAATAAGCTTCGAAAGACTGAAAGGGAAGCACTTTCCTCCTTTACTGTTTCCCTGCTTTGCTCTTCTTGAAATAACAACAGCACCAGCTTTACTAAGAACATTTTTAGTTTTATGAAAGGGCATACTTGCTATAAGAGCTTGTTAAGATTTTGGTGGGTGGGGTTGTACCACTGACAGATCCATGGTCACGGAGTTGACTGATCTTATTCAGGTTCTTCAGAATACGGAAATGTCACCATGCATGTAAAACCTCTAAGGGCCAAATAAGGGTATTTAGCATACAGCACAAACTGATTAATTCTTCTGTTGCATCACCGTGGAAGGAACGCAGTGTCCAGTTACCGAAGAGGAGAGTATGTCCCTGTGACTAAACTGTGTAGTCCCTAAAAATAGTGGAGGCCCAATTATCTACTTCCCCACTACTTATTTGAGGCCAGGTTAGGGATTTACCATGAAAAAATATATTAAAAGGGAAACAAATCTCAAGTTGTGCTCATGCCGTTGGCTTATTAGTCTGTGGAAGTAGTTGCATATGAAGCCAAGGGAGGGGACACAATAAAAATATTATTTTGATCGAATTACATGTCTTTCTCATGAAGGGATCCTGTCCACCTCAGCGGGATTACAAAGAAGATCATAGCCTGGAGAAAGCACTAATCCAGCTGGAAGAAGAACAGCAGAGGTGAGCGAGGGTTTTATCTGTAAATCAAATCCTAGCTGGGGCTTGAAGAAAACAGTGCTGCCAGTGCAACTTCCAATGAGAATGAATATTTGAAACTGAGGTTTGCTAATAATTGTTCTTTCTTTTGAACTGCAGATGTGAAAATTTGGCTGGTATGAACATTTTGCTCCGGGAGCACCTGGACAAGGCCAATGAGGTGAATGAAGCTCTTCGAGAAGATATCAACAAACTGACAGCTGATTGGATAAGGTCCAAGGAAGAGTTGGAGCACAAGGAGAAGGAATGGCACAAAGAACGGGAGGTAGGGAACCGTCAGTAGTAAGGGTAGGGAGGAACAAGAAGCCATTTATTCAGGTTGCACTCATATATCTATACTGTGTGATTGGTCAAGCTCAAGTTGTATATAGGCATATAATTTCTTGCCAAGCTCAAGGGAAACTGGTCCTATCTATTTATAGAGATAAACCATTCTATCCATTTATATCCATTCTATCAATTTATAGAGAAAAATGGCTGTGTGCAGAACTGATTGCCTGGTACTTGCAATCCTCCCTGTCCAATAGTTTTGCTTCAGAAATTGTCATTTAGGGGGGAAAACCCAAATTTTAAATAACTAGATGCCCATGCCACACTGCTGAGGCCCTGTCAAGTCAAGTAGGAATGCCTTTCTATAGTTAGAAGTATGTTGAAATATAGAGTTTCAGTAAGATCACTGAAATGGGAAGTTCCTTGTTTCAAGCTGTTGTTTCAAGCAGTTGCAGTAGCACTGTTCTTTGCTGTCTGGGTAATTACTCTATATACAAGGGCGTTCTTACTAGGGATTCTGTATAACTGCAGATCCTGATTATTTGCGCTATTCTGTAATCTGGTGATGTGTGTGTACCAGGCAGGGTAGAGTAAAATATGACAGACAGGCAGGGTAGAATATGAGGGGAGGGCAAAGGCTATGGCTTGTTCCCCTCCCCATGTATGGTAGGGAGGTGGTACCAGCCAGCGTCCTGGCCTCTAGGGAACAGAGAGAACTGCTTTATTTTTACTAGCTTGCAGGATGGTCTGCAGGGGTGTGTGGGATGAATAGCAGCAGATGCCAAGACTTTGTCCCCCTTCCCCAACACTAGGCAGCTAATCTTTTCTGCAGACAGAGAGGAAGTATCTTTGTTTTGTCTATTTAATGTATTCTTACACTGGATGCACAACAAAGTTTCAGAGCCAGATAAAGCACAGGACAAGGTGTGCGTGTGTGCCCCAAATCAGTGGAGATGTCAGAAATAGTGATTATGTGAATGCTTCAAAAATTTCTCAATCATTGCTCAATCCATTTACTTTGCTTGCTCTGTAGATCTCATTGTGGGGATCCTCATTTATACGGCCACCTCTTTAGACTTTAAAATTAGTTGTGTTTGGCTGGGTCACAAGTCCCTACACAGCCACAGTGTTTGGTTGCTTTTGGGAAAGAACTGCTGCTCTTGTGCCTGTGTAGAGAGAGGGGGTCTCACCATCCTACTTCTCCTGCATGCAGGCTGAACAGAATACCTGGATGGCAAGGTCATAATGCAGAGCTTATTCCTTTTTAGCCTGGGCAGATAGATTCAGAGACTCTAGCTGCTTATCTTCCTGCCATGTAACTGATACGTGACTTCCTGTCACATGTATGTAGTTCAGTAGAGCTCACACTGCCACTTTCTAGATCCTGGGTCTAGAAAGGTTGAAACCATTGCCTAAGAAGTGGTTCCATATAACAGTAATATTTGTATTTACATTTAATATTTTGATTTATATTAAATATATATTTAATATATTTAATATTTTATTTATATTTAATGATGTAGAGTCCTTGTTGTTCTTTAAGTGCTTAATGTTATTGTGAATGCTGCTATCAGTGACTGAGAAAATGTGCTTGTAATACAATGTGTCTTTAAAAGGATTGTCTAAAACAGGTAAACTAAGCAGTTAACTTGCTGTTGTCTTTGTCTGTATAGCACTTTGACAGATATATGCAGGCAGAACATGATCGTATCCTTGGTATATGGCGTCAGGTGGTGACCTTACACCGTTATTTCCTGGAGATGAAGACAGCAACTGACAGGTGAGGAGGAACAGGTTCCTCTTAGTTAGTCAAATATAAAGTTATTTACTGCTAAACTTTATGAGGCAGGTTTCTTATTACCTCAGTGAAGAGAGCTATGTCATGTGGCCTCTATTGCTGTGCAGAAATTTCCTCTGCATAATTTGGGCCAGCAATGGTTGTGGTCTGCAGTGGTCTCCACAGTTGTCCTCTAAGTGGTGAATCAGCGTAGCCAGCAAAATGACCTTGTCTCAAGCCTCCTTCAGTCCCCTGGCATATTAACTCCTCAGTGTTCTGCAGTGGCTAAAGCTGTGTATGCTGCAGAGTGGGAAGGTTCGGTATGACTGTGGACATCATGAGACAATGCTCTTCTCTTTCTGTGTGGTTTGCATTAGGGCTGTGCTGGCACTTGGGGCTTGATATACTTGCAGCCTCTCTCTAGGTATGCTGGTACTCAATCTAGCTATTCTGAATTTTGCAGCATTCGTGGTTTATATATTTATTGACAACGTTCCTCCCCTACATTGTAACACATTGAATTGTTTATAGAAGGTAGGCAAATTGGTAGCTGAATCAGCCTCAATGTTTAGTTCCTAGAATAAAAAAGAATAGCTTCATGTTGGGTTTTAAATATTTATTTACTTCATTTATACTGTGAGTGTCCCCTCCTGTGAGGTTGCTCTCCCCGCTCTCTGCTGCCGTGCCTTCTGTGTCAGGGTTCCTCAGGCCTCAGAATTGGGGAAGGTAGAATGCCAACTGAGTACTGCAGATGCCTCCCTTCCTCCCCTGGAGCAGTGGTCTGTCTCCTTCTCTGGCATTGTGCTGATTCCTTCCTCTCCAGCCTGTCTGTGAAGCCCACCTTTTACTCCTACCTCCTCTGTCCTCAAGGAGTCAATCATCCATCCCTTCCCATTCATCCAGTAGACCCTTCCCCCGGGTCTGGCCTGCCCTGGCCTGGCCTTGTGCGTTTCCCTGACCTGGTGTCCCTCTTCTGTCACCTGCTGGCTGACTCCTGTAGATTCTCTCGTCTGCCTTAGGCAAGTAGCTTGTTCCTTGGGGCATTTCCCTCCCTCCAATTGCTACAGACCAGGTAAGTATCCCGGCTCTGGGGCCTCAGTTGGGGGGGGGGGGTGCTGAGTCCAGGTCCAGGCTCATGTCTCCTCAATGAGAGTCCAAAGCGGCTTGTATAATTTTCTTTTTTCCCCATTTTATCCTCACAACAGCGCTGAGCATTTGAGACTTTCCCCAGCAAGTTTCCATGGTAGAATGGGGAATTGAACCTGGGACTCCCAGAGCCTACTGTGTGTTAAAGCTTAAACTTTTGCTCATTGGGACACAGAACTAAATATATAGTGGCAGAGCTATATTCTTTGGGAACATCTATACTGCTTACCTTCTGAAGCAAGAACGTGCGCTTGGAAGGTTGGCAAAATGACAGTAGAAGAGAATGCCCCATCTCTCCTTCCAACCTTCTCCTTTGTACTTCCCAGCATGATCTCTCAATGCTCCTTTCTCCTGCACTACATGGGGGTGGGGGATTGCAATATTTTAGAATTCACACAGCTGCTCAAATGATATCCACCTGGATGTATGTTCAATAAAATTTATTTCTGGGATTTGAAATTTTCCTGCAGTATTTTTAGACTATGCAAATATCAGGAAAAGTTTACTGTTTTTCATCTTGTTTTAAAATCTGTAAATGGAATTTTTGCTGTCCAGTTCCTGCATTATTTTCTTCTGTTTCAGAGATTTGTCTGAATTACGTGCTGATCAAGTAAGGCTGTTTGGCACTATACTTGTCAATTGCTTCCGCCTAAACTCTGATCAACTGTCTTGGGAGGCTAGGCAGTTAGGAAGCCCTGACCTGCAGGGTCAGATCCAACAGCAGCAATTTGATGCGAAGCCTGAGAAAACGGATCAGAGTAAAGACACATGCCAGAAAGCACAAGCAATTGGCAGCGGAGACTTTCTGAAAGAGGATCTTCAGAGAAGGTAAACTACATTTTAAATATATACTAACAGCTTCCCTCACTTATTGTGGATTTTTTACTGTTGGGACAACATGAGATCACTTCAGATAGTTATTTTCTTCCAATGCCTGATGCCTTTATAAAAAGGGTTACACCTGGTATAGATGGCCGGGAGAGTTAATTGCTATAGAACAGGGGTCCCCAGTCTGGACACCTTTCCAGGTGCCCATCAAGTGTTTTTAGAAAGTGGGCAGGACCCGATGGCATTTTTGCCCAAGAGGCCTCTGATTGGCCGTTGGAGATCTGAGCAGATTTTTTAAAATGTTGCTTTAGGAGTAGCTGCCACCACAGCACAAGGATCTTCACTGAGTGACCAAAGATAAACAGTATGTCCACGCAAGAAAGTATTTTAAAACAGTATGTTCATTTTAAAAGGCAACCTGTTAAACAGAGTTTCTACCTGAAATGTTGAAGGGTTACTATTAGAATTATGCATAACCTCACTCCCTGATGTTTTTTGGTTGGCTCCACGTTCTGTGGTGGCCATTTTGCGGTTATGCCCACCACCATGTGTCAGAATGTCAAAGGTGCCCACAGGCTCAGAAAAAGTTGGGGACCCCGCTGTAGAATGTTGTGAAAATAGGATGCATCTAGACTACTAATTCGAATTATTGGGAAATGAATGCCTGGTTCCAAGGTATTTAGAATGAATGACGGGACAAATCTCTCTATAATTGCTTACTATCCTATACCTTGATTATCTGGTACTAGATTTAATAAGAGACATGTTACTAGCCGAAATAATTTGATCCTTGTTGATAACCTCAGTTTCTTAGCAACATCCCGTTATTGAATCAGTGTCTTCCAGACTATGTTCTTTTTATCAAACTTCTTAGGATCTCAGAAATATTAAAGCTCTGTGTAATAAATCCTGCCTATACAACCCCACACATAATGCACAGTTCTAATTCCAATAAACCACCAGTGGAGAGCAGGATGAGAAACACTATCTCTTAATAAAGCAACCACAAATCAGCACATTTAACAAAGCCATCTAAAGCCAGATTATGCTAAGAACAACAGGTTTAATATATAACCATACCCTTACTCATATGTACAATTTTTACCTGAAGGGTCTTCCAGAGGAAAATTGTATGTGGGAGTAATCACAGAGGCAGAAGGACAGAAAGAGATTCAGACATCTGTATTTTTCATACAACTGAAAGTGTGTTCAGAGATCATTGTCTTCTTTTGTCTCAGGCTGAACTTTTGGGAGTGCTGTGTAAATTTTTACCAGTATTAGTGAAAAACAGGTGAGCTATAAATGCTGCTGTTGTCTTCCCAGGGTGATGGAGCTTACTGCATTACTTGAGCAGTCTCAAAGGCAGAATGAGGAGAAGGAGAAGACAGTGAAGGCACTTGGAGATACGGTGGAGATTCTGGTGCGTCAACAGTGTGTCTGAGAAAATATTCCAGTGGCTCTGTTATGCAAAAACAGAGAAACAGCCTTGGCATTTTGGATTAACTGAAATTTCCAAACCATCTTCTGGGGCAGCCCCACATAGAGCACATTACAGTAATCAAACCTAGAGGTGAGAAGTGAGGGTAACTGTGGCTAGATCACCCTTCTCAGGGAAGAAACACAGCTGGCAAATATGCTGAAGGTGGTTAAGGGTGCTACTTACTACAGATGAAATCTCTGCATGTACTGTGAACCTGCTCATTCTGAGGGAGCTAGCATATTCTGGATGAGGCTTTATCTTCCAGTTTCACAATCAGCACCAATTTCACACATATACTGCCCCCGTCTTATCTGTATTACATTTCAGATTTATTGGCCCTCATTCAGGCCATTATTGTAATCCAACATGGCTCCAGAATATCCATGGCCACACCTGACTCTGGTGGAAAGAGATTCATATTGTCTGCATATTGGTGACACCAGGACACCATTTCACAACATAATTCTGAATGACCTCTCCCAGCAGTTTCATGTAGAAGTTAAACAGCCATTGGGGTGAAGAAGTGCAGCTTGAGGAACAGCACAACATTCTTTCATGGTGCTGAACAAAACTTTCCCCCAGCTCCACCTTTTGGAAGGGATTAGTGAGGTAGGAATTGAAACAGTGGAACAGGGAACCTCAGACACGCAGCCAAGTGATCCAGAAGGATACCAAGAAGTCCAGCAGATGTAATGGGAATTTATTCTTCTGTCATGTTCCCAACAGAGGCCATAGATGAAGCTGACTGAGGCAGTTTCTGCTCCAAAACCAGACCTGAAGCCCAACAGCAAAATAGTTCTAGATAGTACTGAGGAAATCTCCACTACTGGGGACACCAAAAGGCAGGAATATTTATTTATTTAGAACATTTTTATGTTGCCTCTCAAGGGAACTAGATATGTGGCATATTCTTTCTTTCTTCAGCTTGGTGTGGTGGTTAAGAGTGCTGCTGTTTACTACAGCTTGGTGTAGTGGTTAAGAGTGGCAGACTCTAATCTGGAGAACCAGGTTTGATTCCCCACTCCTCCACATGTAGCCAGCTGGGTGACCTTGGGTCAGTCACAGCTCTCTTAGAGTTCTCTCAGCCCCACCTGCCTCACAGAGTGTCTGTTGTGGGGAGAGGAGGGTAAAGTGATTGTAAGCCGCTCCAAGATTCCTTCGCGTAGTGGAGTATAAAACCCTTCCTTCCTTCCTTCCTTCCTTCCTTCCTTCCTTCCTTCCTTCAAAAAATAACAAGGGGGAAAAAACTTAAATTCCAGCAATTAAGTAAGATTAAAAAAAGAAAAGAAAAAATACATCAAGACAAGACAAAATTATAACAGTAGTGGTCACAGATCTATACCTAAGTTTCTATAATCAGTTTTCAAATATCTAATAATAAGTCCATATGCAATTGCCGTCTATATGCCATGTGTTCAAATTTTGGTAGAGTTCTAAGGTCCTCAATCCATTGATTTACCAGAGGTGGGTTTTTTCTTCCAAGTGTTGTAATATGAGTCTTCTAGCTCAAGTAAGGGCATGGAGGGTCCATTTTCATTGACCATCGGTTAGTCTCCAAGAGACAGGCGGATAGTTTAAAGTACACAAGAATCCTCAAGAATCAGTGAACTTTCCAATACGAAATTGATATGACAGCTTCTTTCCACAAAAGCCGAATGACTAGAGACACCTAAAGCATACGTTTAAGGGACACATCCTATAATTTACAGTGCCAGCAATTAGAGTCTTTACTCAGTCCTTTTGCTAAATAGTTGGCATGGTGTCCAGTGTATCCTAAACATAATTTTTGCTGAATAAGTCTCAAATTCAGACTCTTAGAGAGAGTAGGTGATAACCATCTTCAAGTACTTGAAGGGCTGTGATATAGTGGATGTCATGGAGTTGTTGCCCAAGAAGGTCAGACCAGAACTAATGGGTTGAAATTAAATTAGAAGAGTTTTCTGCTAACCATTAGGAAGAACTTCCTGACAGAGTGGTTCCTCAGTGGAACAGTTTTCCTTGGGAGGTGGTGCGTTCTCCTTCTTTGGAGGTTTTTAAACAGAGGCTAGATGGCCATCTGACAGCCATGCTGATTCTCTGAACTTAGGCAGATCATGAGAGGGAAGGCAGGAAGTATTGCATCAGTGCTTAGTTCTTGTGGCCCTTTCTTATATGCTCAGGGAAATGCTGATCACCACTTTGAAGTCAGGAAGCAATTTTTCTCCAGGCCAGTTTGGCTGGAGATCCTGGAGGTTTTTTGTCATCATCTGGGCATGAAACAGCAGTCACTGGGTGTGTGGAGGGGAAGGTATTTGTGAATTTCTTGTATTATGCAGGGGGTGGACTAGATGATCCTGGGGGTACCTTCCAACTATGATTCAAGGCTGTATCCCATTGCTTTGGAAAAGTAGGGTGATTTAACTCTTTATTCCATTCATTTCTGCCTATCATATCTGTTAACTGACATCAAACATTTATAAACAAATATTGTAGGTTTTGTTTTCTGCCTTGATTCAATTAGAGTTTCCAGGAGTAAAGGGGATATTTGAGACTCTTAATGGCATAGTGCCATATTTAGATACCAACAAATGTTGCAACTGTAAGTATTGTCATTGTATAGAAAGTGACAAATCATATCTAGACCTCAGTTGAACAAATAGTAAAAACTTGTCCTCATAATCTGATTCAATGTAAAAATTTCCTTGTCATAAGAACATAAGAGACGCCAATGTTGGATCAGGCCAAAGGCCCATCCAGTCCAACACCCTGTGTCACACAGTGGCCAGAAATACCAGGTGCCATCAGGAGGTCCACTAGTGGGGCCAGGACATTAGAAGCCCTCCCACTGTTGACCCCCCCAAGCACCAAGAAGACAGAGCATCACTTGCCCCAGAGCCCCTATCTATACTTTGTGGCTAATAGCCACTGATGGACCTCTGCTCCATATGCTTATCTAATTCCCTTTTGAAGCCGTCCATGCTTGTAGCCGCCACCACTTCCTGTGGCAGTGAATTCCATGTGTTAATCACTCTTTGGGTGAAGAAGTACTTCCTTTTATCCGTTCTAACCCGACCGCTCAGCAATTTCATGGAGTGCCCACGAGTTCTTGTATTGTGAGAAAGGGAGAAAAGTACCTCTTTCTCTACCTGCTCTTTCCCATGCATAATCTTATAAACCTCAATCATGTCACCCCTCAGTCATCGTTTCTCCAAGCTAAAGAGCCCTAAGCGCCTTAACCTTTCCTCATAGGGAAAGTGTTCCAACCCTTTTATCATTCGAGTTGCCCTTTTCTGCACTTTTTCCAAAGCTATAATATCCTTTTTAAGGTGTGGTGACCAGAATTGCACACAGTATTCCAAATGAGGTTGCACCATTGATTTATATAGGGGCATTATGATATTTGCTGATCTGTTTTCAATACCCTTCCTAATAATCCCCAGCATAGCATTGGCCTTCTTTACTGCAGTCACAGCAGGCTCAGGGCAGGTTCCATCAAATGTAACATACAGTAATTAAAAACAGTTTAAAATGCATCAGATAAAATACAGTGCAGTTTCTACATATCCAATCAGAGCCTCAACGGATGTAACCTGTCGCAACTGGGTTCAAGATATTACTCAGATCTGATCCACTGAAGGGGAGGCCCATTAGATAGATAAAAAGGAGGATGCCTGCCGCCTCAACTAAAAGCCTGGCGGAAGAGCTCCATCTTGCAGGCCCTGTGGAACTCTAAAGGGTCCCACAGGGACCTGATCTCACATGGAAGCTCATTCCACCAGATGGGGCCAGGGCCGAAAAAGCCCTGGCCCTAGTTGAGGCAAGATGGATGTCCCAGGGGCCAGGGACTTCCAGTAGATGTTGATTAGCAGGTTGTAATGCTCTTCAGGGCTCATATGGTTATAAGCAGTGATAATATGAACAATGGCAGATCTCCAGGCCAGTTGGGTTAATGGTATAAAACCTTTGCAGGTTTCTCAATTCCAAAATTCTATCAATTGTATAATGAGATTTCTGAGTCTGGCTCATTGCTATTGTTGTTATAGGATGCCTGTATCATCATGATTCCTAAACTCGGCAAAGACCCTACTCAGTGTGTAAATTTTCTATTTGTTTCTTTGATAAATATAGATGCTAAGATATTAACTGCTGTTTTTGCTAAAAGACTCCAAAAGGTCATTACAACTTTGGTACATGTAGAGCCAGTTTGGTGTAGTGGTTAGGAGTGCAGACTCTAATTTGGGAGATCCGGGTTTGATTCCCCACTCCTCCACATCAAGCTGCTGGTGTGACCTGGGGTCAGTCAAAAGTTCTTTCAGAGCTGTTCTCTCGAGCAGTTCTCAAAAGAGCTTTCTCAGCCCCACCTACCTCACATGGTGTCTGTTGTGTGGAGGAGAAGGCAAAGGCAGTTGTCTTTGAGACTCCATATGAAGGGCGGGGTATAAATCCAATCTCTTCTTCTCCTCCTCCTTCTAGACCAGGTTGGATTTATACCAGGTAGGCAAGGCTCTGATAATCTTAGGATAGTTACTGATCTGATTGCCTTAAATAGCAGGAGATCTGATCAAGTTACCATTCGTTCACTGGATGCTGAAAAAGCTTTTGACAAAATATATTGGAAATTTATCTTTGTTACATTGACTAAATTCGGTTTTCCACAGAAATTATTGAAGTGGATTAGAATTCTTTATTCATCTCCCAGGTCCAGGGTGCTGACTAGTAAGTGGTATATTTTCCACACCTTTTCTTCTTGAGAGGGGTACTAGACAGGGTTGCCCTCTTTCACCTCTTATTTTTGATTTATATTTGGAATCTCTGGCTTGTGTCATTAGACAAAATAATAATATTAATGGCTTTATACATAACCATTTAAAATTTAAAATTATTCTTTATGCAGATGATTTTTTCATTATTTATTTTGGAATCTCAGTCTTCCATTCCTGCATTAATGAATATGATTAATACCTTTGGAGACTTGTGTGGATATTTGCCTAATTGGGCAACATCTGAGTTGATGCCACTGGGAGACAGTGTATCACAGAGTGTATTTGACCATGGATGTTTTTGGTAGTGCCCAGACTTATCTTGGAATACTGATTCCTAGAGATATAAGGCATATGACTATGCTAAATTTTAACAAACTGATTGCTGATGTATCTTTGGATTTGGACACATGGGCAGCTTTAGACTAGTTCCTATGGGTTGAAGTAAATACACTGACCAGTGAGGAACTAGACTCATGGAAATGGTCCATTAGCATGACATTGTCATTCAGTGTTTCTATTAAATTAATGTTCCAAAAACTTGTGAAGTGTTTAAAAGAAAGATGCAGTTCTCTCCTTATCACCCTTTATTCTTTTTCTAGGAGGCTAATCGTTTGGAGCTAGAATATGAACATTCACTGATCAAAGACACAAATGAAGAAATCATTTCCCTTCAGCATGCAATAAAAGAAATAATAAAAGTAGGAATGATTGAGATCTCTTATGTTTATTATTGTGCTCTTCTTTTATTTTTCCCCCCAGAAGAATTATGGGCAGATGTTTCTTTTTACTTAAGTATGCAATTTTATCAGTGATCTTTCTCATTAGGTAGTAGTTTGTTTGCTTAATACTGCAGCAGCAAAAGATAAAACTGAAATAATATTAGTATCTAGCCTACTGACTTTTTATGATAGTAAATTAAAAGTATCAGCTAAATTGTAACATATGTTAAGAACTCAGATCCTTCTACTTTAATCCCAGTTATGCGCAGAAGGAAATTGTACAAGTCTGAAACACACATATTCTTAAGAAGAGACTGCAGTTGTCAAAGATCTCCATTCTCCAGGATGGTTCTCATCTGGATTTCCATGGTTACAAGAGGGTGGGCAAATTTATTTCCCCACTCCTGCAGCAGCCCCAAATGCCCCTTGAAATGCTACTCATGTGGGATGGGAGACCCCCAGGAATAGCTTGGGTGGGCAAGTCAGAGGTCTCCCATAGAAGAGAGGATTGGTGAAAATATCCTCCTCCTAATGCGTATAGGAATCCAGGTGGAATCCAAGCGTCCATGTGTTCTTACTATTCTAACTTGGCACCCATAAGGGAAACTAGACAGCTTCTCTCAGTGAGATGGTAATGAACTTGATGGAAGTGGTATATTCAAGAGACCGTCAGACCTATATAAGGACTTCATAAGTGAAAACCATTCCCTTAAATTTTGTCCAGAAGACAACAGGAAGCTAATGCAGTCACTAAGGTACTGTGTGATACATTCATAAAGACTCATCCTGTAAAGCACTGGTAGTAAGAATAAAATTGCATCATTAAAAATGTGAAGCTGTTAGATGAAGCATGCAGCTCCCTTAGAACACTGGCTTTCCATTTGACTGGAAGGGCATGTTTGGGGGGGGGTGTAGTATCTAAGTTGCCATGTTAGCATAATGTCCCATTCTAGAAATGCACTGTCCATCAGAAAAAGATCTTCCTTTAATTTCTCAAGAGCGGATGACAAAAATAGGTAAAATCAGAAGGGTGGATGCAGGGTCACATTTCCTTGGCTGTAAGGACTTCCGCCCATGGGATGTGACTTTTGTGGCTCCCGCTTCTGCTGCAGCCAGAAATACCCCCTGAAATCTAGTTCCTGCTGGCCCCTCCTGCCTGTGGAAACGTACTGTTGGACCCACCCCTGACAGACTGACTGATCTTGGATTTCAGGTCGTAATCAATGACAACAACTCAGCAGTTGGCAACCCAGAAGCGGAGAACTATCCTGATCCCTGCAGTTTCTTGCAGATGAATGCTTGTGACCCAGGGGGTGCTGTCATTTTAGTGCGTGATGTGCTGACTAAGAGGAGCAATAAGGTGCAGGTGAGGGGAATTCAGATGCTGTCTTGCAGATAAGATTTTCATATTGCCAGTGTAAAATCTTTGCTTGGCACCTGCCATTGAATTGCTCTGTCAATGATTTTCTGCCTCCTAAATCTCCCCCACCCACACAGACCTGTTTTCCTAGTTTCCTCAGGCTTTCTGGCAACCATTCCTTTGTAGACCATCTTTTAAACCACTCCCTCCTTCCTGCCTTTTCCCCCAGGCATATTTCTTATGCCCTTACTCACAGCTAGCTCTCTCTTGGTCTGAATATCCCTTGAGTCTCCAGCTGCTCCTGTCCCCTGGTTCCCTCTGCTTTCTTGCCACTAGCTTTTGCCTTTTTTCTTGCAGCATCTGAAACACCAGCTCTTAGCCAGTCAAAATTCTGTCAGCTCTCTGGAGAAACTGCGAGAGCAGCAGGAAGAGCAATGTAAATTCCTAAGACAGAGGCTCCAGCAACTAGAAGGAGAACAAGACACACTCACTGTCCAACTGCAGCATTTCCAGTCCATGGTGGAGACTCTCCGCAGGTCAGCCATGTAAATGCTCCCAGCATTCTCTAAGAGACGCTTTAGTTGTGAAATACATTATTTTCTTTATAATTGTAAATTTGCTTTTCTTGCAGCTCATCTTGCTTTTGAAGTTGAGTCATTTCATTTTCTAGTGTGCATTTGAAGCAGCTGCTTAAACTGTGACTGAGCCTTTGTGCATGCCTTTTTCACTCCTTCTAACTGGCATTTGCTGCTTTACAGTGGCCATGCAACTTTGGAGAAGTCCAGGGAAGAACTGCAACAGCAACTGGAAGTCCTGGAAGAGGAGGCCCGGCACTTACGCCAAAGCAACACTCAGCTGCAGCTGAAAGGTGACACAGAGGACAGGGAGAAAGAAGACAAGCTGCAGGAAATGGAAAGGGTACTGCGAGACAGAGAGTACATGTAAGCTTCTGCAGGTTTATTTCCAGACAACAGGTCTTTGTTGACTGTGCGATTTCCAGGGTCGTTCCTCTGATGTAGTTAGTGGTGGGCACTCCAACTAACCAGTTACCACATTTTGTAACCTTTTTAAATGCAGGGGATTTGTTTCAATGCTTCATGCTCTTTTACTATTTAGCCCCAAAATGGGAGTGATGATATTGCCTTATACCACTGATAGTCCACACATTCACAGTTCCTGTCAACCAAAACATAAGAACATAAGAGACGCCAATGTTGGATCAGGCCAAAGGCCCAAAGAGTCACATGACTACAGAATGCACTGTGTGCCACCCCACCAAACAAATCCATCGTCATAATAAAAGACATAACGATTAGTATTAAATAAATAACTATAACTTTTTAAATAACCAGAGGTCCTTTGAACATATGGGGTTGTCTCTCCCCACCACTGTTGACCCTTAGCTAGCCTTCCCACTCTCCCTTCAGCACAAGGCCCAGCATTGCCAAGGCTTTCAGAGGAGAGCAAGGTGGCAGTGGAGAAAGGGGAGGAAGAGCATCACCACCTCTCTCCAGACTGCTCTTTCTCTGGGTGTCTGCTGTGGTGGTTGCTGGCAGCAGCTATGTCACAGTAGGAATCACTTGCCAACCATAAGCCCCAAGGATCAATGGCCTTGCCCACTTCCCTGGAATATGGATGGATACCAGTTGGGGAATTGTGCTCAGAGAAGCCACAGGTGGCTCCTGAGCCACTGAATGAGTGTCACTGCCTTATATTGTTTAATATATGTCTTACACTGTTCCTGTTGCACTATTTTAAATGTAATCCGCCTTGGATCCCAGCACGACAGGCAGACTATAGCCCTGACCTGGATAGTTCAGGCAAGCCTGATGTCATCAGATCTCGGAAGCTAAGCAGGGCTGATTCTGGCAAATATTTGGATGGGAGACCTCCAAAGAATACCAGGGTCAGGAGGTACAGGTAGTCTATCAAGCCAGTTCTCTGAACATCCTCCATGACTTCCAGGCACGGGCACACACGCACGCGCACACACAAATGCAAAAATACCAAAAGAAAAAAAAGACAGACTATAAATAAGTAATCTGGAACAAACAAGTATCAGACAGGTTATCCCCCTCCTCTGCGGCAGTGTCTCTCTGTCTTCTCTGTCTTGCGGTGTTAGTTTGGGGAGGAGGTTTTGGAAGCTCTGTCCCCCTTCCTAGCTCCGATAAACCGGCTTATTGAATGTCATTTTGTTCTGTGAAAGAGCCCCCTCTTCTGTTAGCAGTTAGGACTTACAAGTCACTCATCTTTCTCCCTCTTAGCACTGAAAGTTCCCCCTGCTTGTTTAAAAGAAAAATAGTGTGTTTCTTTTCCCTATCCAGTCAGAAACATTTAAATGCCCTTGAAGAAAAGCATTCATTGTTAAAGAATGAGTTGGTGGCCAAGGGAGAAGCACTGGAAAAGTCTCAGCTTGATGGAGAGCTTGTGAAGCAAGAAAAGCATGAACTTGCTTTGGCACTGGAGCAGGTACGCTTTCATCTACATTTTCTTGTGAGATCCTGCTGCTCAATTTAAATTAAAAAATCCTCCTCAAACTAACACTGGGATGTTTTCAAAAGCCATGTCGTTTTGAGGTAGGGTTCCCATCTTTTAATTTTACAAATTCTGTTGCCTTTTTCACCTTTATCCGGGTTAAAAACATAGCCACATAGAGAAGCAGATGCAAAATCAGTCCTCTGACTGGCACATAACCATGTTGCTCTGACATCACTCACCCAGTTGTCTTTTCCTCAGCACAGTAAAGCTTGTTGAAGGCTGATGTGGAAGCCACATGGAGAAGCCACATGTATGCCACATGTATATGGAGAAGCCACATGTATATGGAGAAGCCACATGTATGCCCCCCCCAGGGTTGTCAGCCTCCAGATGGTGAGAAAAATACAAGGAGAGCCTGACCTTGTCCCAAGCGAGTTTTAAACTTCTGTTTTTCTCACTAGCTGAGATTTATGAACATCTAATGTCAAATGAATCTGGCTCCACAATAAGCCTTTTACATAGACATGCATACTCTTATGAAGAATGGGAAATGGGATTAAATTTACCTAGGAATCTCATCAGCCAAGGCCAGATATCACATCCAAGCTGCAAGCCTGTATTCGGTGGTTTTGGTTTTTTAAATTTTCTATAGCCAATAAGATTTACACAAACGGAGCTTTGACTTTTAGAAGTTAATCTTCATACGTAAGCTGCGAAATGTTTGATGGCACGTCTTGTTTTTTTGCAGCCGATATGATTTCCACCCACAGAGCTGTGTTTCATTGAATCTAGAGACTGTCTTTTGATGTAATTTGTTACCATATGCTGGCGGGATTGGAGCATTGCATTGGAAAATATATATATATATATATATATTATATATATATACAATTAACACGAGGTTCTGTATATTGTATTTGTTAAGTCATTAGACAGTCCGTCAATTAAAATTTTTATTTTTACCAATATATTATTATTAAAATTTATTAAAACATTTATACTAAATTGACCTTAGTCTCCAGATGCTGGGTGGAGATTTCATGGGATTTCAACTGATCTCCAGGCGACAGAGGTCCATTCACCTGGAGAAAATGGCTGCTGTGAAAGATGGACTCTGTGGCATTATAACCCATTGAAGTCCCTCCCTTCTAACCCTGCCTTCCTCAGGTTTCACTCCCAAAATGTCCAGATATTTTCCAAAGCAGAACTGGCAACTGTGATTGCGTTTTGCGTTGCAACAGCTTTTGAAATGGCACACTGAAGCTGAGATGACCAGCCTAGTGTGATGCAATAGCTGAGAGAAGAAGAGATCCTTACTTGCAGAAATACAGAGGGCGACAATGGGAGAGCTCTGAGACAAGAAAAGCAAATAATCATAAAGCTGGAAAGGGCCTCAGATTGCAGTTTCAGCCACTGGGAGTTTATAACTAGAAAACTGTATCTCTGATCAATATTACGGTAGTTAATATTTTCCGTAAGATAATTCATAAATAGTCAAGAAGAACAGTGACCTTTTAAAAAAGGCTTAGATCTAAAGAGCATTTTGCACAAATGGAAGGTACTGGTTCTTTCACAAGGAAGGGATGCAGATCCCTTCCCCATTTGTACCCTGTCCAAGCTGCAACTGCCTATGGCGCACTGCATGTTTTGTTGCTCTCCTGGATGTTTACTCCAACAATTTGTGGTGGGTGGGGGATGGGGGAGATTTGACATTACAGTGAGAACAGCAGAAGAATGCATACATAAATGGTACTTCAGCTGTGGTCCTTCAGATCCAAGCCATTTACCAAAATGTTGTCATGTAGTTGTTTCCCCCTCTTTCATTTTGCTTTCCCAGGCCGAGCAATCAATTGCAGATTTAACCATAGCACAAAACAAACTGAGAGCAGAAGCTGCTGATCTTCGTGATGTGACTGCAAAGTTGAGTGCCCTTAATGAGTCTCTAGCACTGGACAAAGTGGGTTTAAATCAACTTCTGCTGAAGGTAAGACTGTTCTCAAAGAAATATTTTCTATGAATATCCCTTAGCTGTTGGAAGTGAATGTACAGACTGGGTAAATATGAAGTCTGTGTTTTCTTCAGGGGGGCGGAGCTGCTCACAACAAGGTTTAACATTTATTGGTAGCTGCTGCCTTTTCTTTCCATGCAGTTGGAGCTGGAAAACCAATCTCTACTGAAGAAAGCGGATAACCTAGAGGAAATTAGGATGTCTTCGCAGAAGCAGCTAAATCAGACTGAAAGAATGAACAAAGAACTACTTTCGGAGAAGATGCAATTGGAGCAGTTGTTACATAAGGCTGAGATGATGCAAGAAAATTTGCAAGAAGAGTTGAGAATTTTGAGAGCTGAGCAGAAAGAGGCACATGAAGAGCTCAGTCAGGTGTGTATGAGAGGACATTGTAGCTATCCCCATATAGATACAGAAACGTGCTTTTAGAGCTGGATTCAGTGTTGCTGGATGATAGAATTCTTCTAGCAGCACTGCTTACAACTCAGAAGGTGTTTTCATTAGTCTTATATGTGGCCCCAAATAAACTCATCACCAGGAATATTATAATGTGACTTTAGAACCAGAACCTGCACTTCTCGGCTATAATATACCCATGTGTTTGAGCTATTGAACAAGTAAGGATAATGTTACAGTCTTGCAGTGTCCATCTGCAAAGCTCAATTTAGTTATCTATTACTAACAGAAATTTGAATGCCAAATTTTTGCCCAGTTATGATAATTTTTCCAAGGCAATATGGGTGATATTCTTAAAGACACTACGTAACCTTTTCATTTATTAAGGGGCCTGCTTTTCAGCATATCCCAGCTCTCTGTTTTAGGAAGAAAACTTCAAAAAAGAAAGAGAGAAAAAATTGTTGCCAATAATGAAAGCAAACATTGGAGAGTATTTCAGAATTTTTCATTCTCTAAAACAATGCCCAGACCATTTCAGTGTGATCGTAAAGAGAAAAAGTAAATTCCCTGGACTTTCCAAGGAACTGCTAAAATAGAAGTAATTCTTTGTGATTCAGGCAGTCTTGTATATTAAAATCAGGAGAGACAGGCAAGATCCTGAGTAATTCAAGACCTTTAATATACTTTAGTTATACTATACCACACAGAGCCAGATTAATTATCCAGGATTCAATCCAGACTACATTGACAGTTTCTACTGTTTCCCCCTTTCTGCTGGAGACTACCCATATAATTCCTCAGGGTCTCCTATTCCCCAGGAGTAGTGTTTAGTGGAAATTGGTGGGCTGCAGGAGGGAAGAAGGAAGGAAAATTCTATCATTGGGAAATTGAATCTGGGTGCAAACCCCCAGATAGAAACATAGGAATCGATGGATATTCATGTGGTTAACTGTTGAGTTGGTAATCTGTATTCAGTTTTACTGATGTTTTACCTTTGTTAGTGATGTTAATGTTGGTTTGTCTGTAAATTGTTAAAAGTTCTTGATCATCCAGTGAACTCAACTGAATTCCATCGAGCTTAAAGTTCATTCAAGACTTTTAGAAAGGTATTTTAAGTTCGTGTGACTTATGGAGTCTGTATCACCTTTCCTTTGTACTTTGTTCTGAGAACTGTGTGTCCTTACTATGAAGACATACATTTTACCGAACAAAATTTACTTAGAACTTACTCCCAAGTAAGTCTGCCATACAGTTGTGTGTGTTCTAGTGGAACTCGCATCAAAGCAAATATGCATATGGTTTTGTATTCTTAACCCTCAACTAATTTTATATTTTTGTTCCATTAAATAACTAAAACATAGTATTCTCTCATAAATATTTTTGTTCCCTACGGTTATCACTAGGTGTGTACCACCATCTTTTAACCTGCTTTACATGATAAAAACTGTGCTCTGAAAGTATCTGTGGAAAGTGTCCTGAGCTGCCCTTGAATAACTGAATCTTGTGCTTCGGCGCACGTTCTGTTCTTTCTGAACTGTGGGTACTGGATGAAGTGTCTCATTTAAACACCATCCACTCAGACAAATATACATTTTATATTTGCTTTCTGTTCTTTGTATATACTCAAATTTTCTCCATAATAATGTTTTGGTACATTAATGTCCATCTGTAATGGACCCATCTTGCCCTGTAGCCTAATAACTTTAGTTGTTATACATGCCATGGAAATGCCTTGTTCTGCAAGAGAAATAGTGGATCTGTTTGGGATTGCCTTTTTCCCCTTGCAGTGTGTTGCATTGCTGTCATTAGTGACAGAAGTGAAGTCTGTGCTAGAACTTTTCTCTTCATTGTTTCTAGGCTCATCACCAGCGGGAAACATCTAGAACTGATTTGGAACAAGCACATCAGGAGTCAAGTCATCTTCGGGAGGTGCTGGCTAAGGTTTCTAAAGAAAAGAAATCACTAGCGCATGAGAAAGCAGCACTGGAAGTCCGACTAGAGGCTGTTGAGCGAGAGAGACGGACTCTTACAGAACAGGTGGCAGAGATCAGGTGAGAGGACAGTGATATGCAATTTAATATGCAGGTGGCAAGGCTGGTTCTGCACATGTGGGGGAAAAACTCACAGCAGGTAGAATGCTCAAAGTATGACTAAAAATGCTGCACATAATATGATAGATCTTTTTTCCATAGATCTTAATAATTTGTACTTAATTGTATGTCTCTTCTAATATTGGAGCTTGTATCAGTATGACAAATAGGTAACTATAAGAACAAATCTGTAATTTTGTCTCTGTTTTCTATATGCTTTCTGTATGTTTAGGGCCAGACTGTATGTTAGTCTGGACTCTGGAAATCTGTGAGTCATGGATCCAGTATGTCGTTTTTTCACTGAATGCTTCAATGGGAAGTTTAGCTAATCTGACTGAAAGCCCTTTTCAGAGAAAGGGTTAAATCCACAACTTCTGCACTTTAATAAAAATCAAATAATTAGTCCATAACTGCAGCATTTAGTAAAAATATCATGCAATAAGTCACAGGTCTGTTTATGCACTATGTAGTTTCTTAGCCTGTAACTGTGCTGGTATATAACTTAGTTTTCTGACAGCACTTTCAGATTAAAACTGGCTTTGTTGGAATTAGATCCTCCTTTGCCAGAATCAAGAGATTAAATGTAAATAGAAACTCTGTATTTTTGATCTGTAGATCAGCAAAGGAACTTCTGGAATCAAGCCTCTTTCAGGCTCAGCAGCAAGTATCCCAACTAGAAGTTACCAAGGGTCAACTGGAAATCCAAGTTCAGACAATCAGCCAGGCTAAGGAAGTGGTACAAGGTGAGAGGCATTTGCGGAGACTTACAATCTGTATGAGGAAGTAGTATATGCCTTCCTCCATTTATGGGACAGAAACTATGATTAGCCACCTTTTAGCCAGGTGTAATACAACTTTGCTTCAAATATTTTGTAGGCATCTTATCATTCCAGTCTTGTTCTCAGTTTGCTTCCAGACCCTATTCAAGGTCTAGTGTTGACCTTTGAAGTCCTGTACGGTTCAGGGACAGCATATCTTATGGACTGCCTACTCCTATATGAACCTACCCAACCACTCCAGTCACCTGCATTGGGCACCCCTGCCATCTGAGGCTAGACAGGTAGCAACCTGACAAAGGGCCTTTCTGGTCATGATAACCAAAACTATGGAATTCTCTACTCAGGGAGATTCATCTGTTCCCCTCTACCATTGTTTTCTTCCAGCAGGTGTTTTTTCGCCTCACTGATCTTCCTTCTTGTTTATGTATTTGTATTTTCAGTGTTTTTAATTTTTTATGAATGTATTTTTAAAGTCTGTTTCAATGTTTTTGTGTCTTCTGCCTTGGAGACCCCAAATTGGGTAGAAAGGCAACATTAAAATGTTTTAAATCAAATATCTTGTAACCTCTTCAGGAGAGGTGAAATGCCTTTGCATTGAACTGGAAGCTGAGAAGACCAAAGTTGAGCAAGAAAAAAAGGACAAAGCAGAGCAACTGTTGAAGGCAGACCTGAAGTATCAAGAAACCCTCAACCACTTCCAAACTGTGCATAAAGAAGAAATGAACACAGTCTTTCAAGAGCTGGTAAACATCCCTTTCTGAAAATTTCTGCTTCTCACCTTTTTACTTCTATGCTCAATTCCAATTCTTTAATCAAAGGACTTAAACATTCCAGATGTCTCCAGCAATTATTTCTCATTCAACTGTTGTATCAGGTATTAATAATGCTACCAGTCTTTAATTACTTTATTTCCTGCATCCTTACTCCATTTCTGGTAGATTTCCCCTTTCTATTTATCCAAAGACTAGTTTAAATTATTATAAATGTCTCTATGAAACACTAAAGGGTTTAGGTACCTCGGTTCATGCAGTTTATTGAATTTTGGGGGGCATCTGCCGTGAACATGCTAGACGACTTTAAGCAAACCACTATACACTGGTTTGTGATGTATCAAAGAACTAGAATTTGGGAACTGTGATTGCACATTCCCTTCCTGTACCTCTCCTGTCTGCTTTGTTTTGCCCTGATGTGCAGCTTGGATTGAAACTGAGGTGCAACTTGGGTTGAAGTAAGAGCATACCCAGTCCAATCTTATGGTAGCTTGCTGGTGTTTGGAAGTAATGCCAAGCCCAGGTAGAGAGTGGACAGGGGAAGTTGCATACACAATGTAGATGATAACAGAATTCGGAATTTTTAAAACCCCAAGTCCCTTGTACATTTGCATTAGAGTGGTCTCTTTGCCTCAGCCCTCCATTTCATGTTACTGATTAGGGATGGGCACGGACTTAAAAAATCCACTTTGGTTTCGGGTTGCCCTTGAGTTGAACCCTGAACCAAGCCAAAAGGCCCCTACCAGAACTGAGCCGGTCTGGTGAGTTCGGTTCCCCCTTTCTCTCAGTTTTGGCGAGCTGTGGCTGGGAGAAAAGGGGGGGGGGAGATCACCTGGGAAGGGTTAAATGGCTGCCAGCCACTTAACCCATCCATTTTGCTTATCCTGCTTCAAAGCCATTTCAACCTAACAGTGGAGTAGGTATGCCTGTCAGCTGTTAGATTTAAATGACTGGCGGCCATTTCAACCTAACAGAAGGGTGGGTGTACCGGTCAGCTGTTAGGCTGAAATGGCTGGCAGCCATTTGACTGGTCCATTTCACTTTCCCCCACTTCAAAGCGGGGGAGGGGGGAAGCAAAACTGACTGGTGAAGTGGCACACAGCCATTTAAACCTGACAAGTCAGCTGTGGATCCATGTCGCTCAGCTGTTGGGTTTAAATGGCCTGAACAGCCAAACCAAACTGGATAAAAGTCCAATAAATGTTTGGGAAGGCACCTTCCCTGAACATCGGTTCGGGGGGCTCCAAACCCGCTTAAGTTTGTGCTGAATTTTGACTTGTGAGCCGGTTCATGCCCATCCCTGTTACTGATATAATAATAAGATGATAGGCTCTCATGGAAGTAGCTCAGATTCCACCATGTGATCCCTGATTTTACACAGATACTGTTAAAGACATCTCAGTTGAGACGTCTATATGACCAGGACAAGCTTTTGTAAGGAAGAGGGAAGGAAGAATTAAAACTACAACAACAGGCAACCCTATTAGTTGCCCAGTCAGCCAGCTAAAAGCAGAGAAGACGTTTGAGATAATTACCATTTTAGTTATTTTTATTTACTTATTTATTTAAAATATTTATACCCTGCCTTATCTCCTCACACCCAGGGTGGCTAACAAAACAGCAAAGCTGTGAAGGCGCACACATTATAAGCATTCAGCAGGCAGTCAAAACATAGCCAAACCCACAATTGCCTTCTGGATTAATAGCTTTATGTGTCTTCCTGAATGGAGCAAGTGAAGATGCTCACCATGTCCACTCTTGGTAGGCCATTTCAGAGGAATGGACCTACCACAGAGAGAACCTGTGACCTAACTTGCCTCATGGACAATCCTGGGTGAGGTTACAATCAAGAGAAAACTGTCTGAGGAGCATAACTGGTACATGGGAGTATATCAGGAGATGTAGTTTGAGAAGTATGAGGGCGATAAGTGGTGAAGGGCTTTGAACAAGCACTTTGAATTGGGCTTAGATGCCAAAAAGCAACTAGTGCAGTTAACTCAGCACTAGGGTTCCAAGCAGCTGACTCCAAGCTGGAGTCTCACTGTCACATTTTATACCAATTTAAGTTACCTAGACATCTTCAAAGGCAGTCCCATGTAGAGCATAGATCCATCAGTCTCTACGGTTGGACCATTTTAACTGGACTTTGCAGAGGAAGGTAGGCATCTCAATTTTCACCTTCAGCAAAGTGCCCCTTATATTTCCACAACAAAAAGGGCTAAATACTTTTTTTTTAATTACAGGTGGGAATTCAGAGGAAGAAATAGATTGTGGCACTGGATTGTTATAATGTTGTGCTATAGAGATCTAGCAATCGCTGATTAAAAAAAATAAAAATAAAGCCCAAGACAGCACTCCACTGGCACTGAGGAAAATGGTGGGCATGGTGGGAGGAGGTCTGAGGTAAGGGAACTACAGGGAAAATGCTGTGTGCACATTCCATTGCAGCTGCAAAATGCCTCTGAATTCAAAACTGGCAAGGAAAGCTATATGGAATATAGTCACCGTGTGGAAGCCAGTACATCTATGCCATTGTAAATTGGAATTATGCTAACATAGGATATTTAGTTGCAGTGCAAAAATGCCTTAAAGTGGATGAAATCCATTATTTGTAGTTGGTAAAGTAGCATTCCTACATCTGAGGCAGAAGAAGGGCGGTTTAGAGGTTGGATATTTTTGCCTCCATATTCTTTTGAATTGTTATTAGGAAAGTGAGCGAGAGCGCCACTGTGCAGAATTACAGATGCTGTTGGAGCATGTGGCCAAGGAAAAAGAAGAGATTGAAAGTGTCTATGACAAAAATCTGTTGAAGCTGAAGCAGGAGATGAGTGCTGTACGAACACAAATGGAAGGTGATCTCATTAAGGCTAAAAAAGATAAGCAAGAGGTAAAGTGGAACTGGTGTCTTGAGCTAAACATTCTGTGTTCATTTTTTAAAAAGTTGTGCACTGTGAAACACACAAATTATATATTAACATTACCACCATCTACACCCTTTTCTATTTTAATTGACAAGGCCCTTGTTTCTCATGCATCTAAGAAACATATTTGAAACTCAAAGTCATGGAGAAGTACCCATAGCTGCATGTCTGTTGGTTTATTTTCTTCCCATATAAAAAGATTTTTTACTCTACATGAGGAGTCTCCAACTTTTTTGAGCCTGTGGACACCTTTGGAATTCTGACATAGTGGGCAAAACGACAAAATGGCTGCCACAAGTCACAGAGCCAACCACAAAATGTTTGGGAGTGGGGTCAAGCAAGTAATTCTTCAGCATTTCAGGCAGAAATTCTGTTTAACAGGATGCCTTTTAAAATGAACATATTGTTTAACAATATTTTCTTGCATACAGTTGCACAGTGAAAATCCTTGTGTTGTGCCGCTGAAGTAACTTTTTAAAAATCTGCACAGTCAATGAGACTTCCAGTGGTCAGTCAGAAGCTCCGCTGGGCAAAAGCCCCACCAAGCCATGCCCACTTTCTAAAAACACTTGAAGGATGTCAGGAAAGGCATTGCCCCCCTAATCATCTTGGTTGCCCTCTTCTGTACTTTTCCCAGCTCTGTGATGTCCTTTTTGAGATACAGTGACCAGAATTATACACAGTATTCCAAATGAGGCTGCACCATAGACCTGTACAGGGGCATTATTGTATGTGATCCTCGGCCCTAGGGAGGTCTGGCTGTCCTTAACTAGGGCCAGGGCCTTTTTGGTCCTGGCCCCGACCTGGAAGAATTGTCTGCCGAATAACATCAGGGCCCTGCGGGATCTGATGCAATTCTGCAGGGCCTGTAAGGCAGAGATGTTCCACCAGGCTTTTAGTTGAGGGCAGCAAAGGGAGGTTGAGACTGGCACCCTCTCTTTCTTTTCTATGGCCCCCATGTAGCCTTCCCTGCCCTGCTATGCAGGACAGCTGTGTTGCTGACAAAGGAGGACCTGTATTGCCATATTGGATGGGTTTAATTTATTGTTTCTGTTGGTGTTCTTAATTATACATTAATTGTATTTTTAAATTTTACAAGGTTGTAAATCACACAGAGCGATTCATAAGTCCAGTGAAATAAGTAAAATAAATAAATGTTCAATCACTTTCCTAATCCTGACATAGAGTTTGTCTTTTTCACTGCTGCAGTACATTGGGTTGATACTTTCATTGAGCTGCCCACTACGACCTCAAGATCTTTTCCCTCTCAGTCTCAGCAAGTTTAGTCCCTGCTTGCCTATTCTTGAAGTTGGGATTTTTTGTTCCAGTGTCCATCACCTTACACTTACCAACACTGAAGTTCATTTGCCACATTGTCGTCCACTTCACCCAGTTTGTGGAGATCCTTTTGAAGCTCTTCACAGTCAGCGTTGGTTTTCAGCACCCTGAATAATTTTGTGTCATCTGCAAACCTGGCCACTACACTACTCACCCCTAGTTTCAGATCATTTATGAATAAATTAAATAGTACCAGCCCCTTTCCACCTCTCTCTCTCTCTTTTTTCCCCTTCCTCCCTCCCTCTCCCCATCTATTTGCTTTCTTTCCACCTTTCTTTCTCTCTCTCCTTTCATTTCTTTCTTTCTTTCTCTCTCTTCCTTTTTCGCCTTTCACCATCTATTTGCTTTCTGTCTATTTCTCTCCTTCTTTATTTCCACATCTTTCATTATTTGTACCTTTCACTTTCTCCCTTCCTTCCTTGCGTCCTTCCTCCCCATCTATTTGCTTTCTTTGTGTTTCTCTCTCTCGCTCTCTTTCCCCCTTCCTTCCTTCCTCCCCCATATATTTTCTCTCTTTCCACCTCTTTATTTTCACCCTTCTTTCACTTTCTCCCTTCCTTCTCCCTCTTTCATCTATTTGCTTTCTTTGTTTCACTCTCTCTCTTCCTCCCTCCCTCCCCCTCCCTCCTCCATCTATTGGCTTTCTTTGTTTTTCTTTCTCTCTCTTTTTCTCTTTCCCCCTTCCTCCCTCCCTCCCCATCTATTTGCTTTCTTTCCACTTTTCTTTCTTTTTCTCCCTCCCCATCTATTTGCTCTCTCCCTCTCTCGCTCTTCCCACCTCCCCCTCTCTCTCTCTCTCTCTCTCTCTCTCTCTCTCTCTCTCTCTTAGACAAATAAATATTATTAGCAAACAAATATTATTGGACAAATTAGTATCTACCCCTCTTGTTTTTATTTTTGCATATTTTTCAATAAAATGTGTGTGTAATATTTGTTCATGTCTTGCAGCTCTCAAACATCTGACGTTTATTCTGTGTGGCTCTAACGTTAAGCAAGTTTGGCCACCCTGGTCTAGAACCTTCTCTCATCACCTCAATTTGACTCAGTTCTTCAGACTCCCATTCTGAAAATAGTTGCTGTGGCAAGGGTACATGCCCCACACTTTCCACAGTGAACACAGAAGCAAAAAAATTCACTGAGCTTCTCTGCCATCTCCCGAACTTCCTTCAGCAATCCCTTTATTCATTTGTCATCCAAAAGCCCAACTGCTTCTCTGGCTGGTTTCCTGCTCTGGATATATTTAAGGAAATGCTTATTGTTTGTCTTGGTGCTTTTAGCAACCTGCTCCTCAAAATCTCTTTTAGCTTGCTTAATTATTGACTTACATTTCTTTTGCCAGAGCTTGTGGCCCATTCAGTCCAACAATTTAATTTTACAATTAATTTAACAATTAACGTTTACTTTTTCTATATATGCTCAACAATTGGTCTGGGGCACTTTCTCAAAGTAGTAATGTGCTACTGAAGTGATAACATCTACTCAGTCTAAATAATGCCTTCCTGTATAGTATTTAGTGCTTTTATTTTTTTTCTTACCTTCTTGCAAGAGATTTCTTTGTGTGCAGATTAGAGTACTCTGCTACATCCCTGTCACATCAGTATCTTTAGATTGCATCAGCAGAAGCTGTGGTGACTGCATCAGTTCTTACAGAAACTTTAAGGTCTCCGAATAAGTTTTTCCAAATAAATAAAAATGGGTTTCTGGTACATAGACCAGCCTAAAGTCTATAACTCTTCTGTGGGAAGATGACAAGAACAGGAGATACAGGGAGGGGATTTTCTCAGGTGAAAAAACATCCAGTGGATGTCTTGAGGCACTGCCTTTTCTCCCTATAGACCTGCCTGCTGCCTTATGTTGGTTCAAAATCTTCTTTGAAGCTGAAGTCCTTTCACAATGTGGTTCTAGCTTCAGTGACATCAGTGACATTTCTGTAATAGCATCTACCCAGTGGAAAGAAAACTCCCTGAGGAGATGTATGAAAAGAACCTTCTCTGGTGAGGTTTCACAAGTCATGCAAGGCCATCCTGTGCTTTTGACTGAAATCTGTTGCTTTCTGTCTCTGATTCTGAGCTTGTTGTTTCTGAAAACATGCCATTCAAAGTTGTTCTTACTGTCGAGCTAACAAATATTGTTGAGCTTAGATGTTTTTATGGGCAGTGGTTGGTTTTTGTGGGATGGGAGTGTGGTTTTAGTCTTAGATGTTGAAATTGGTTCCAGAATCACTTGTTTCAGTTATGAAACAACGTGCTGCTTAATCTCCACACATGCAGGTGCTACTAGAAAGAGAGAGTGAGAGTCAATCTTTACTAGAGAAACTTACCCAAACCAAAGAGGAACTGACCAGTACTTGCCAGCAGCTGAAGAATCTTCGTCAGGAAATGAAGATGCACGAAGAACAGAAGCAGGTAGGGGTGAGCAGCTGATGATACTGGAAATGGTTATAAAGGTCAGGTCTATATGCAGAAAAAGTAAAAACGTTAAAATGTACTTAAACATGACAGACAGTTAACTGTTGTATACACTTGTCAGGGACGCTTTAGGCTGATCTGGCCTGGATGGCCCCTTCTAACTCTATGATTCTATGATATCTTTAAAGTTTGGACCGTTTATATGATGAGTAAAAAATTGTCCTAAATCATATCAGTTATTGGTCTTGACTGCTTCCAGTTGATATTTATACAGTTGAAGAGTTCTGCCAGTTTCAAACTTGACTTTTAATTCCAACTTGTCTAGCTTCAGATTTGGTCAAATAGGTGTTTTAAAGTAGGTATCTAACTGTATTAAAACCATCACTTTTTCTTCCTTTGCAGAGTGCTTTACAAAGTTTGGAGGCTGAGCTTAAGGATGCCCATACTGCCATGGAAATGCTGGGGGAAAAGCACAAGGAGGAGATAAAATCTCTCAAAGAAGAAATAAATTTGCTCCTTCAACAGCGAGGTGCTTTGCAAAGTCAGGTGATTACTAAAAGCAACTGTCCCAGAAAAACAATCTTCTGTCTTTTTGTCTGTGCCAAGTGTGCAGCTTTCAAAAAACTATCTGATTGAGCAGAAATGGGAATCTGTTAATGGAGTAAAACTGTACTGTGAGAACTTCTGAACCATTGTAGAAAGCCAAGCCTGTAGTGAGTGAAATCACTTTTGGAGGAAAAAGTATGGAATAATAGTGAAAAATATTTCTGTGCAAATGAAAATCTTATGCAATAAACAAGCCAGGTATTTGCCACTGTAACAGTTTCTCTTTTTCCACCTTACCTAAATGATGTAATCACTGTATCACATGGAGTTTCTAGTATGGCTTATCAGGCAAACAAAAAACCCTGCACTCCGTAAAATGTGACTTGAAGTTGCATGAAACTGTTTCTTGAAATAAGAAGTATGAATCTGTGTACAATAATTTCTCCACAGTGTATACTAAAGTCATTGGGCATTGGAACCTCTTTCTCTCTGTTCTTCTTTCTGTTCCAGGTACAAGATTTGGAGTCCCAGCTCTCAACGGCAAAAGATTCTTGCCAGTTGATCAGGATGGAGGCTCAGCAACATTTAAGAGAGGTACAAGGACTGTCCAGACAGAAGGCACTGGAAGTTGCAGAACTCCAGAAGAAGCTGGAAGCTGAGCGGGAACAGCGAGAAGGCATGGAACATCAGAACACTGAGCTGCAGAGCCTGAAGGAAGAAGTGGAACATTGGAACATAGAACTGAGAGCTACACTGCAGAAACAGCAAGAGGAAGAACAAGAGCTGAACAAAAAGCTGCAGAAGCAACAGGAAGAGGTGGAGCATCTGAACAAAGAGCTGCAGGACAAGCAGGAAGAGGTGGAGCGTCAGCAAGCCACAGTCCAAATCCTAGAAAGGGAGCAGAGCCAGTGGCTGGAGGAAGAGTGTAAAAATTCAGAACGACACGCTGTGCTCCAGAGACAGTGGAAGGAGGCAAAATGTCAAAATAAAGAGCTGCAAAGTCAAAAAAGAGAGGTTGAGCTTCAGAATGTAGAGCTGCAGTACCAGAAAGAGGAGTTGGAACGTCAGAATGCAGAGCTCAAGTCCATGCTCCAGAGGCAGCAAGAGGAGGCAGTACATGAGAGCGCGATGCTTCGGAGCAGTTGGGAGGAGGCACAACAACGTTACTCAGAGATGCAGAGCTGGAAGGAGAAAAGTGAACGTCAGAACACTGAACTGCAGTCCATTCTCCATAACCAGCAAGAGGAGTTGGAACATAAGAATATGGAATTGCAGATGAGACAAAAGGAGCTAGATAATCAGAATGCTGCAGTACAGAAGATGAAGATGGAGCAAAACCAATGGGAAGAGGTGGAATGCCAGAATACAGAGCTGAAGGCAAAACTGCAAGCCCTGGAACAGGAAAGAGCCAGGTGAGAATCATATTTGTGAATGTACATTTGTTTCTCAGATAGTTGAACTATTATGCAGGCATGCAGAAATGTTCAGGGGCTTGCTTGTGGAAGGCTTTTCTCTGAGTAAAGCAAGAACAGCTTTATATCGCCTGAGTAGGGATTTTGTAGCAAGAAAAAGGGCCTACTGTTACATTCCTTATTATGGCACTTAGTCTCTTCAGGGATGTAGCTGATGTACAGTAACTTAATCAGTTTTTCTTAAAGTGGTGTTGAAGGTTTATAAATAGTATGACCCAGCTTTTCTCATCTGCACAGAACAGATGAGATCCACTATGGCTGCTGAAGTTACTGGCCTGTATTCTACTGTTCTGCTAAGCAAATTTCAAAACCTTCCTTCAACTTAGGTAGCTCTTTGTCCTACAAAAGAGCTGCTTAAGTTGGGGGAAGGTTCCTTTAGACTTCACCAGACTAAGGCAGGATACCATCCACTACCTGTTTGTCTTGTTTCCACTATTACCAAGCTTTTAAGTGGAATGTCTTCTTACTTAAAGCCACATTTCATGCCCTCTTCCCACCTACATTGCATAACTAATTTGCAGGTTCTGTTACACTGTCTGCTTTTTTTGCACCCCCAGTTGCCCTTGATGCGGCTGTTTAGTTTTGTATAATTATCTTGTCTTGTGCATGTATGGGATACAGATAAGTATTCCAGCAAAACTCTCCTTCACATGCTTGTCTTGTCAAACAACCCCATGGCTGTAGGTTCTTTTTCTCTAGGATTTTTGTTTTCATATTCATGGCTATTTCCTCATGCAACCGAAGTCTTGTTTGCTTGTTTTTTCCTGGTTCAGCCTAGCTGTGTCCTTGAAGGAGAAAGAGGTCAAACTTAAGAGGCTGCAAGACAGTGACTGTGCCCATCAGAGTGAAATCACCAAACTAAACACTGCACTGCAGCAAGCACAGCAGCTGCTGGCTGACCATAGAAGAGAAGCACAGGAGCTAAGCAGCCAGGTATTGCCTATCAAATTCTTATTTCTCTGCCGCATTATTAGCCCTTGTCTGCATCTCATGATAGTTTTTATCATAAGATACTCCTCGCACATTTCCCGCAATACATTGGTATCTTTCCCTGCATTGTGCAAACTAACAGGGCTTTGCTCATGTCTCCCAATCTTCTTAACTGTGCATATGCTGAGTTCCAGGGAGAAAAGAAACAGTTTTAGATTTTCTTCTTGTATTATAGTTTCAGTGCTTCACCATGGTGTCTGTTTTTAAATGACCTTTTCAAATCCACTGGCTCATTATTTTATTTACAAAATCAGTAAAAACGTAAGAGCCCTGCAGTATCAGATCAGTGATCCATCTAGCCCAGCATCCTGTCTCACACAGTGGCCAACCAGTTCCTCTGGAGGTCCGACAACAAGGCATAGAGGCCTAGACCTTCCCTTGATGTTACCTCCTGGACTGGTAATCAGAGGTTTACTGTGTCTGAATATGGCAGTTCCCTTTAGTGACCAAGGCCAGTAGCCACTGATCGACCTCCATTCATCTGTTCACTAATTAGTTCAGTGTTCTGTAACGATACCCAGTTCTTCAAGTAAATATATGAAAATATTTAGTTTTCTCTTGCAAACAATATTCAGAACTTTTTCCTCTACTGTTCAGATCTCAGTAGGAACATGTCTCATCTTACTGGATGCTCACTGATACTGTTGAGCCAGCATGGTGTAGTGGTTAAGACTGGCAGACTCTAATCTGGAGAACTGGGTTTGATTTCCCACTCCTCCACATGAAGCCTGCTGAGTGACCTTGAGCCAGTCACAGTTCTCAGAAGAAGAAGAAGAAGAAGAGATTGGATTTATACCCTGCCCTTCACTACCCAAAGGTGTCTCAGAGTGGTTTACAAACTCCCTTCCCTTCCCCTCCCCACAACAGACACCCTGTGAGGTAGGTGGGGCTCAGAGAGCTCTTGACAGAAACTGCACTTTTTCAAGAACAGCTCTTATCAGAGCTACGGCTTGCCCAAGGCCATCCAGCCAGGTGCAAGTGGAGGAGTGGGGAATCAAACCCGGTTCTCTCAGATTAGAGTCTGCGCACTTAACCACTACACCAAACTGGCTCTGTCAGCCAGTCGGCTCTGTCAACCCCACCTACCTCACAAGGTGTGGGAAGAGGAAGGGAAGGGGATTGCAAGCTGCATCCTTAAAATAGAGAAAAGCTGGGTATAAAAACCAACTCTTCTTCCCTGTGTCATATTCCTATATCTACAAAAATCTGTTCATTTTGCTTTTCCTCTGCAGATGCAGTCACTCAGGCAGACGATGCTAGAGAAAGAGGCAGTCTTGATTGCGCAAAAGGAGAAGCTGGCCCAGGATCTGGAAGAATCACGTGCTAGTGAGCAGCATTTGAGGGACTCTGTGAAGATGCTGGAAACTGAAGCATCACAGTTGCGCCTGAACCTTTCTGGCACAGAGAGCAGGACAGAAGCACTGCATTCAGAATATCAGCGCGCTCGTTCAGCCCATTGGGAGGCACAGTCCCAGTTAACCAAGCTGCGTTCTGTTCTGCAGTACATGTTGTGTAGTGACTTTGAAGAAAAGCTGGAGTATGGGGGGAGAGGAGACCGAACCACTGGGAGCTCCACCTCCCCTTGTAGAGGTGAGTCTAAGATACTAGCAGCATACCCTTAAGAAGGTGATGGTTGATTATGTGGAAAAGCCTGTCTCTAGATTTTTGCTCCATGGTACTTGTTTTCCATTGTGATGTAATGAAATGGAGCACATCATAATTTTGCTTTGTATCTTCTAATTTTTGTTTCATTGCTGCCATCTTAGCACCCAAAGTTGAGTACCAGTGTGATGTAGTGCTTAAATTGGACTAGGCCTAGGGATACCCTGGTTCAAATCCATGGAGCTGACTGTGTGAGCTTGAGCCAGATACTGTCTCAGCCCACTAACTCTTTAAGTCTGCTGTGAGGATAAAGTGGAGGAGGGGAGAACCATGAATGCCACTTTGAGCTACTTGGGGGAATGGTGAGATACATAATGCATAATCTAATACATAAAAGTAGGATGGTGGTTGCTCCATTCTATAGCAGTAGCATAATTTGCTTGTCAGGTAGTATCTGTGCTCATGTAGAGCATGACAAGCCATTGGCTGTGTCGCGATACAGGCTAGGAGTGACACGAGGCACATCGGTGAAGCTGGAATGATGGAAGGTGGAGCACTAATTAAGAGAACATAGTCAAAGTCTGGTCCGAGGGTCAAGCACAGTGTCAGATAGTTGGCGAAAAGGGCAGTCCAAACACAGTCTAGCTGTCTGAGAGTCATTTGTGAGCAGGTTCAGAGCAGATTCAGGAATCGTAGTCAAGAGGCAGTCTGAGAAGTCACAGCAGCTGGGCAAAGTCCAGTTCAGTGATCGTGAGGTAGCAAGGTGGGGTCAGATGCAGTGGATGCAGGGTTGGGAGTAAAGCGACTTCTTGTTTCCACGCCTCATTTATGTTTGAGTCACATCTGGGTTGTATTAGGCCAGGGCATGGGTGATCATCCTGGCTCATTAGCTCCAGGTGTCTCCGGGCTGCTAGGCACATGCTTCATCTCCTCTCACAGAGTTTGTGCCTCATCTTTCACCGCCAGCACTCCAGCGGTTCCATGGATATAGGAGGCAAGGGCAGCCCATGGGACCTTGTCTGGACTTGGGTCCTGAATCAGGATAGTTGGAGCGCTGCCCTCAGCTGGCAGTTCCTCTGCTTCAGGGGGCCAGCTGTCACTGTGACCCAGGGCATCCTTCTGCTGCCCCTTTGTCACTTTCTGCCTCATCTGAACTGGTCAACTTGGGCTGATCCATGACAGGCTGTCTCAGACATTATTGTATAAAATTGATCTTTCCTGAATTTGTTCAATGGAATAGCCAGGGGGTAGGGAGAAAGCTGTAGAAAGCAGAGCTGATACTATAAAAGGACTGGGGGATGCACTAGAGCTGTTTATATGCATGACTTATTTGTGTTTGGTAAACTTGCAATAGGAGGGTATGAGTTCTTGGGTAGAAGGGAAACCCAACTGTAAACCTTAAAGAAACATCTTGGGATGTATCTTAGCATTACTGGAATGAACAATCAGATGTCACCTTTTTAATCACAGGGTGCTTCTTCCCATATTCAAGAGTGAAATGAACACAATTCCTGTTTTCTGTTGGTTTTCTGTGCATTTTGTGATTTAGGCATAAGAACATAAGAGAACATAAAGAGAAGCCAATGTTGGCTCAGGCCAATGGCCCATTGAGCCCAACACTTCATCACACAGTGGCCAAAAATACCAGGTGCCATCAGGAGGTCCACCAGTGGGGCCAGGACACTAGCCCTCCCACTGTTGCCCCCCCCAAGCACCAAGAATACAGTGCATCACTTGCCCCAGACCGAGAGTTCCTATCTATACGTTGTGGCTAATAGCCACTGATGGACCTCTGCTCCATATTTGGTAAACGTGCTCATCAATACATTATAGAATGGGTTTTTGTGAAGTGCAGAAAAACAAATTTCTACTTATGCATCTTTCCTCTACTGTGCATCTTTCCTGCTTTCCCCCCCTTTGTGCAACACTTTCTTCTTGAAGGGGGAAAAAGTAAACATATTGGCCATTTTCTTTCCCGATCTACTGATATGTCTGTTCATATTATCTTAACAAGGATTTTTCTTTCTCATCAAAAAGCCTGTTGGTTTCATTCTGGATATTTAGTAAAGATTCTTACCCAGTTCCTGCTATCCTTTGTGTAACCCCTGCCTCCAGATATAATAATTAGAATATGAAGGTGCATGTTTCAGCAGTCTTGCTGAAGCTTTCTTGAGCTCCTTGGAAGAAAGCGATTTGTATAACAGTTAAATAAATGGAATGAAATAGGAATTTGGATGCTTCACTTTGATTTACTTTTCCAGTTAGCTGATGAGAGGGATTTGGCATATCAATGACTGTAGAAGCTCTTTCTAGACTTCTTCCCTGGGGAAGGGATTGTTGTCTGGTCTCATGAACTAATTGTGTGTAAATTTATCTTTTCTTGATAAAGTAGGAAACTAATTGCTGCCAGTTTACAGAGGAAATGTGTTAGTATTGGCTTTACCCTGATCTTTGTATTTTATACCTTTTGATACATTGGATATACTGACTGGCAGTAAATGGCATTTATGATGTTGGCATTCTAAGATTACTTGGTAGCTTCTAAATAAAGAGTAGGACCTTTATAGTGGTCATTGATACAGAGTTCAGTTTGCATTTTAACTGATTATTATACTGGGAGCTCGTTTTATTTATTTCATTTAGACTTCACCTTAACCCAAGTGTTCCCCTCTCCTCAATGTTATCCTCACAACAGCCCTGTTAAGCTGAGTGTGTGACTGTTCCAAGGTCACCTCAGTGAGCTTCCATGGACTCTAGACTCTTGTCCAGTACTCCAACCACTACACTGCACTGACTCTCTTCTTGAGGGAGTTTATCTTCCCAGATTGAATTGGTCCGAGAAAAATATATAACTTGGTGAGTGATGGCTGCTAGAGTGAACTAGGAGTATCTAATTTCCCTTCATGATCTGGATTACAAGTCACACATGAGTTCTTAGGTAAGGTACTTCTTTGTTAATCTGGATATATCCCACAAAGCCAAATTTTTTGTTTTTAAAGAAAAATATCTGGGAATGCTCAGCACACCTTATTGAGTATTGGATATATTTATGAAATATCAGTGGCTGAATGTAGGGCTGCTTATTGCATCGATTTGTCTGTGACAGCACTGACATTTTGTTGGTTGAAGAGATAATGCACTGAATCTACGATTAAATTATTACATTTGATGTAACTTTGAGTGGAACCTAGATTTTATAAGAGTGGCCCCACTGAATATCTCTTTGTTTCCTTGTTCATGTAACATCAAGTACAAACTGCCCATGATGGAATGTCATTGTGCTTTGCATCTCTGTGCTCATCTTATATTAGATGTTAGAAGAAAAACAGAGCAAAGAGACATAGATTGGCGGCAACTCTTGTGTTTCTTCTATGACTATTTCGGTGCTTAGTAAGCTTTCTAGGCACTCCGTCGGGTATTTTTTAAATCAGTGACTTGTCAGGTAGGTGTCATTACAGAGATGGCTTATTTCTCCAGAACAGGATAATGTGAAAGGAATGGCTGTACTTCAGCTCAAGAATCTCTCTACAGAGCTTACAGTGGAGAGAGTAGCCGAAGCAATCCAGGATCTGAGGCAGAATGTGTGGCATGCTCGTCGAGAACGGGTAATGTTTTTTTCTGATTTCATATTGCAACCCTCTCTGGGCATCTCTAAGTTTCTCCATAATAGATCAAGATGTCACTACCATTTTGGTCCCTTAGAACATGGTTGGTAGAGGTGGTATCTTAGATCATTGGTCTGTCAAGGTCAGTATTGTTTACTGTGAGTGGCAGTAACTCTCCAGGGTCTCTGGCAGGGGTCTTTCATATCACCTGCTGCCTGATCCTTTTTACTGGAGATGCCAGGGAGCTGAAATTGGGACTGTCTGCTTGCAGAGCAAATGTTCTGCCACGGAGGCACAGCCTCTTGCCACCAATGAAACGCAAGCCTTTGAAGCACAGAAAAGTTCTTCATTGGGCATACATATTTAAAACAAAGTTCAAAAAGCTCAATCGCATCATAACACTCCTTTATAATAATATATGTTAAGCACTGTATAAATAACATTTACTCTATACGTACCGTTGAGCTTATCTTCTACCTTGTGTATTCAGCAAATTAGTTTCCAGTTTAGTTAGTGTAATAACATAATTCTCATCTGTTCTCCATCGCACTGTGGTTTGATGCAGTTCATGAGTGAATAGATACATAGTGCAAGATTTTCACAATGTTTTCACTGTACATATTTTCTTACACTAGTATTACTAAAAGGTGTCTGAGCTAGACAAAATGTATTTGACTTGTGGTTCAGTTAAAATCTGTCTCTCTCCATTAAAGTCTGCTTTTGGAATTCCTCCATATCCACCTAACTAGTTGCACTAAGAAACAACTGCCTTTTAATGTGCTAACCAAACTATGCATAATGAAGAATCTCTGAGATACATTTACTTATTTTCCCCATATAAATTATTGAAAATAAGTTTGCCTGACCTATATGTGTTTGAGAACAGGCCTCCTAGTACAAGGAAGAATTCTGAGAAACTGAAGCAAAAATTAAGTGAGAAGAAAGCAGCTGTGTCAAAAGGTCACTTAGTCCAGCCTGGGCCAAATGTCTTTTGGTACAGGGCTGCAAGACAAAATTACAAAACCCTGGAGTGTGACTATTCACACACCAGTCCGGTAGCCTGCCACCAGCCCCCTTTGTTACTAACCCAGTAGTCAGATGCCAAAGGGCAAAGCTTCTAACCCTCCTGTGTTTAAATAAAAATCTACCCTGCAAGGTTGGCTCACAGAAGGAGTTTCTCACAAAAGGCAAGTTACTCTGGTAGTTGGTCTGCCAGTCAAGGTGCTAGATTTAGATTGAGAACTGTGAACACAACCACAAAAATAAACTAAATTATATTTTTATTAAGGTGCATGATTATTTCAAATAAGAACAAAAGACTGTGAGGATAAAATACAAAATCTAGAGATTTAAAGGCTAGCTAAAACTGTTACACATTGGTTCCAAGTTAGAAGATATTACCCATTCTCAGATGGTAGTTGCAGTGATCCAAAGTGGCTCTATTCCTGAGTCACCACAGGCCAAAGCTGAATGAACTATGCAAGCAAGTGTTTAAGATGGCCAAAAGTGAGCAAGAAGAAATCTACATGGCTAGGTCTCAGGTAGCCAGCATCAAGCTGAGAATAAACTATAATTTTAACTTTTTTATGGGTAAGGGACCCTCGTGGTGCTAGGCCTTTGCACCAATAAGGCCTCTTTGTGATGACACATAGCCAAAGTGTTGGACCAATGGTTGGACAGGTAACCTAAGCAATGGTCTGACCTGGGAGGAAGGCTCAGAGCCAATCTGCAGTTAGGCTCGGCCCCCTTCCCACAGCTGCAAATCATGGCTTAATTAGAAGGAATGCAGCTAATTGGGGAAGACAGTACCAAGCTTCCCATCCTCCCATCACAGGTGTGTTATCTACACTTCACAAGATCATTGTGTTCTTTCTCAGCAAGGCAGGTTTAGCTCACAAGCAGGCCTCATCTGAAGCCTGAATCAAACTTTGAATCAGAACAGAATTTTAAGGGAACCAAAGTTCTTTACAAGCTGTTGCAAAGGGGTCCAGTTTGGATTGGTGGAAAATTACACAGAACTCCATGTAACCTGTAGGCTTGCTCTAAGAGGAGGAGGCTGTTGTTTCACTGGTCTAGATGTTCTTTCTTTCATGTTCTAGTTTTTAGGTGCATGTATCATCACCATTACTATTTTCACAGGATGAGATAAGGAAGAATTCTGAGAAACTGAAGCAAGAATTAAGTGAAAAGGAAGCTGAGAGTGATCGTATCAGTGCCAAAGCACAAGAGCTGCAAAAGTGGCTGAACCAAAGCCAAGAAGGTACAGACTCTTCCTTCTCACTGTGGTGCCTCACAGATGCTACAGGCCTTCCAGAAGGAGAGCTTTGTGCTGTCAAAATGGAGTGGGCTGGATGGAATTAATGACTGTGGAAATTAGGTATCCTCAAAAATGTTGCTTTGTCAGGTTTAGTGGCTGTCTGGGGCACCCCAAAGTTTTGCAGCTGGCTTACAGTAATCAAGACAGAGCAAATTTTATAGTCAAATGATAAATCTTATCAGGATACAGTTTTAGGTGTAAGAATTAGAAGGAGGATGCCTGGAGGACAGAAGGTAAGTGGGGGAACATGTAAACTGGAATCAGCAGAAAATTGGAGCCAAGAGCCATGCTGAAATATGAGAAGTTGCAAAAATTAAAGGCATGAGCCAAGGTTAGGCAAATGACAGGAAGTCATATGGAAAATCAGAAAGAGTGCAGTACTTGGTAGGCTTTACAGATCAGTCAAAGCACACTTTAGGAACAGTAATAGAGAAGCTGCTTGAGAGTAAGCAGAGGACTTAAGGTTCATGACTAATTGTTCAGGTATGCAGGGACTTCGTTCTGAGCACAAGCCAGTCAGAATTCCATTAGAAATATAGCTTCTCTGGATCAGTATTTGAAACCCAAAATCTATGGGCAGAGCGTGTGCTCAGCTCACAGTTTAAGTCTGTGGTCACAACAACAGTTCAGGAAACAGTTCTAAGGTTTAAGTCCTACTAATCCTTACAGTGAGGTTTCTTGCTGCAGAATGACATGTACACTCCTGAAAAAGTTGAGCCAGAATGTTTTTAAAGCTTTAACAGTAGGGTAGTAACTGAGGAGATAAATATTTTTATCAGTGAGCAAGTGTTTATATTCAGTAGAATAATTCAGGTTGAGTTCTAAGAAAATTTTTTAAAAGGCATTTGAGAAGAACTGATAAAATGAAAAGGACAAGACTGTCCTAAAACTAGTACTTGCTCTGCTTCCAGAGCACTGCTACTCCATTTAGAGATGGGAATGCTGAGTTGATGGAAACCCAAAAGTAAACCAACACCTCTAAATCGGAATTGGTCTGAGTTTGGTTTGAACTTTTAAATGTAGCCTACATAAAATTAGTGCAAGCCAGACAATACCTGATGGAGTGAGTGGCATGAGTGTGTACCTTGCAATAGTGTTGAAAACTGAGAACTGCATTCTGCTGTTCTGGAGCATTTCTTGTCTTTCTGATTTATTGAGTATTTCAGAAGCAGTTCTCTCTTTAAAGTTGCTTAAGTAGTACTTCACATTGGTATGTTATACCATGTTATCTACTGTTTCTCCAAAATCCCTTGTCTTCACTAAGCTTTTCTTGGCATTAGTCTGAATACTGCTTTTTCTCTAAACCTCTTCTTTGAAAAAGAACACTCCTAACTACCTTCTCATTATAAGTTAAAAATCACTTTCAAACATTGCTATTATCTGATCTCTTTCCATTGTACTTTCTCCATTTCAGAAAAAATGATGGCTGATGGCAAATGCATCTCCTTGGAATCTGCCTTAAAGTTAGAGGTCATAGCTTTCAAAGAAGAGAATGTGACTTTGCGCACGAAGGTGACCACTTTGGAGAAGTCTCTAGAGAATGCTGAGAAGCAAAAGAAAGATGCATTGGTGAGAGTAGCAAATAGTTTGCAGAGGTCCTAAAAATGGTTTGGGGGAGGGGCCACGGCTCAATGACAGAGCATCTACTTTTTGTGCAGAATGTCCCAGGTTCAATTCCCAGCATACCCAGTTGAAAAGATTGGGTTGTAGGAGATGTGGAAGACCTCTGCTTGAGATCCTGGAGAACTGATGCCAGTCTGAGTAGACAAAGCTAACCGTAATAGAACAATGGTCTGACTCGGTATAGCTTCATATATCCAATAACAGGGAATTGTGAGCCCTGACAAGGGAGCACTACTGTCCTGACCAGTAGATTGCATCTAATTGGGGGTTTAGTTTTCCTTGATATATGATGTAAAATGATGTACACGATGTACAAATACTAATTTACTGTTAGTGTTGTTGCTTATATGACTTATGGAGTACTGTGAACATGCATGGCTCTGTGGAGTACAAGAAAATGCATTCCTGTCCTGAGGAATTTACAAAAATTTGACATACAACAAAGGGAGTGGAAGGAGGCAGAACAGGGCATATGTAGGAAGAACAAGCATGATTCCAATTATACGTACATAGACCCATTAATGGGTGGAATCTAAGGGGTTGTCCAAAACTTCATGGAAAAGGTGGGTTTTTAGGAGGGATTTGAAGGAAGTGAGAGACAGCATTGCAGAGGTCTAGACATAATGGGCAAAGTCATTTGAGGAAGCAGGAGATCTTTCGTTATACCATTTTATTCTCTCTGAGCTTCTTTTATGACTCTTGTAGAGGTATATCTTTCCTGGCTGCAATATAGTTCTTAATGTGGTACATGTCTTCTGGGGGTCTACATTGTGCATGTATGGGGGAATTTCCCCCCCTTCCATTAGCAGAAATTTTCGACAGTATCTAAGCCTTCAAGACTAAACTGCATGGGTTTTTTTGTGTGTTCCAGAATGAACAAGGTATGTTACAAATGGCAAAGGAGAAGATGGTATGGGAGCTGGACGTTCTTCGGGAATCTGCCAAAGCCTCTGAGATACGGGCAAATGCCATGGAAAAGATGAACCAGTCCCTGGAGCAGGAGCTTCAGGCTGCGCTCTCAACCCTAAGAATTAAACAGGAGGAAGTAGAGACTCAACAGGAAAGACTGATGACATTAGAGCAAGAGGCAAAAGTAGACAAAGACTTGCAAGAAAAGCTAGATCACCTAATAGCTACTATAGCAGAGAGAGATGAAGAAATAAAATCTCACTTAAAACAGATCAGGGATCTGGAGAGGCACAGGGAAGTGCAAAAGGCTACTGTAGAACATCTTACTAAAGATGTAGAGAAGAAAGTTCAAGAAATTGAATCTCAAAAATCTCAATTTGAAGAACTAGGGAAGCAGAATAAAATACAGACAGCTGCTCTAGAAAGGCTAAATCTAGACCTAGAAGAGAGCCTCCAAACTGTGAAATCTCAAAAAGAAAAGATCGAAAAACTAGAAGAGCTGACACAAAGCCAAACAGTTGTAATAGAAAGCCTAACCCTAAATCTAGAGGAAAAAGTCAAAGAAACTCAAATCAAGGAGGAAAAAATCCAGATGATGGAAGAGAATGAGTCATCACACATTGGAGCTTTGTTAAAAGATGTAGATGAATTGAAAACACAGTTGAGCGAAAAAGATTGGGAGCTCACATCTCAGAAGCAGGTGCTTCAAGAACGGGAGGAACAGGTGGAAAAGCAGGTAAAGGCTGTTCGGACAAGCCTCGAACACATGAAGGCCATTCTCAGGGACAAAGAAAAGGAGGTGGAATCTCAGAAGGAACAGATAACTAGTTTGCAGCAGAGTGAGGTTCAGAGGGAGACACAACTCCATGAGCTACTTAAGAAAGTAAAAAACCTAACATTCACCCTGACACAGAGAGATCAAGAGCTTGAATTGCAAAAGGAGAAAATAAGAGAGATGGAAGAAGAAATGGAAATGGAGCTAAAGACTCTTCATGAACTTCTTGCAAAGACACAAGGAACCTTAAAGGAAAAGGACAAAGAGCTGGAGTTCCAAAGGCAACATCTAGAAATGGTGGAAAAACAGGTAAAAGATTTATTTGGAGATTTCCAGTGCTGCACAGTAGCACTAAAGGAGAGAGGTGATGGTGTTGAGAAAGAAAAAATAAAGCACCACAAGACACAAGAAGATGAACTTCAGTTGCAGGAGACAATTCTTGAAATGCTGGAACAACTCAAAGTGGTATTAAGAAGAAAAGAACAAGCAGTTGAATCCCTGAAAGAGCAGCATGAGGTTCACAACAAAGAGACAGACAGACAGTTGAGGGAAATGCAAGTGGAACTTCAAGAAGCAAAACAGGCTTTGAGTAATAAAGAGAGAGAGCTAGAGTCCTTAAAGGAGGAGAACTGCCAACTCCAGCAGCGAGAGGAAGTGGCAATAACACAGACAAAGTCTATCTTGGAGAAAGTGGAGTCCTCCAAATCTTGTCTTCAGGACAGAGACCAAGAGAGAGAATCCTTACAAGGACGTCTTCAGGACCTCTTAAGACTGATAGAGCTGAAACAGAATAATGTAGCAAGCCTACAGCAGGATCTAGATAGAATTAATCAAATAACAAAGGAGAAAGATGAAGAAATTCTCAAGCAGGCCAAGCAAATTAACACATACCTTCTGGAAGTAGAAACCACACAGACTGAACTACAGGCATGTAAGAATCAAGTAAGTCATCTTGAGGAAGTGATTAGAAAAAGAGAGCATGAGGGAAACTTCCAGAAGTGCCAGCACAAACATGAACAGGCAGATATGCACCATCTCCAATTCTGGGCGGCTGAAAAGGGGGATGAGAAACATCCCAGAGAAGAAAAAGAAGTTCTAGAAGATCAGAAAGAACAGGTCAGGATGAATGGTCTGTGTGAGAGAGAGCAAAAGCAAATAAATGATGAAATGAAGGAACTTCTGGAAAATATACAGTATCTTCAACACATGTTGCAGGAGAAAGGTGATGAGGTTAAGCAGGAGAGAGTGAAGGTCAAGCAACTAGAAGATAAAATTGGAGGCAAAGAGGAGGAATTGCTGACCTGCAGTGAACATCTGAAGCAAATCATCTCAGCCCTGAGACTGCAAGATAGTGAACAGGACAACATAGAGAGTCATATCCAAAAGCTCCTGGTCTTGAAGGAAGAAGAGGCAGCCAGGAGGAAGGCGTTTCAGGAAAAGGATCAGAAGCTAGAGTGGGAAAAGGAAAAAATTCAGCAGCTGGAAGAGGAGAAAAGAGTAAAGGAGGAGGAACTGGATCACATGATGGCTGTTCTTAACCAGACTGAGAGTGCAGAGATAGAATGGAGAGAGAAAGCACAGAAACTGGGTCTGTCCCTGTCCCAAAGTGAAGAGGCTCTGAAAGCCCTGAGGAAGGAAATTGGTATCATGCAAACCATGGTTTCAGAAAGGGATAACGACAGGTTTCATCTTCAGGTAGGCATTTAGTTGTTCCATTTCCAAACCCTGCAAGTTGTTTAAGGTATAATAAAACCATGCAGTCTAAGGGCCTAGCTACACATTACATTTTCCTCAGGTCTGTGTAATCCACTGGGTATTTCATGTTGGAAACATAATGCCTGGCTCATGCAGACCTAACTTGGATTGGGACTATGGCAGGGCTTAAGTCTTGCCGTCAACCTAAAATGGCCTGGGGAAGGGTGTTTCTGCCCTATTGGAGAAACCTAGCTGTTAGGGTTGCCAGCCCCCAGGTCCAGGCGGGGGTTCCCCTGCTTCTAGAGGCTTCAAGCCACCCCTAGGCAAGTGGCTGGCAGGGGAAGCCCTGCCCCCAAGAGCAACCATCCACTCAGCTACCCCTCTCACTCCACTCCTGCCCGACTTAAAGGGCTTCAACTGATCAGTGCCAACCAGCTGGAGGGCCCTTTAAATCTAGCAGGAGGGAGGGAGAGGGGTGGTCACAGGTCACACGTGCAGCGTGCAGAAAGACCCTTTAAAGTGAGTGGGGTGGGGGGCACAGTGGGCAGGCCTGATTTCCTTTAAAGGGATTTTTTGTGAGCTGCACATGCAGCCCGCAACCACCCCTCTCCTTCCCTCCTGCTAGATTTAAAGGGCCCTCTAGCTGGTTGGCGGGCCACATAGTCCCCACCAATCAGTTGAAGCCCTTTAAATCGGGCAGGAGGAGAGGGAAAAGGGGTGGCTTGAGGGTGTTTCTTGGGGGTGGGACACCAACCCCTGGAACACCCCCCAAATGCCCCTGCTGGAACAATGAGGGGACCTGGCAACCAATGCTCTCTCTAAGCTGTGGAGTCTTATGAGCAAAAATTCTACATTGTGAGCTACTGGCATTAAAGTTGTGAGCAAGTGATTTGACTACTACATAAATTAGTTTGCTCTGGAGCCATCCTTCCTGAGTTAAGACCAAAATGTGTGAGCTGGAGGCTAAAAAACTGTGAACTAACTCACACTAACTTAGCTTAGAGGGAACACTGCTGGCAATCCTACTAGGTGTATTTCATCAGTGCATGAGGAACCCCCAAGAGAGGAAATAGCAGCCCCTTGGGGTCATCTCACACATGCCAGGGATTAAGGTCCCAGCACAGAATTTATAATACACATTTGTCCTGGGGAAAAATGTAAGTTGTAATTAGGCCATAAGGATCTTTCAGTTTCATTCATTATCAGGCTAAGATTAGGTTTGTGCCATCATTCATGACTACTTTAGAAGTAGCCCACTCTGCAGTGAAGAACAGTGTTCCCTCTAAGCTAAGTTCGTGTGAGCTAGCTCACAGTTTTTTAACCTCCAGCTCACACATTTTTGTCTTAGTTCAGGAAGGATGGCTCCAGAGCAAACTAATTTCTGCAGTAGCCAAATCACTCTCTCACAACTTTAATGCCAGTAGCTCACAAAGTAGAATTTTTGCTCACAAGACTCCACAGCTTAGAGGGAGCATTGGTGAAGAATGGGTTAATTCAAGATAACTTTATATTTTAAAAAATTCAACTGGACCAATATAAAACAGAATTTGAGTAACAGTAAATTGAAGACTGAGAGGTATAGCCTGCACTACCATTCTTAATGTATGTGCATAAAGTCCTGAGGGGCCAGAATACTGTGCTTATGGATTTTAGTTTCTTTGGACACTTACTTGATACTCAAAGACTTCTGAGTAAGTTTAGCAGTCATGGGATAACAGCACAGTTCCTCCTGTGGATTAAAAGTTGGTTAAATAACAGGAAGAAGAGAGTAAGACTAAATGGACAGTTCTCAAAATGAAGGGGAGTGAGCCATGGATTCCTGCATGTATTGGGACTAGTAGTATTTAATTTGTTTCTATGTTGTCTAGAATTGGGGGTGAACAGTGCGATGGCCCAGTTTGCAAATAATACCAAATTATTCTGGATGGTGAAAACAAAGGCAGATTGTGACGAGCCACAGGAGGATCCTTAAGTTGGATGAGTGGGCGAAAACATGGCAAATGACAAGTGTAAGGTGATGCACTTAGGAACCAAAACCATAACTTTAAAGATACACTTGTAGGGTCTGAACTGCCTGATAGTGAAAGGGAAACAGATCTTGGAGTTATAGTGGACAGCTCAATGAAATGTCCACTCAATGAGTGGTAGCAGTGAAAAAGGCAAACTCCATGCTAAGAATTATTCAGAAAGTGAAAAATAAAACAGCAAGAGTCTAAAATTTTTCAGTTTAGAAAAAAATGACAGAGGATATAAGAGGTTTATAAAACTACACCTGAAGCGAAGAAAGTAGATAGAGAGAACCCCCTCCCCTCCCCTCATAATAGCACTAGGGGAAACTCAGTGAATGTGATGGGCCCATAGATTCAGAACAGACAAAAGGAGATACTTCTTTACCCAAAGAGTAATTAAATTGTGGAATTCACTGCCAAAGGGTGTAGTGATGGCCACAAGCATAGATGACTGTAAAAGATTAGAAAAATTAATGGAGGATAGGTCTGTCTGTAACACTACCCATGGTGCCTAATGGGAGCCTTCATGTCCAGGGGCAGCAAACCCCTGAAGACCAGTTCCAGGTGTCAACGTTAGGGGAAGGCTTCAGCCTCTATGCCCTGTTTGTTGGCCCTCCAAGACAACTGGTTGGTTGCTGTACGGGACAGGTTGCTGGACTTGATCGGCTCCAGCAAGACTCCACTTATGTTCTTGGTATTTTAGGTATGTCAGTGATTAGTACTGTGTGTTGTCCCACAGGAGCAGTTGAATAGAGCTTTCAGAGCACTGGAGGAAGAGAGACATATTACTAAAGCTCTGACAGGAGATGTGGATTTGCTTCCTAGAGAAAATGGCATGTCAGAGATATGGTCTAAAGAGGCTGGAGAGGTAAGAAGTCAACAGAAGATAAGAATAGTAGAGCACTGGAACACTTGTGATATAAAAAAGGGAGTTCTGGAATATGGCTCCCAGTTCAGATATATGGCTTCAGGGGCTAGTTGTCTGGTTCTTGTTTCCAGCAGCAAAACCCTTGAAAGAGGGGGGTTTCTTTAAAGGAAGGAAAATATACTGATTATCCTGCACTGTTTTCTGTGTTATATAGTCTGTTAAGAAAGAAGGAGAGCTGACCTGGGCAACTGAATGGAGGCTGCTGTACAGGCGCCTGAAACTTCTGCAGGAAGCAGTTGCCAGGCTGGAGAATGACAAACAAGGTTTGGAGCAGCACAATATACAGCTCAGAGGTACACTCGAACAGGTGAGTCTCTCCATAAGGGAAGATGTGCTATTTTGGCTCTCCTCCTCACTCCCCTGTGTGATAATAGTTGTTCTTATTATCATCCATATCATATTCTTATACACAGTCTAAGTTTCTACACTTTGATTCTTCCAGTATAGACTGCTCTTAATTCACTGTTCTCATTGGGTAGTCCTCTTTTACATACATGCCCTTGTCTTCAGTTTGATTGGTTTCCAGAACAGCAGTGTCCTGTGCAACCTAACGCTGGGACTTGGTGCCAGTCATGCAAGATGCAACATGTCATCCAGGAGGTCGTGTCACTCATCTCAGACGTGGGCATTTATTTTCACTGAAAAGCAAGTGGGGGTGGGGGGTGGGGTGGCAGCAGTACCAGCATCCCAGCAATAGTGCTTGGAAAAGGAGTATTTAACCTCTTCCCCCCATGCCCTTATTTTCCGTGATTTAAATTGCCTTCCTGAACTGCAGAGGGAAAGAGAAAAGTGCCAGTATTTTGGGTTTTCCCCCTGTGGATCTTAGGAATTGGATTTAGATCAGGGAGATTTCACAGGGAAAAAGATTAAACACCCCCATCCTCAATATTGCTAGATCCTGTTTGGGTCCCCTGCCGCTGCAATCCAGTCATAGATCTCTCCCATAATGTGTGGCTTATTTTGCCAGCTTACAAAATGTTATCCTGCTTCCCCTTTGGCCCAAGTTCTGTTGGTATCTTTGGCTTCTGTAATACTTTCCCTTCCTCTTCTTTAATGCAGGTGGAACGTGAACGGAGGAGATTGAAAAGGACCTGTGGAGACCTTTCTCTGAACTGCAGTCTCTCTCAGGCTGACTCAGGACCACCGAAGATTCCAGCTGTTGCAAAGGTCTGAATATTTGTACATTTTAAAATTGGAAGTTCGACTTAAACCTGTAAAGTATGAGGATCTTTTTGTTAGAATCTTATTCTTCCCATTAGTAGCATACAAGTCTTAGTATTGGCTTAGTTTAACCTTGACTATGTTGGAGAAATATCTGTATTGTGAAGATGCTTGTATTATGCACAGTAGACATAAGTTGCTGTCCTCAGTCTTCTGTTCCTGAGTTTTTGGAAAATCAGCAGATGGTTGAATGATCAGCAGATGGTTGAATGATCTCTTCTTTTTTTTCTCTAGGAAGAAACTCTGTATAAGCAACTAGTAGACTTAAAAAAGCAGGTGAGTTGTTAACATCCAGGGCATACTGAAATTTACAGCTCTGTTCTTCACATGAGGTATAGCACCTCTTCTTTCACATTTCCATACTAGCTAAGCACTTATGATCACTGAAACATTTTTATAAGAGTGAATTCCCAGGAAGTCTTTAAGGGTGAATCTTCTGTGTTCTTAATCTTTCCAAAGCTTTATGTTTTTTTACTTTTTAGTACAAGTGAAATTATGGTACTGCAATTTTGTTCTTAAATGTCACTTTAAGTATATGCAACATGTACACATGTAGACCTGGCATGCATGACTGAATCCTGGGTGCGAGAAGGAGAGACAGTATCTCTCTCCCAGGCAGCTCCTCCTGGGTTTACGGTCCTTCACCAATCCCGGACTAGAGGGCAGGGGGTGGGAATGGCGTTATTCATCAGGGAGGCTTACTCCTTCAAGGTGCTCCCACCGCCGAGGATCACAGGCATAGAGTGTGTCGGCCTGGTATGGGAAGCTGAGGAGAGTGTGGTGATTTCGTTGGTGTACCAACCGCCCAACGCACTGGTCAATAGCCTACCATCCCTGATTGAGGCCATATCAGGCTTGGCCCTGGAACGCCCTAGACTGATAGTCTTGGGTGATTTCAATGTCCATGCCGATGACACGGCCTCTACTCAGGCTGCGGACCTGGTATTGTCCATGGCAGCCCTAGGACTCTCCCAACTTGTAACGGCCCCCACTCACTGGGCTGGTCACACACTCAATTTGATCTTCACAACTGGGGTTACCGTGGGCCGAATAACTGCATTAGCAGTACCATGGTCAGACCACTTTGCCTTAAAGGCCTGTTGTAATACTCCACTCCGACCCTGTTTGGGTGGCAAGCCTATTTTGGCTCACCCACGGAGCCAAATGGACCCAGTGCAGCTTCAGATGGCTCTCCAGGAACCGATGCCCCCGGCGGCTCATTAAACGAGCTTGTAGAGGACTAGCACAGCCAAATCTCGACAGCCATCGATTAGATCACTCCCCGGCACCCTCTGCTCCTGGCCAAAGCCCACTCCATGGTTTATCCAGAAGTTGAGGCTAATGAAGCGGAAGCTAAGACGGCTAGAGAGGCAGTGGTGGCGTGCTTGCGATGAGGCGACACAAGCATCTTATAGGACGTTTATGAGATCCTATGAGATGGCAGTCAAGGCCGCTAAAAGACAATTTTATATGGCCAAGATTGCGTCCGCAAGCTCACCCCCAGCCCAATTGTTTAGAATGATTCAGTCTATTACTGCTTTGACTCAAAACATATTAAACCGTAGGGAATTTGATATAGGCTATGAGGCTTTTGAGAGCTATTTTGCAGATAAAGTCATGTAGATCCGCCAGGACCTCCCTGCTACAGTTGATAAAGTGAATGAACTCAAGGCTCCGTGCACGTCTTCTAGTAACATCCTGGATTATTTCAGCCCGCTCAGCCTTGAGGAAGTCAACAAACTGCTCCTAACTGTACACCCTACCACGTGCCCCCTAGATCAGTGCCCTTCATGGCTAATTAAAGCTGGCCATGAGGGGTTTTGAGGTGCCTTGCGGGAGATAATTAACAAGTCCCTCGCTGAGGGGCTATTCCCGGAGGCACTTAAGGAAGCAGTGGAGCGCCCTCTCCTGAAAAAGCCATCACTGGATCCGGCCGAATTGGCCAACTAAGGGCCAGTTTCCAACATGCCCTACCTGGGCAAGATAATAGGCAGTGGTAAGTCAGTTACAGGGCTTTTTGGATTACGCCTTCATATTAGACCCCTTCCAGTCCGGCTTTCACCCGGGTCACGGGATGGAGACGGCACTGGTCACCTTCACGGATGACCTCCGAGGGCACCTGGATTGAGGCGGATCGGCAGTGCTGTTGCTGTTAGACCTGTCGGCCGCATTCGATATGGTCAACCATCAGCTACTGATCCACCGCCTTGCCGACACTGGAGTCCAGGGACTAGCCTTGCAATGGCCTGTTTCCTTTCTCCAAGGCCGGGGACAAAGAGTGGCGCTAGGGGATCAGCTGTCCTGAAGGCACCCGCTGGAATGTGGAGTGCCCCAAGGGGCAGTACTGTCCCCAATGCTTTTCAACATCTATATGCGCCCTCTTGCCCAGAGGTATGGACTGGGTTGTTACGAGTACGCGGATGAAACCCAGCTCTATCTGTTGTGGGGTGGTCAGTCCGACTCCAAACCGGAAGATCTAGACTGGGCGTTACAAGCTGTGGCTGGTTGGCTTAGGCTGAGCCGGCTGAAATTGAATCCGATGAAGACGGAGGTCCTGTGCCTGAGTCGAAGCGGTCTGGAGGTAGGGATCCCACTCCCAACCTTCGATGGGGCGCCATTGGTGCCAGCGCCGGAGGTTAGGAGTTTGGTAGTGCTCCTAGATGCCTCCATAACAATGGAGGCCCAGGTAGCTGCCACTGCCAAGTTGTCCTTTTATCATCTCAGGCTGATCAGGCAGTTGGCTCCCTTCCTCGAACACAATGACTTGGCAACAGTGATCCATGCAATGGTCACCTCGAGATTGGATTACTGTAATGCCCTCTACATGGGGCTGCCCTTATCTCAAACCCGGAAGCTGCAGCTGGTGCAGAATGCCGTGGCCAGGTTGCTGATGTATACGGGAGCACATCCAATCTGTGCTAAAGGTGCTGCACTGGCTGCCTATAGCATACTGGATTCGTTTCAAGGTGCTGTTTATGACCTTTAAAGCCCTTTATGGCCAGGGACCTGCATCCCCGAGGGACCGTCTTTCCCCATATGTTCCCCAGAGAGCACGTCGATCAGGGACCCAGAATCGCCTGGCCCTCTCGAACATCAAGGAGGCCAGGTTAGCGACAACCAGGGCTTGGGCTTTCTCGGTGGCGGCTCCCCTCTGGTGGAATGAGCTCCCCTCTGGTGGAATGAGCTCCCAGAGGAGATCAGGGCCCTGTGGGACCTGTTGCAGTTCTGCAGGGCCTGTAAAACAGAGCTCTTCCGCCAGGCTTTTGGAGCCGCTGCCACCGCCGACCATCACTGATAACTGATAGCTCCTGAGGAGAGCCTGACCCCTCTGGATCCCCAACTACCTCCCAACCTGATTGCCTGAATAACTGAAGATCAAGGGACTGACTGTACGCTGAGGAATCACTACTAGCACTTTAGTATGTTATGTTATGTATGGTTTTAGAATGTATGTTTAATGGATTTTATAACTTTTATTTATATTGTACTGTTTTATATTGTTGTGAGCCAGCTTTGCCGGGAGGGCGGGGTAAAAGTCTACTAAAAAATAATAATAATAATTTGTTATGGAACTACTGAAAAGTGATAGAAATGATAAACAAAAATGAACGTGGAAGGTAAGAGCATACAAATGAAAGGCATTCCTTTCTGTGAGCCAGAATTTTTGAAAATAAGGTCTTCACAAGGAAACAATGCTAGTTCTTGATGTTATCTTTGCCTTTTTTAGGTGTCTGTACTACAAATGCAGCTGTCACTAGAAAGGAAGCAGAAACAGGATTATATTGACAGCTGTGCCAAAACAAGCCATGAGATTTCCGGTTTACATCAGGAACTTTCACAGTCTTTAAATGCTGTAGCCAGGGAGCCTGAGGCTACAGTTCTGGCATCTGAGACCCGCAAACTTGATGAAACCCTGAACCAGAGCTTGGTATTAGCAAATATAAGTTGGGGTGGCATCTTGTCAGAAAAGCACCCAATAAGCTCAACACCCAAAACAGTCCAACAGAAAGGTTCAAGATAGCATGGAGGCACTGAAGAAGCCAAAGCACTCCAAATGCATGGCCACATCCCCAAAAATGTGGCTAACAGGACAATTCTGTAAAGTTTTTTGGTCAGTATAAATCTCAGCCCACACTGGACTGCAAATAGAAGTAAATTAAATCTGCCAAGACTTTCCTTTCACTCATCCTTTGTAAGACCTAGCCTGCTAATTTAGTTGGCCTGCACCCTTTTTGGCTTCAGTTCATATGTGAATCCTTGAAAATATAATTCTAAACTGTTCTGAAATGTAGACTGAAGCCGATAAAGATCATGTGAATACAGTCAAGCTGTGAAATAACGAGTTAGCTGTTGGGCTACATATTAAATGTAGATCCGTATTTTGGAGAAGGTTGTCATAGAACAAAATTCTGAGCCAAGGCATGAGAAGCTGTATTTTAAAAAATGTGCTTTATAATTACTGAATCACCAGTAGAAAAAGGTGTTCATTGCAGAAACTGACCTCTGAGTAAAGCTGAGCTCACTGAAAAGATTTCCAACAGGTTTCTACACAGAGGTTCAGAATGTAACGAGACATGTTTGGGGAATGAAAGCGGTCCCAACCCCAAGAGTATTAGCTTCAGCTTAATTCTTTAATCTTATTAGGAAATGACATTTGTTTCATAGCTGATGCCTTGTCATGTTCTAAAATGCTGTATACCTGCACACTGTAAAATGTCTAAGAGTTATTTTTATAATATTTTTGTACTAAGTTTTCTTAATATTTATAATAAATATATTTTTCATTTTTATTATCGAATCTAATGCTCTTTCCAGATGATTCTATTAAAACTTTTAATGGTTATTTATCATCTATGAGTCCAAATGTTTGCATTCAGTCCTCATCTCATTAGCTTCTTACTCAGCCTAGGAAGTTATATTTTGTTTGTTGACTTCAGCCCTGCTATCTGTTATAAGGGCAAGCCTGTGCTTCTGGGCCTTTGGACAGTACAAGAAAGAATAAAGGCCCTTAGCCAATACTGTGTATCTGTTCCATATTCTTCTCTATAATAAATTCTCCCGTTAGCTTCTGTGTCAGTAGCCTTGTTGGCTTGTGGTGTAACAGTGTTACCAGTCAGTGCTGTCTCACCATGGAGCAGTTGGTTTTCCAATCGGTAATACCACACACCCCTCATATAAAAACCACTCCAGACAGAAATTAAATCTGTCTCATAAGCCTGGCCTAGGACAATGAATGGCAGGCACAGCCTGGGGGAAAGTATCTGGAAATACATCAAAGGAGGCTGGCTTGATAATAGTTCTCACTCATCCTACAGTAATGTACATTTTACAACATTGGGGTCTCTCAGGAAAACAGCATCACACCTTCCTTTATCCCCATTCTGCTTCCCCCATTCACCCATTTACCATATTCACAACACCTGGAAGTTCCTCTCCATCCCGCACATCAAGGGGCATCCACAGATATTATCAGCTCCGGGAAAGTAACCAGGCTCTGCCAAATTCTTTTATCTCCCTCTGGGAGAGCTATTAACCATTTGTCCAGGTCTCTGGGAACCTTCCTGTAAACATATCAACACTGTTGTTCCTTTGAAGCAACCCCATCAGCATACCCGCAGGTATCATTTTGGGTATAAATATACCCATGCTATCCACATTGTGTGTGCATGTAACCCAACACCCAAGATGCTGGTCGCCTAACCTCTAACCTTCTGGACAGACCTGAGTATCTTCAAGACTGGTAGATACAACTTTTTCCACAAAATCTATTTCCCCCATCTCACTCTACTTAATCAGCCTTGCAAGTGTGTTTCTAGTATGTATTTTGTATGTGTGTTTTGCCTTCTAGTAGTTTTCAATAAAACTCTGTTAAACATCAGCCTGGTTCATTAGAGAATTCTCTGGAGGAAGGATCTTGGTATGCAAAGGTGAAAAAGGTCCCAAGTTATCCGACTCTCGCTAAGAACTAAATTCCCCAATCAACCAATTAATTAGTTCAGTTTGGGTAACAACAGTTTGTCCAAATCATCCGAAGTTTGGCTTCTAGGCATAGCCTCCTGTGATTCATAAACACAAGTTCCTCTGGATACAAGTGGCATTTGATTGTTTCCTAAGCCAATTGTAGAAGGGAGGATTTTAAAAAGACTGTGTATCAACAGTCTGCTCATATATTCAATTACAAAACTCCCATAATATAAACCTGCCTTGTAGAGTTAGCAGTACAAAGCAGAGTAAAGAAGGCCACAATGAATAACAACTGCAATGCAAGCTAAACAATCGTGGGATCTACTGGCTACACAACACACATGGAAACAAAGAGTCTTCAGGAATACTTGACAAAGGGTGTAGGAGACTGCATCCGAATCTGCCAAATGGATATTGAGGGTATAAGCAAATTCCCTGAAGATGGCAAGTTGCCAGGGGATATTAGTGCTGATTAGATTTCCAAGGCACTGAAGGATATCAAGGGTGAAAGGCACCAGGCTTTGACTGCAACCATGAGTTTCCTGATCAACAGTGGTACGTTCACTAAGAAGTGGCTGGCAAAGTTTCTCATTGATGTCATGAGAAAAGGAAGACTCCCAGGGTAATTCAAGAAAGTAAAGATAGTTGCTGTTCTGAAACCTGGAAAGCCAAAACATCTGGCGGAAAGTTACAGACCTATTTCCCTTCTGAGCTCCTATTATAAACTCCTTGAGAGGCTAATCCTGAACAGAATCAGTGACAGAATTAACAAACGTGTCCCTATTTAGCAAGCAGGATTTGAACCCCGTCGTTGTTGGGAAGACCAGGTTCTACGCTTAACAACTTTCATTGAGGCAGCGTATCAGAAGTGTCTTAAGACACTTTTAGTTGATCTGATTGCCGCTTATGACACAGTCTGGAGGGATGGTCTGCTGTTCAAGTTGTTACAAGTTTTCCCCTGCAGAACATTATTTTGTGCTGAGTGATAGAACTTTCCAACTAAATAAGAGTCAGTAAATCAATAAGCAGAAAAAAACCTGAATAATGGCCTACCCCAGGGCTCTGTTCTCACTCCAGTTCTTTCCCCCCCTTTTTTCCATTCAAGAATTCTTTCCAGTTCTTTTCAATCTATACATTTCTGATGTTCTCAAGATGATATCCAGGAAGTCTGCTTATGCCGATGACATGGTGATTGCTGGAAGGTACAAATCAACTGAATGGACTGAGGAAATACTGACTTAGGGACCTTGAATTTTTGGCTGAATACTACCTGTTATGTATTATGTTATGTAAATGGAAGCTTATCCCAAAACCAGGAAAAATTGAATGTTCCTGTTTCCATCTCAACAACAATCTTGCCATTAATTGAATGTCTACTTTAATGGCACCCAACTTACACATAACCATACACCTAAGCACCTTGGCATTACCCTGGACAGGACTTTGAGCTATAAACACCATCTTACCAATGTAGCGGCAAAAATACATCCACAAAACAATATTCTCCAAAAATTATCTGGTATAACTTGCGGTGCAACACTTAGGCCCCTGCCACACGGGCAGGAAACTGCAGAGGAGAAGTGTGGCTGTTTGCCCCGGGGCAAACTAACATGCAGTAAAGCGATCAGACCTACTGTGGAGGTTCTGTGGAGGTACTGTGGAGGTTCCATGGCAAGGGAGAGGTGCCGATCACAACACACGCCTGCGCGCAATGAGGACGCGCGCGGCGCGGCGAACTGGTTTTCTTTTTTTGTGTACACTACGAATGCGCATGCTCCGTTGGGTGCGTGTGCGCATCCACGGAGACGTGGGGGAAAAAAAACCCTTTTCCGCAAGGGGACATGGGCGGGCGCCGGATACCACCGGAAACGCGATCAGACGCCCGCCCTTGCCCCGCAGTTTCTGGAAACTAGTACCTCCAAGGTACTAGTTTTTTGCTGCGCTTTTTCGGCAGGAAGCCTCAGTTGTGCCACGGAAGCACTACGCTTCCCAGATGTGCTGGTGAGATCGCGACCGGAAACTCCGCTTGTCTTCCGTATCTCTTGCGTGGCTAATGTTGCGTGTGACCGCAGCCTTAGATGCTCAGCTTTGGGGTTGGTGTATAGTACTGTGGAATATGGTGCTTCAGTGTGGCTTAACAGCCTCCCATGTCCACAAACTTGATGTCCAACTCAATACAATGAGAACCATCAGTGGATGTATTAAACCCACTCCAACCTATTGGCTACCCGTATTGTGCCACATCACTCCCCCACATCTCCGAAGACAAGATGCTCTTTTTTGTGCATATAGAAAGATAACTGAAAACAGAGAGTTGGCCATCTGCAAAGATATGGCTGATGTGGGCCTATCCAGACTAAGATCCTGACACCCAGTAATAAGATCTGCAAACTGTGCAATCACAAAATTTTGATCTAGGGAATGAATGGTTGTGAACATGGATGCAATCAGTTCTATCCAATATCCATAACCTAATAAGCACCAACAAGAGGCCCACAGGATTTGACTTGCCATGTAAAGTATGAAAGACGACTAACAGAATATGAACAGTCTTTGGTAGTTGCGCAGACCGGTTGTTTAAATGGAGCAAAATACCAGGACCCAAATGTGATTGTGGTGCAGCTCGCCAAATTTCAAATACCTTTTATTGGCATGCAATATTAGAAGCATTTACCAATAATACAATCCAAAAGAAATTATAAAATAGATAGTCGTGGCTATGTCAGGCCTAACTCAAGTTGTCACAAGCTAGATTTGACCATACAAAAGATGCCTGAATCATAAAATAAATTGGCATTCTAAGCTTTTAAACTTAAGTTTTTAGACTTATAAATTAAGAATCATTAATATGGTCAGGGTCACTCTTCCGTTTTATAAAACCATGGAGAAACTTAGCGGTCAGTTCAATGATCTCCGGATCTCGTGAAGCAAGGAGAAATTGTACCTTGATTCTATCTGATTGGCCTGCTACCAACCTAAGGGGGGCTTCTATAAATTCCACTCGAATGTCATTTAACAATTTACAGTGTAAGAGTATGTGCTCAACAGTTTCTATTTCTCTTCTATGACATCCACAGAATCTGACTGAATAAGGAATTTGCTTATATCTCCCCTCAAGAATAGCAGAGGGGAGAACATTAAGACGGGCCAACAGATAAGCTCTACACATTTGCGGTGAGGTCAGGCAGAAAAAGTAATATGGTAGAGCACCAGAAAGGGGATAGGCCCACCTTACTGAGGAAACTATTTTCCATCTGTCACAGGAATGTGAGTGTCATGCTTTCCACGGTGATGTGATGGAGCTCTTTGAACTCTTCCCAGCTGCAACTGAGTGGATTGAAAATATATATATATTAGTATTTAGGGGGATTGCCCAATTGGTCTGCATACCTGCTGTATCAACTTGGTTACGTATTTTATATTATTACTTAGAGTAAGGCCCCTTGTGGGAAGAAATACAACGAGCTCTAGAAAGAGGCTCCAGGTGAGTGTCCTGGCTGTGGCTGGTGGGGCAGCAGAAGGAAGGGGGGGAATAGAGGGAGGGGGGCCATGTTTGTTTCCTTCTGTTTAGCCATAAGGCAGGGCTGTCTCAAGTCATTTTGCTGCTCCAAGTGAGTAGTATGGGAGGAGAGCTGCATGCCATGTTTTCTAGGTTTCAAGAGTCTGGAAAGTGGTTCCACAGCCAGTTACAGGGTTGCCAACTCTGGGTTGGGAAATACCTGTAAATTTGAAGGGTAGAGCCTGGGGAGGGCAGCGTTTGGGTAGAGAGGGACCTCAACAGGGTATAATGCCATAGAGTCCACTTCCCAAAGCAGCCATTTTCTCCAGGAGAACTGATCTTGGAGATCTCCAGGTGCCAGCTGGAGGTTGGCAATACTAAGGGAAGGGTCAGGTCAGGCTGATACTGACCACTATACATTACTGTCTCTATTCTTGCACTGCCTCATAGGAGTTGTAGTTATTTCTCTGGGGAATTTAATGTCAGCCTACTGATAAGCTAGCGTTTTAAATGTAAAACTAGGACTTCATTAAAAGCCTCCACCATCCCCATAGCCAGCCCCATAGTTAGAGGTGACCCAGATAAAAGGATTGCACACCTTTTTATTGAATTTTTTTAAGAATAGAGGACAATGTTTTAATTATTGTACAAAATTTAAGGCAAAAAAGATTCCCTTTAAAAATAATCACATACTGCAGATAATAAAACAGCAAAACAACAAAAACATATTAAAACCAAACATAAAGTAATAATTATGACAACAAAACATAATTACTGTAAGGTAAGACTTGTCTTTGCTTCTACTTTATCTCTGGTTTTTTAATGAAAAAAGAACTGGCCAGCAGCCTGCCGTCCCTGGTGGAGGCCGTGTCGGGCTGGGCATTGGAACACCCTAGACCGATTGTCCTTTGTGATTTCAATGTCCATGCGGACGATGTGGCCTCCACTCAGGCGATGGACCTAGTGTCATCCGGTGCTCGGTCCATGGGGTCGCGAAGAGTCGGACTCGACTGTGTGACTGAACAACATACTTTGTGGAAAATTTCACCAAATCACTTTTACTCTTAGGAACAAAGTCCTTAAAGTACTTCATAACTAAACTTAGAACAATCTGTCTTCTGACTGGGAAGTCATCATGTTTCCCCAAAAATGCAGTAATGAAAACAGAAAAACACAAACTGCATTCGCAAAAATCAAAGAAATACTGACTTACTGACCATTTTTTTTAAAAACTGACAAACTACTGACCAAGATGAAAAAACTGACTTTTACTGATTTCACTGACCATTTCCCACCCCTGCGTGTGAGACCACTTTACTCAGTGCACAGGGATAGTTCTCTGCCAAGGGGACAGAGGGGAGCCCATGAGATGGCAGGGCTGGTGGGGCTCAGCTTTTTCCCATTGTGTCTGACAAAGCACAGGCCTCATTTTCAAAGATAGGCTTGTGAGAATTTGGGGAACTTAAAGTAAGGAAGATGCCTAATGCTGGTTTATGGAGTTTCCCCCATTTTTAAGGCTGCCTGGCTTGAAGCCAATGCACAGTCACAATTGGAGTGGCAAGATGGCTGTTCAGCAAACTTTATTTTGGATTGTTTCTTCAGGAACCTACGAGAGGAATGCTTGCCCCTCTGTACAACACTACAGCCCTCCATAGGAGCTTCTCTCTCTCTCTCTGAGGGGGTTTACCATTGGAGATTTATTGCAGAGGATAGCTGTGTTGATCTGCAATGGAACAGTTAGATTCGAACCCAATAGCACCTTAGAGACCAACAAGATTTTCCAGGTATAAGCTTTGGAGAGTCAAAGCTCCCTTCCTCAGATACCTCAGCTTTGACTCTGGAAAGCTTATACCTTGAAAATCTTGCTGGTCTCTGAGGTGCTACTGTTTGAAGATGTTTGATAGCTTTGCTTGCAAAATGGATTTTAGAGGAAATACCCAAAGGCTTCTTTATGGCACGAATTAGCAACTGGAGACCCCTGGTCCAAATCCAATCCCTCAAAGGATGCCAGCTGGGCCTCCCCCCACTTAGAAACACACAATGCGTCGGTAAAGCGACAACAGCACATGGTGGCATGGTACATTACGGGACTGAGGTGTTCGAGTTTCAGGGCCCCTAAGTCCATTTTGTGAAATGGCCCTGCAAGGACGACACCGTGGTGACTGAGGAAGTCTTGCTTCCAGCAGAGCCGGGATTCGGATCTCTCTTACTGCTGTCTTGGACGTCAGTGCAAAACTGCGGATGGGAGACTTGTCCCTGGTATGTGTATGACACGTATCTAACCTACGGAGTCGTCGTCGTCGTCAGTGTAACCATTCCCGCAGACTCCCCCGCAAGAACAGGCTCAGCTGTCAGGAAAGCAGAGCTAGTGAGCCGCAGCCCACGAAGCAGAAGGAAGATGACGGGGCTGGAAGCCGGAAGGAGCCAGCTGCTTCCGGGTCAGCGGCGGGGGAGGTGGAGGGCTGGCAGTCATGGAGTCCCTCTGGAGGCTGAAGCGGTTTGATGCGTTCCCGAAGACCTTGGAGGATTTTCGAGTCAAGACGTGCGGGGGCGCGCTCGGTGAGGGGTCTGGGGGGCGCGTGCTCGGGATGGTGGGAAGTGCCTTTCCCCGCCCCTGGAATTAGGGCATCCCCTCCTGGTGGAGGTTCCTGCCGGTTGAAATCTTACTTTACAGGACGATTAGTATAGGCTGGGTTATGTTGCACTCGTGCAGACTGGATTGTGTTTTAATCTGCACGTTTGATAGGCGAGTTCCTTGTGTGCAAGTGTATTGGTTGGCGTGTTAGTGTCAGAGAATGGGTTGGTTCACACTTGTAACTTTATTTTTTTAACATGGTGACTCGCCGCTGAACTGAATAGGTGTTGTGTTTCAGGCAGTCAGTGATGTTATGGTATTAACTGTCTCTCCATTTTTATCCCACTTTTCCTTTGAGGAGCTCAGACTTGAGTTCAGCGTTTCCCTTCCAATTTTATCCTGGTTGTAATCCTGTGAGGTAGATTAGGCTGAGAGAGAGAGTTACTGGTCAGACTACCCTTACCTCTTTTTTCGAGAAAGTTGCTACCTTACTGGATCAGGGGAATGCTGTAGACAGAGTTTATCCTGATTTCAGTAAGGCTTTTGATAAGGTTCCACATAATACTCTTGTTGACAAACTGGTAAAATGTGGTTTGGATCCTATGACAGTTAGGTGGATCTGTAACTGGTTTACAGATCACATCCAAAGAGTTAATAGTTTGTTAATAGTTCCTCATCCTCTTGGAGAGGAGTGACAAGTGGAGTGCCTCAAGGATCTATCCTGGGACCTGTTTTGTTCAACATCTTTATAAATGATTTGGATGAAGAAATAGAGAGAATGCTTATTAAATTTGCAGATGATACTAAATTGGAGGAGCTGCGGTGGCTCAAGTGGTTCAGACGCTGAACTGCAGGCTGTGGAAGGTCAGTAGTTCAGCAGTTCGAGACCCGGGTGCCGCATGACGGAGTGAGCTCCCGTCTCTAGTTCCAGCTCCTGCCAATCTAGCAGTTCGAAAGCAAGAAATTGCAAGTAGATAAATAGGTACCACTTCGGTGGGAAGGTAACAGCATTCCGTGCGCCTTGGTGTTTAGTCATGCCGGTCACATGACCACAGAAACGTCTTCGGACAGCGCTGGCTCTTCGGCTTTGAAACGGAGATGAGCACCGCAACCCTAGAGTCGGATTCGACTGGCTTTCGAGCAAGGGAACCTTTACCTTTACCTAAATTGGAAGGGGCGGCAAATATGGTAGAAGACAGAGTCAGGAAGGATACAGGATGATCTTGACAACCTGGAAAACTGGGCTAAAACAAATACAATAAATTTCAATGGGGATAAATGTAAAGTTCTGCATTTAGGTAGGAAAAAATCAAATGCATAATTATAGAATGGGGGAGACTTGTCTTGGCAGTAGTATGTGCAAAAAGGATCTAGGGGTCTTAGTACATCATACATGATCAACAGTGTGAAGCGGGAGCTAAAAAGGCAAATTCTATTTTGGGCTGTATCAACAGAAGTATAGTGTCCAGATCATGTGAAGTGATGGTTTTGCTTTACTCTGCTCTGGTTAGACTTCACTTAGAGTATTGTGTTCTGTTTTGGGCGCCACAGTTTAAGAAGGATATAGACAAGGTGGAACATGTCCAAAGGAGGACAATGAAGATGGCGAGGGATCTGAAGACCAAGCCCTATGAGGAAAGGTTAAAGGAGTTGGGTATGTTTAGTCTGGAGGGGAGACGACTGAAAGGTGATATGATAACCATCTTCATGTACTTGAAGGGCTGTCATATAGAGTATGGTACAGAGTTGTTTTCTGTTGCCCCAGAAAGTCAGACCAGAACCAACGGGTTGAAATTAAATCAGAAGTTTTCGGCTAAACATTAGGAAGAACTTCTCGATAGAGTAGTTCCTCAGTGGAAAAGGCTTCCTCAGGAGGTGGTGGGCTTCTTTGGAGATTTTCAAACAGGGCTAGATGGCCATCTGACAGCAGTGCAGATTGTGTGAATTTAGGCAGATCGTGAGAGGGAGGGCTGGAAGGGTTACATCAGTGCTTAGTTCTTGTGGCCCTTTCTTAAACACCCAGGGAAATGCCAATTGCCACACTGAGGTCAGGAATCATTTTTCTCCAGGCCAGTTGTCATCTTCCGGGCATGGAATAGTGGTCACTGGGTGTGTGTGGGGGGGTATTTGTGAATTTCCTGCATTGTGCAGAGGGTTGGACTAGATGACCCTGGAGGTCCCTTCCAACTCTATGATTCTGTGATCCAGGTTTTTGGCAGCATGGAGTCCTAGCCTGACACACTAACCATTGCACACTACTACATCTGTATGCAGAATTTCAATTGTACTAGTACATTCTCACATGAAAATTTGCCTTTGAGGCTAGTACTGGATATATATTTTTTATATGTACTATATATGTACGAGAGTGAGTGAGTGAGTGAGTATCAAATCCCCATTCAGCCTTAAAGGTCATTGGGTAAACTGCTGAATTCTGATATTAATGAAGCTAGGAACTAATTCATCTGTGGTTTAATGTATTTTCAAGTACAGAGACTATCAAATTTCTCAATTGCAACTTGGAATACTGTAGTTGCTGTTACTGTTGAGGATTTCAGATGACGTTGTTTGTAAATTTAATTCATTTAATAGCTTTATTTTTTTTAAATCCTTTTCAGTAAAATTATTTTAAGAATTATTATATTTAAATAAGGGTGGTGGAGCTTCTACTTTCCACCAGAATAAAAACTTACATCTAGTTTACGATACACTTGATGAATCAGTACTAGATGGAACAAACCTGCTGACTGTACTTCCCTGTTAACTTTGAAGTATGTGATTGTTTGCAGAGATAATCTCTGTGCCTTATTTTCTAAGTGTCATGTTTCAATTGGTGCTTGTGCTGAGGAACTGACACATATCATTTATTGGGCATAGGAAGTAAGGTTAGTGGGCTGTCGTCCCCGTCCCCCCCCCCCACTATTCCTTTTTCTTTATTTGCATTAAATAACTCCAGCTCCTTAGTGCAAAGTACGGAGGATAGTCTTCTACAGAAAGGAGTGCTGGCTTGAAAATCAGTTCTGAGCATGAAATACACAGTGAATGAAACTTGGGCCACTCAAAAGTTATCCCTTCAGAGAAGAGGGTATATGCTTTAAAAGTTGTCTTGAAAGTATATGTAATGGGAGTGTGTGTGGTATTTGATAGTCCATTATCCTTCTTGGCAGTTTAATGTCTACTGCATTTTTATTGTAAATTACAAAAAATTGCTGTGTTGTTATAATGATTATATACACACATGTACGAAATAGCAAGAAAGCACTGGTTTTTTAATTCAAATTGGTCCATTTTTCATTTCTGCCTTCCAGTTTTTATGAGCTGTGTATTTGCCTTGAGTTTCAGCATTTTTGCTTTCCTGAACACAAACACATTCTCAGCATCCTTTTGTCTTGAGACACTACACTTATGACCTCTTTACACATGTATTTCTTACACAGATGTCACTTTAGGGAAGGAAGGTGCATGCACAAATGTGTACAGTGTACTCAGTCTGAAAAATGCAATCTTTGCTATTTTGCCACATGTATATGTGGTGTGGGAAGCATCAATTGACCATGTCTTATTAACTTGTACATGTGTAATGAAAATACACACAACACTACACTCATGTTGTGTAAGCTTTTCTGGCACTGTAGTAATATATGCGTAGGAAAAGTGTTATGCTCCTTTAGCATTAATAAAATACACAATGTTAAGAGGAACTTATCAACCACTGCTGGTTTTTTCATTGAGGTACCCTCCAGGGGAGCCACAGGGGTCACGTCTTTTAAATCACAGAGTTAGAGCAGCTGTTCATAAGATACATGTAAAGTGCCAGATACATAACTGCATGTCTAACAGCATGTGTTTGCTTTCCTTTCTCTGCATTCAGTGACAGTAATCAGTGGACTCATCATGCTACTACTTTTCTTCTCAGAACTCCAATACTATCTCACAAAGGAGGTAAAAGGATTCATTTACTTTCTTTCTCCTACTTTCTCTCTTTAAGTGGCCCTGGTGTTGTTGGCCTCAGTAGTGATATGTTGGAATGACCAGGTCTGAAGTGACCCAGATTTACTTCCCTGCTCAGTCTTGAAACTCACAGAATGACCAGTCGCTTTATTTCAGTCCACTCTACCTCAGAGGGATGTTGTGAGGATTGGGGGGGATGCATGTCTCTTTTGAGGATGGACAAAACAAAACAAAAATGAAATAAATAATAAAATGGCCACAGCTGGGATAGTAATGGGAGCTGAATAATATTTTAAGACTTTGAAATAAGTGGTTATTGTTGGCCTAATCAGTTTCACAGGCTGCTTTCTTCCAAACTTGTAAAAGGTATTCCATCAGTGATTAGGACACTCTTTCCCCTTCCCCTCATCTTCATTCCTAAAGACTTTCTGAAAGAGACCACCTTTGCTGTGATCCGGGCTTGGAGGTGGGAGGGGCAGGCAGAAATAGTGATTAAAAGTAAATCCAGCATAGTGCTTGTCAGGACAGGACCCCGCCCTGGTGCAGTAACATAACCAAGCTGTACCTGGGTTTGGTCTCAGAAACCCCCCAAGTAACACACACCATAAAGCAAAATATAAATAAATAAAGCTAAATAAAACTTTATTCAAGACATTTAAGGAAAAAAGTTTAAAAGCAAGGCATTGCGACAGTGAAATGCACAAGAAAGGAGACTATCTACCTCTTACTAGAGTCCTAGCACAGTGCGTTTCAGGGGAGGGTAGTCTATAAATTAAATAGTAGTAGTAGTTCTGGAAGCAAAGAGTTCTTGAGTATGATACAGATGTCTTTTGGCAGTATTGTGCAGAAAGGGTAAGGCCTAAGGATAACACCACTTCTCACTGACTTCTATAAAAAACAACAACCCTGCAAGCCGTAGCCTCCTGACCTTCTCAGCTAATCGCTGCAGTGAGAGTGAGTTCCCCCTCCCATAACAGATCCACAGCCAAACTAAGGGAGCTCAGTTAGCAGACCCCAGATGGACAGTCTTGCGGAATATCAGCCAGTGTGGGAGTTACCCAGTACCTGCAGTAAATCCATAGAACAGTGAAGTAGCTTGGGGAACAGTGTAGCTTCAGCTGGAGCTGACTAGAAAAATTCTCTTTAGATGCTCTCTGTCTTTATTTTTATTTATTTAGATTTATATTCCGCTCTCCCCACGAACGGGCTCAAAGGAGATCATATCATAAGTAAATAAAAACATACATTAATAAATATATAGCAATATTTAAAACAATTAAATAATACAAGTTAAAAACAGCTAACAGTGTGTAACCACAACACATTTTCAGCGATTAAATAATACAATTTAAAAACAGTGTGTAACCACAACACATTTTCAGCTGGAGCGATTGGATCCAGATATAATCTTAATCTGGGCCGAATAATGATGACAGACTTCAGTGAGGGAGGCCGGCTTCATTGGATGCCTCTGCCCCAACCGGAGGCCTGGCGGAACAGCTCCGTTTTACAGGCCCTGCAGAATGATAATAAGTCTTGACCATGCTTTCAAATAAAAATCCATAAATACATAACTTAGGTTGCTGAATATTTCTTTTATTCTGGAAACAAGGAAATAAAGAATTCCCGTCCTCCTCCTATACCCTGAATGCAGGATGATTCTTGGAAACAAGGACATTTTTACATCTTTGAAAGTAGGACTGATTTCTGCTGAATTTTTGTTTGGAATGATTTTCTTTGTTGTTAGGTTCATCCAGAATTATATGTTGACAAATCAAGAGGAGACAAGCTCCGGATAAACATAGATGTTGCTTTCCCCCATATGCCATGTGCTTGTGAGTAAATTCTGTGGAGCCTAGGGTTTTGTGGTGGTTTTCCTTGTGGGTTTTTGTTGTTGTTGTTCTATTAAGTAGAGAAAAATAGGCACTGCATGGTACATCATAGCACCTTAGAACACTCCTAACTTTGCCAGAAGAAGATGAGACACTGTTCATACAGAGACCAACAGCTAGGTCATTTTGAAGCCACGCAAGGCAGTAGCTTTTTTAAAGTTTCAGACCTAAGCAGTTAATTGATTTATGAGTTAAAACTGGATGAGTTATCCAATCTTAGTCTCCTTGAGTTTAGCAGAATCTCCCGATGCTTTCTTACTCAGGAGCCCTGTAAAAGTGTGTGAATGAAGTTAGATTTAACAAAGTTGTTGCCCCATCACTATTGTTTGCTCTAATTAGTCAAGGCTGTCCAGTGTCTCAGGCATAGGTGTTTTCCAGATTTGTTGTTTGAGAGACTTTAACTGCAGAGTGATCCCAAACCTTTATATGTAAAGGCTGTGTGCTCTGCTACTGAACTATGGGTGCTTCATTTGCATGCTTAACTACCATGGGCTAAGTGTTTTACTGTTCAAGTTTCTCAGTCCTCAGTCCTCTTCCCAAATCATAGTATTTCTCAGTCCCCTTTAACTCCAGTAAGTCATCCTAATCCTTGGACCGGTTCTGTTGAGATATTTCTGTACTTTGCACTTTCCACTCTGATAATTTGGTGTGTGTATCACAAAGCTGAAGTGTTCAATCATCACGAAAGCATCAAGAAGTCCATTCTGATCTGTGATCTCTGGTTTTTTCTTCAGATCTGAGCATTGATGCAATGGATGTTGCTGGAGAGCAGCAGCTAGACGTTGAACACAATCTCTTCAAACAGCGCTTGGATAAAGATGGCAAGCATGTGACACCAGAAGCAGAAAGACACGGTTATACACTGTTCTTCTGTGGGGACAATATTGTAGACCCACAATGCTAATTGGGATTTAATTCGATGTTACATTATTTAAACTGGTCTAAAGTGTTAAACTGTCTGCACATGAGCTTGAGAGCTGCTATTGCTTGTGGTTGCACATAGAGCAGGTAGTGGCTGTGTAGCTTCAGGAGGTCTTGGCAGAGATGGATTATCTAGTCTTATTTCAATCTGGATTCAGGTCTTGATTTGACCTTCATCATGACTGATGATCTTTGCTGGGAGAGTGATAGTACCTCCCAATTGCTTCTCCTAGACCTCTTGATGGCTTTCACTACCATTGGCTGTTGTATCCTTTAGGAGAGGCTGGCTAGGTTGGGTGGGCAGCACCATGCTTTGGAGGTTCTGTTCAGTTAACTGACCAATTCCAGAAGGTGCTGTTGGGGGACTGCTGCTCAGCCCCAATTTGGATCCGTCTTATCCCCCATGCTGTTTAACATCTAGATAAAACTGCTGGGAGTGATAGCAGAGGTCTGGAGCCAGGCGCCGCTGATATGTGGCTGACACCCAGCGCCATTTCTCCTTAACTGTTGAGTTGGGTAGATCTGGGGAAGTCCTTAACTGGTAACAGGATGGATGAAGGCCAATAAACTGGAGCTCAGTTCAGATACATCTGAGGAGCTGTTGATCAATAACAAAACTGCTTGAGTACTGAGAAGTAAGCTAGTTCTGGAGGGAGTAGTACAAAAGCCTTGTAGTTTGGGGTACTGCTGTGATTGGAGGCTCAAGCCTCCTCTATGGCACAGAGTGCTTTTTTTTTTTTACTTCAGCTGACATGCCAACTGTGGCCATTCCTGAAAAACTATGATCTAGGGTGTAATCTAAGCTAGATGTGATCACAATTATGTGCTTTATGAGGCTTTTTCTTTAAAAAGTGTCTGGGACCACCAGTTGGTCCAAAGCATGGCAACCAGGCTATTGTCAGGGTTATACTACCCTCTACTGAAAGAACTATACTGCCTACTTGTCTGTTTCTGAACACAATTCAGAGTGCTGGTTCTGACTTTTAAGGCTCTAAATATTTTGGGACTGAGGTGCTTGAAGCATCCGCCTGTATTGTACAGCTCACCAGCTAAGATCCTCTTTCCAAGCCTTGCTTCCTGTGTACTTACCTACAGAAGAGAACTGGGTGACAACCAGAGACAGAGCTTTTTCAGTGCTGGCACCTTACCTTTGGAATGCCCTCCTCCTTGAGGCTTGTCTGATGTCTACTTTACTGTCTTTAGGACCAGGCCAAAACAGTCCTTTGTACCCAGACTTTTAACTCAAGGGCTCCATCTTTTAGCTGTTTTTGTAATCTGCTTCTAGCCTGAGGACTGTTTTGTGAATATCATTTTAGGCTGCCAAATGTTTTAGTGTTGCTTTTACGGCCTTAGCTGGTTTTATCATCAGTCAATTCCTATGTTGTAATTTTTATTGTATTTTTTGACTTTGTGGGCTGCCTCAAGCAGGTATCTGGAGAGACAGTATGTCAGCTTTTTAAACAAATCTGTTATCAGCACTATTAGGAACTGATTTACAATGATACTTGCTTACCATGCAGTTGTGGACAAGTTTACATCAGGACTACACAGCGTAGCATTCAAACAAGAATAAAAGAACATGAAAGACACTGCAAGACTTGACCAATCTGAAAAATCAGCAGTGGCTGAATTTAGCCTAACTCAAACAGGACACAGTATTTTGTTCCAAGACACTGAAAGACTGGACAACACTTCCAATTACCATGTCAGATTACACAGGGAAGCCATTGACATTCATAAACATAAACACAATTTCAACAGGAAAGAACGGAGTTTAAAAATAAATAGGGCATGGTTTCCTGTCCTGAAAAACACAAAAGGCTCTACATCTGACAATAGCACTACAGATAAGATTAGAATTTCAACAGCCAATCCACATACAAAAGAACCATCTCAGGAAACAGGAAACCTCCTCAGGAAACAATCTATATACAAAAGAACCTCCTCAGGAAAGCTCCTCCATTAGCATGTTCATAGCCTGGGGAGCTCCTACAAGAGAATGACTCAGCCCTACCCCACCTTCTGGAGTAGATATAAATTATCTGCCTACCATTTTCTTCTCACCTTGACACAGAGAGTACTCCATCTGTCTGTGTTATACCTCTGAGTATGCCAGTCACAGTTACTGGTGAAATGTCAGGTTCTACAATGCCAAGACCATGGCCACACAACCCGGAAAATCTTCAGCAACTAATACTTGCTTATACTCTGTTTGTATTGCTGGTACAGGTATTTGTCTGTCTTTATTTCAGAGCTAGGAAAAGAAGAGGAGATATTATTTGACCCCAACTCCTTAGATCCTGATCGTTGTGAAAGCTGTTACGGAGCCGAGTCTGAGGACATCAAGTATGCCTTGCTTCCCTCACTATGACCTGGAGGCAAAGAGGTGGGGGTTGGGGAGGAGGCACCATAGCTATACTTCCTCCTGGTCTTTCCAGGGAGGCTCAGGAGTGGTCCCTTGGTCACTTGTGGTTGAGGACTACATCCCTTGCTGTCTTCTTGATACAGGAGTTGGGTTGAAAATGATACTGTGATCTTCGTAGTTAAGAGGCAGAGAGGACAAGTGGGCAGTCTTTTGTCTCAGAGAACAAAGCTGAAGGGTTGAATTTTGACAATCTGATCCAATGCGTAGTTAAGGCCATTGTTTTCAGTCGGAGTAGGCATGCCTAACTCTGCATAGGATCCGCTGCCTTGTTTCATTTATGGGGAAGGTCTTCTAAATGGTTTCCAGGAGTAAAATGTCAGTGCTGGAGAGATTGTCACATTGACACCTGTTGTCAAGCAGACATATTAGGAATTCCAGCCTCTGCTTGGAGTGAAGAGGAAATACTCCTTCTATAGGCCAGGATCTTGCCTGGAGTTGCCCTAGAAGTATCGGCTTCACTGCTCCTCAGAAGAGCAGCACAGTGAATTAGAGTGACTGAGGGTAGTCCTCTGAAGATATCTCTGCATCCAGTATTCCATCCCTCCAGCTCCATCTTGATTAAGATAGAACCCGAGCATTCTAGCAAGTCCCTCCTATATCATAGAATCATAGAGTTGGAAGGGACCTCCAGGGTCATCTAGTTCAATCCCCTGCACAATGCAGGAAATTCACAAATACCTTCCCCTCCACACCCCCAGTGCCCCCTGTTCCATGCCCAGAAGATGACAGAAAACCTCTAGGATCCCTGGCCAAACTGGCCTGGAGAAAAATTGCTTCCTGACCCCAGCACTTTACCCCTGGAAGTACCAAGACCTATAAGATTCAGTTTCTTTTGTTATCCCTGAAAAGAGGGCCAGTATATTTGCCCTGGTTTCTGTCTCTTTCCTGGTCCAGCATTGACAAACTTTTGGCAGCTGAGAGTTCTCTGGAATTTAAAGTAGCCAGTAGGGAGCAACTAATTGGCCATACTGTTTTGGTGGCTGTGGGGTGCATAGTATAATCTCTCTCTCTCCCTAGGATTTTGCACTCCATTAAAATAAAATCAGAGCATTTTTAATGTAAACCCTTACTGTTAATGAACAGCACTGGCAAGCTTTGAAATGCAGCTGTTCTTTATTCATTTGTTTAATACATTTTTTCTCCTGCCCTTCCTCCCAAGAACTGAGGATGGCATGCATTGTTTTCCCCCTCCTCCATGTTATCTTCATAACAACCCTGTGTGGTAGGTTAGGCTGAGAGATTGTGACTGGCCCAAGATCACCCAGCAGGCTTCTATGGCACAGGATGGATTAGAACGTGGGCCTTCCAGATTCTAGTCTAACACTTTAATTGCTAATTGAAGAGTGTTTTGTGCCTCACTTTGCTGCATGGGAGTGCATTCTTTTCTTTCTTTTTTGCAGATGCTGTAATACTTGTGATGATGTGAGAGAAGCATATAGGCGGCGAGGCTGGGCTTTCAAGAATCCAGACACCATAGAACAATGCAAAAGAGAAGGCTTCAGCCAGAAAATGCAGGAGCAGAAAAATGAGGGCTGCAAAGTATATGGGTTTCTAGAAGTCAATAAAGTGAGTTGAGGGTTTGTTTGTTTTTTAATCACAGGGTTTAGAAATCATAGTGCCAAAGATGTCTAAGAAGATGTGGGACCCAGGTAGAGCAGATACAGTTTACTCTCTAGTTGTTCCACAGTCCTAGATCTTCCTCTCTGGGATTTTATAAATGAGTGTTGCACACTACAGGAGATAGGTACCATGTAAATACTATCTGGAGGCAAAAGGGAACAAATCACTATCTATAAGGCAAGGTTTTTAGCCTACGGGACAATGCAGCCCAACAACAGTTATGGCCTGATACTTTGTAGAATCAGGTTTCTCTGTGCTGTAGTACACTGGATATCCTTGCCTTAGTTAATCCTATAAAAGTGGAATGTCATCATCAGTCAGAAGCCTCCTTACAGATTCCCCGCGGAGTGGACACTTCCAGTTGCAGTCTGGTCTTGATTACTCATTTGATTATTGTTAAGGGACCTTTGACACTAACTCCTCTCGTGCGAGTAGTGCATCTGTAGACAGCTGATTCATGTTGAGGCACTGTGAAGAGGAGCCAAGTATGAGATCCTTTGGAGCAGGGGGAAAAAGGGGTCCAAGTTGAGGTGTGTGGGAGGGGCCTTGAGGCCAGATGTACACATGCAAATGAGGTGGTGTGAGGGGCTGTAGCCTTTCCAGAGGCATAATCACATTTTTTAAATTACATGGATTTTTAAAAAAATCCCTGTAGGGACACAATAAATGTAGTAGGGATAGCTTCACTTTTTTCAAGTAGTGCTGGGAGATTTAAAAAGATGTGGATGTCTTTTGCAGGTAGCTGGCAATTTTCATTTCGCACCGGGAAAAAGCTTCCAACAGTCACATGTTCATGGTAAGACCACTTGCATTATGTGAATAGATTCTTGCCCACATCCACATCTTTTGTTGATAGCCAGAAGTATCGTAACTCTCATGAGCTACAACAGATGGAGCTGCTGATGGCAGTGGCATTGCTTGAGTGAGAAAGAACTGGCAAAAGAGAAATGTTTGCAGAGGAATATTGGAAATGGGATCGTTGTCATTGCTGAAAATCTTGTTGGTCTTTAAGATGCTACTGGTCTCTAACATCTGATACTGTGTGGCAGTGCTTGTTTGTTGCAAAGCCACTTCTTTGTCAATAGCTTCTGTTCCGTCTTGGGTATGTTACCCTGTGAATTTTTAAACCATTCTAACTATCAAATTTCTATTCAAGTATTTGCTTCCTTTTGCCAATGATTACTTGGATGGCTTATTAGCCTACTGGGTTGGATCCAGAGGTTCTTTTCTGTTAATGATAGAGCCTTCCACCAAAGCAAATAGTTCTTCCCACCTGAATTTTATCTTCACAGCAATCCTGTGAAGTAAATTATGTTGAGAGATGTAATTGAAAATACTTCTCTCCTGGAGTTGGTTAAGCAGTTTGTTCCAATTGATCAGACTGGACCTGCACATTCAAGCAAGAGATCCTTAGTCTTGACTGTGGCCAGAGAAAGAGCCCAGCAATATCAACCGCCACTATAATTCACAGCAGAATGATCGTTTGAACCCAGACCACCCAATCCTACTCCCAGCACTCTAGAGAGAGCCAGCGTGGTGTAGTGGTTAAGAGCATCAGACTCTAATTTGGAGAACCGAGTTTGATTCCCCACTCCACATGAAGCCTGCTGGGTGACCTTGGGCCAGTCACAATTCTCTCAGAATTCACTCAGCCCCACTTACCTCACAAGGTGCCCGTTATGGAGAGAGGAAGGGAATGTGATCGTAAGCTGCTTTGAGATTCCTTAGGGTAGAGAAATGTGGGGCATAAAAAAGTACTCTTCTTTTTCTTTTAACCACTACATCACAATTGCTCATATTCCAGAACTGCTTCTGGATATTTTGGAGTGGCAGGTACCAGTTTACAGCCATGAGACTTGTGAGTTTCCTTTTTTTGTCCCCTGCTCACTAGGTCTACAATTCAGAGACCTTCCTTCATGTGTTTATTGTGTGCTGTGGCACAGTTACATGAGCATGCTGGCCTCGTTTCCTGGCAACAATCAACAATAGAGAGGTCCTGCTTGAATGTGCAGATCCAGTCTGATTAATTATGACCTAAACGTTAGAATAGATTGACTGACTTGATACAGGTAAGAGGTTCTATAAGCTTTTCAAAATAGGCCATACCCACACACTTGTGTTATAGCTTGAACACATCATTTAAAACCATTGTCGGAAGGTTTCTGCTCCAGTTCCATGCTGCATATTTTACATTGTGAAAAAAAAATCTCTGTTACTCTATTGTTGAATAGTTTTTCATATATTACTTTTTTGAAATGTTTTCTGTCCTGTCACATATCTGTCATACTGCAAGCCACAACTGTTCATTCATTTTTGGTTTCCCCTGTCCACTGAAGTGGCAGTTTTGGGCTGCATTACATAGAGGCCCTTTCTTCCACATTTTCTTTTTTTCTTGACTTATCTTTTATCAAATACTCCACAAGTACCATCTCGGTAGAGTTGTAGTAACTACAGTGGTGATGAAAACTTGCAGATATATTTCCCATAAATTCAGTCATCTTTCAAACCTAAAATCCTCATCTTTGTGGAATTTTGTTCTTGATGTTCTGCCATTAGATTCTCCCTGCAAACCAGCTTATTTCTTCTGCCTGGGTTACGATGGTCATGAATCAACATCTTCTTATGTACCCTTTCAAAGATTATCACATAGACTAATGCTTTTGTCTAAATAATGCAATTTGTACTTGAATGACATCTAAGACTCTACAACATGGGTAGAGTAAGGATTTTTATAGATATCTGCTGAATAACTCCAGTGGATTTGCCTTCATTATTTGTAGATAACTTTGACAGGATTGAGCACCTAATCTGAGGGCTGTTGCCATTACTTTGACTAGTATCCTAATATTAGTCCTGTTGTAACACTTGCCAACACTGTCTTGCTGGGGTTGGTGAGAATTATAATATGTTTCACAGAGACTGGGCTGTTGCATCAGTACTTGAATTCTGGGCTGGTCAAAGGCTTACTTGGAGCAATTTTTTATCAAACAGAACTTCTCAGTTAACCATTCGGTCTTATTACTTGAGGAATAAGATTATGAGGATCTTATGAGTCAGCAGCATTATTTTTTTCTTTTCTTTTTAAGCACAGAACCCCGACATCTGGTCTATCATTTTAGGGCCTGAGTGACATATTTGACATAGCAAGTCAAATAGGTTGCTTAAATTTTAAGAGTGTGCAGGATTTTACAGTAGACCACATTTTTTGTCATTGTGGTTGTGCAGAGAAGTTTAAGGATAAGTGTTTGCTTAATACTTGCATACCTCAGTGGATCTGAAGGTGTCTTCAGTGGTCAAGTATCCAGTACATTGCTCAGCTGCCATCATGACTCCTCAGAATGGTTGATCTGTTGCATACGACTGTTCCTTCAGATTACTATTTGCCAAAATAAAATATGAAAGAGGGGGAAAATAAGTTTGAAAAGCAAGATTACATCATGCAAATGTAGGCAATCAGAATTGACATCAGAATTTGCATTATTTTGGACAGTGAATTGCAGACTTTTTGATTTCCCCTCACACCTTTGGCATTTGAACAGCTGTAATCATGCCCATTTTTTACTCAGCTGAATGTTAGTTGATGAGAGGTGTACATTCCTAAGCAAAAGAATTCCTTGGCATTCCTCATGTGCTGTGTCAAGACCTAACCTGTGTTGGTTACCAGTGCAGATCATCCCACTGTGCAAAGAAACATCGGAAGCCTTTGCCTGACTGGGGAAAGACTTGGCTAAACCTGGTCAATTATGATTCCTGGTGTTTCTTCTCAACTTTGCTACAGACGGAATCATCTGTATTAAGAGTCCTGTGAGCCATGTAGCCCTCTTTTCCACCAGCCTATGGCAAGGGTGGCTCACCCTTTGGAAGGATGAACAAGCACATGCATGCAGCTTGTTGTGTGGCTTGTTGGCTTTCTCTGTATGCCTTCGTGGCTGAATCGGTAGCCAGTAGTGCATCTGTGTGGCACAGCACAGTGTTTCTTTGGGTTCTTTGGCCAAATAAGAGTATGGGAGTCTGCATGCGGTGCCAGTGTGGTGTTCTGATCCTTTATAAAAAGTTGAGACAACCAGGGTCTTGTTGGCAAAATAAACAAGGCCTCGTGAAAGCAAAAGTAATATAAAATACTGCCTTTTGGTTTTTTGCATCCGTGCTTTTCAGTATGGGGCTCTGAATGTTTCTCTTTTTTTCTCTTCTTAACTCTGCTCATTTTTGCAGTGCACGCTGTTGAGAGTAAGTGTTGCCAACTTCTTTCCTTTGCTAATTCTGTACTGTCCATAATTTAACTGATTCATTTTTCCTGCTAAAACTCTGTGCTGCCTAAAAGTTTGGCAAGGTTAGGCCCTACTCATTGAGTGACACAAAAGCCTGGACTGTAGTATTTATTAATTGCCTACAAAATTTCATTTTGATATGGAAACAAATCCCACAGCAGGAAAGTTCTAAGCACCAACCTTTAGGAGTATTGACTGTCCTAGAGAACACATGCACAAAATATAGAGAATGCAAATGTGCACAGACCAGCTCCAGTAGTAAGAATTCATTCCTAGTCATGATGGGTATATAAAAGTCATACTGATTTTGAAAGGGTGTGTTCCAGAGATTTTATTAAAGAATGTGTTTAGTGGGGTCAGGAGTTGCACTCCAGCATTGGAATCGATCCCTTCCTACAATCTCAATCAGAGCTGATAGCCATAAAGATCATGACTAATATATGAATTATGGTCATCATTTTAGTACTAACAGCTGTGACAATGAATTCAGAGATTCCTGGGATTGCAGGACTGTGTAGAGCATGTCGGTGGACTACAGTGAGAAGAGGAAAGTGGCCAGCTCATCTGAGGCAAAAGGACAGTTTCACCCCTTCTTCTTGCAGCCCCCTGACCCACATGACCCTATGTGAGGCCTGTGACTCTGAGTCAACTTTCCCAAGGTCAGAAGGGACTGCTGGGGTAGGAGTGTGGGAGAGATGACTGTGACCATCAGCACCTCAAGTGCATGCAACAAACTTGAGTTTGCACATTATGTAAATATATGTGCCAGAGTGGGATTTGCCATGGCCTCTAATATACACATAGTGCAAAATGCTTTTGCCTCTGCAAAACTTGTGAAGCAGACTTCACTTACTTGTCAGCCGAAGGGAAAATCCAATAACTCTCCTAGATACTCAAACTCTTGATAGCTTCGCTGCCAGTTGGGTATTCTCTTGATCCAGTCACTGGTGATGGAAGAGGTATACTATCTTTAGACTCATTATTTGAGTGTGGAGCAGGAACAAAGCAAATATTTTCCCTTTGCACAAGAGTGTCATGTCCTTTTTTTGGAAAGTCTTGGTATGAAGAAGGTAAATTTTAGTTGATGTTTTTCTAATCAGTGGTAATGGTGAAGTTCTAAAATTTGTAATTATCCATAAGAAGCAGCATTCTGACAAAACTGTTTATCCTGTTTTCTGTTTCTTACAGTACATGATCTGCAGAGCTTTGGACTTGATAATGTAAGTACCTGGGGACACACATAAGGGATTTAATTTGATCCACATTTGAAGGAATAGAAACTAAGGGTGATTTCCCACAAGCACTGCTCCACGCTCACTCCTCCCTTTTGCCCCGATGGTACGTGTCAATTTCACACAAGCTGCTGCACGGCCGCATTTTGCCCCGCAGCTTCGTGCGATTTTCCCCGCGTCTACTCAATCCTCAAAAAACAGGATTGAGTAGACGCGGGGAAAATCGCACGAAGCTGCGGGGCAAAATGCAGTCGCGCAACAGCTTGTGTGAAATTGACACGTACCATCGGGCCAAAGAAAAGAGTGAGCACGGAGCAGCGCTTGTGGGAAATCACCCTAAGTGGTAATGTGAGTGCAAATTATTTGCCTTGTTTATACTAGACGGAAAGGATCTGTAGCTGTGGACACAATTTTCATGCAGATATTTTTTCCTATCCTTTTTATCTGTTGTTGACTTAAAAGACAGCATTGTGTGGAAACTTCACACTGGTGCTTCCAAACTCCAGTGGTTCGCCGGGCATCCCTCATTAACACCTTACTTTAGAAGCTCAGTTTCATAGAAATTTGTCTTCTGCAAGAATTATTAACCTTTTTGGTACTATATATGCCAGTGAATATAAACAACCTATCTTCTTCCTCTGGCGGCCACTTCTCCCTAGGGAGAGAATGGGAATATAATTGTAGGGAGAGGAGTGTAATTCTAACACAACTTCTGCCCTCAGGTAGCATATTCATGAAGTTGCCTGGGAGGGGAATAACATTTGCTGTGTTCACCTTGCATAAGCAGGTACTGAAGCGAATATCCTGTTCCTGTTATGCATCCCAGCTTCCATGAGAAGCAAGGCTAGATTTGAGACCAGTAGCATCTTAAAGATCAACAAGATTTTCAGGATATAAGCTTTGGGGAGTTAAAGCTGCCTTCATCAGATATGAGAGTGGAGATCCCTGAGGCTTTATATCCCAGTCGGAAGGTGGGAAGGGTGTTGCAAAGGAGTCAGGGTGCAGAGGTACAATGCACCCTGTAATCAGCTAGATCAGAGCAGTGGAGAAATACTTAGGGGCAGTGTTCCCTCTAAGCTGAGTTGGTGTGAGCTAGCTCACAGTTTTTTAGCCTCTGGCTCACTCATTTTTGTCTTAGCTCAGAAAGGATAGCTCCAGATCAAACTAATTTATGCAGTAGCCAAATCACCTGCTCACAACTTTAATGCTAGTAGCTCACAAAGTAGAATTTTTGCTCACAGGGCTCCATAGCTTAGAGGGAACATTGCTTAGGGGCAGAAGTGAGATAAGAATCCTGTGCCCCTGTTCAGCCCTGGGGTGGGGGGTCCATTGTTCTGAGGTTGTGAATGAACTCAGTAATCTCCAGTTTTAATCTAAATGAGAAGAAAGGAAAACCTCTCGCCTGGTTGGTTGGGCAGAATGTATGTTCACTCTTATGGGTAGGGGTTTGAGCCTACTGTGCCCTTTGCCGGTTCTGTGTGAACATGTTAGGCTTTGTTTGTTTCAGATAAACATGACACATTTTATCAAGCATCTTTCCTTCGGGAGGGATTATCCTGGCATTGTGAACCCGCTTGATGGGACAGTCGTCATAGCAGAGCAAGGTACAGGCCTGAAGCTGGATAAGCTTCAAAGCTCTTGTAGGAAATAAAGACCACGCACCAGCACAGGGGGATTTGGGGTAATTTAAGTTTTGCTTAAAAGGGAATAATCACTGTATTTTTTAGGTGTATCTTATCATATATGCGATGGTGCTGCACCAGTTGTACCTTAATGAAAATGGTCACATTTCTAATACTATACTTAGTAACTGGCAGCTCTCAGCTGAGGCCCAAACTACATATTGCATTTAACACATGATCCCAACAGGGGTATGCGTGTTTTATCTTACTCCAAGTTGCTTTGGACTTACGAATTAACAACCTCCAAAACATCCTATCCTTAACAGGCTTGCTCAGGTACTGCAGACTGAAGACCATGGCTTCCTTTATTGAGTCAATCCATGCCATGTTGTATCTTCCTTTATTGAGTCAATCCATGCCTTCAACTTTTCCTACCATTATTGTTTTTTCCAGTGAGTCTTGTCTTCTCATACTGTGACCAAAGTGTGATAGCCTCAGCCAGATTCTCAATTCCAAAGTGTTGCAGGGGCCCGATTTGGTTTGGGACTTTAGCATAGGAGGAGAAAGGGCTCCAGTCCCTCCCCCCCCGTATACACCGTTAAAGTAAATTGCATTTATCAGTAACCACTTTCAAATTCTCTCTTCCTTACCCCATGTTCACTAAATTCTGCATAATTTTAATTCTGTTAAAAACATTTCCGTGTGTGTGTGTGTACACATACATATACTCTGAGCCTTTCATTTTTTGCCACTTGGATGTTAGCAATTAGGAGGTTCATCTAAACATTATACCTAATCTTTGTCGTTTACTGTCTTTGCTGATAGTTAATACTACGTTTTGATTCTTAGGTTCTATGATGTTTCAGTATTTTGTAAAAGTGGTCCCAACAGTGTATATGAAGGTTGATGGTGAGGTAAGAGCCATTTCTATTATTTCAAATATACAGCTGTGCCATATGTATTATTTGTAGTGTTTTCCTAATTTGGGAGAGGGGGAGACAAGGGCATCATAAAGTGGTGAGTGGGGAATTAGTTTTGCATGTCTGACGGATGAGTACGGTAAGTCTTTGGATTTGCCCAAGTGTAGATCACCACCACCCTGAGATTTCTGAAAGGGAAGACTGAGTCTGCAACTCCATGTGTCTGTCTTCAGTAGTGTGAAGACAGACTGTATATAGGGGCAGTGGTTCATAGCTGTGGGTTGTCTGTAGAAGTTGGGTAGGGAGTGTGTGTGTGTGTGTATATGCAGGAGTTGGCAAAGTGTATTCAGCGATGTCTCTAGTTCTGAGAGTATGTGAGTACAGTGATTTTGACACACCATAAAGAACATATAGCTATGTTTTACTCTTTAAGCTATTTTTCATGCTTATGTTTTGCTAGGTGGTGAGAACAAACCAGTTTTCAGTAACACGGCATGAAAAAATAGCGAATGGCCTGATTGGAGACCAAGGTCTACCTGGTGTATTTGTGCTCTACGAGCTCTCTCCCATGATGGTGAAACTAACAGAGAAACATAGGTGAGCATGAACTGGGACATGATGGAAAACTGAGGCTGCCTTCCCAAAATAAAACAGTATTTATTTTATAGCTTACCTACACATTTAGACTTGGATCCCATGGTAATTCCTGTCAGTGGAATGGGGCTTCCTCCCTCTCCGTGCAGCCCAAAATGCTTCTCCTGGTGGACAGAGGATAGCATAAGATGGGAGTTAACGTCTGCAGCAGAAGGGGGGATCCAAATCACAGGCTTTAGACAAATTGAGGCCTCATGCGTCTACCAGTAGTCATGTGTTTCAGATTCTGTATGCAGTTGTTTCTTAAGTCCTCCTTAGAGAAATTGCACGTGGTCTCACTGGACACTGAAGGCAAAGAAGTAAAAAAAGGGGGGGGCGTCAGACGGCCTATTAGGAGATTCAAAATGAACAGTCTGAGGGAGTCTGATTTGATTATGAAATCTGAATAGATTGACTATAGAGGTGGTTCTTCAAGTTTTCTTTTGAGCCACCAGGATTCTGGGTGAGACTAACTATTCAACTAAGAATTAAAGTATGTCTGTCACTGTGCATCAGGCAATGCTCATTCTCTGTATTTGGATGAAATATTTCCTTTTTCAAAAACAAATACTGTATTGTAACCTGAGCATGGTTTTTCACCCCCATGTAGGTCCTTTACACATTTTCTCACTGGAGTCTGTGCTATCATTGGAGGAATATTTACAGGTATCTTTTGTTTTGAAAAACTGAAACCGTCCACATTACCTCTCTCTGACTGACAGTTAACTTTTAAAATGTGATCATAGGAAGTTCTTAAATCCTGGTGTGTTGTAAAACAGACGAGGATTTTTAAGCAGAGGAAAGAATCATCACTAGTGCAACCTATAATGGTTGGAAGACTCTGGGTCAAATCCCTTAGTGTCATGAAGCTCACTGGGCCACTCAGCTTAACCTACTTCTCAGGGTTGTTGTGAGAGTAAAACAGGGAAGGGAGAACCACGCACACCCTTCTAAGCTCCTTGGAGGAAGTAGGAAGGCTAAAAATGTGCTATTTATTTAATCATTAATGTTGGAAGTGTAGGAATAATAGTAAAGGGCCCTGTTCATACGAGGCGTTTTGGGCCGGGAGGGGGACGGAACGGGGGCGGAGCAAACGGGCGCGATCCCACGGCAACATCTGGGAATTGTTGCCTGCCCGTCCCTGATCCGTCCCTACCGCCGAAAACGCGCACTAAAAAAGAACCACCTACCTAGGTGGTTGTATCCATTAGAGCGCCGCAAGCCGGGCCGTGGGATCGGCCGGCGTGTCTTTGTGCCGGTGCATCCCGGCCCCCTGCCGTACTGCACATGCTCGAGCATGCGCAGTTCGGCAGCCTCCCCCTCCCATCCGACTCTTCCTCCCCGGCATCAATGATTTTTCCCCTTGTTTGTGTGCATGTGTCACCTTTCAACTAATATTTGAAGATATTTAAGATGCATAGCAATAAGGTAGACCTGCTAATAATTAATTCTCTTTTGAACATTCTTAATGCTTGTGGGTTATTTCAGTCAATTCTCTTTTTTGGTCTTACCTTATGGGATATTTCAGCAGCATGAGTTACTAATACCTGGCTTTTGCTCTAATTTAATATTCAATCTATTTATAGCCTATTGATGTTCTGTTTGTATTTAAATCACTAATATTTTAAAGAACTTGAAGTGGAGCCAAAGAATCACAAGCGGGGCAAAATTTGCAGAATGAGATTCTTTCCCTCCTTCTGCAACCCAGTGAGCCCCTCCCCCCAAATTCTTCTCCTAGGGGCAAGGGAATACTCACAAGCAGTGTATGTAGTAGAGGTCTACGTTGAAGGGTAAATTGGTAAACATTTAAATTCCTTCCCTGCCAACCTAAAGCTGTTTCAGTCACATAAGTGGCACAGCACCAGTAGAAGAGTACTATTGGATCCAACTATTCTATAGTCAGCATTTGATTATGGTTGTGCTCATCAAGAGTGTCACCTGCAAGTATTACTAGGCAACAGATTTAGCCTGTTCACTGTGGTTCTTCAGGTAGTACAGCGGCTACCTTTTCGCTTTGACAAGCGTAGTAATCTCCTCTTATTTATTGTTTTGATGGTATTTATTTATTTTTGTTTAAAACATTTTTATGTCACCTGTCCACATGGTGGTCAACAGGAGAAACATTTAAACAGAGAGCCAGTTTGGTGTAGTGGTAAAGTGCGCGGACTCTAATCTGGGAGAATCGGGTTTGATTCCCCACTCCTCCACTTGCACCTGCTGATGTGACCTTGGGTCAGTCACAAGCTCTGGCACAGCTGTCCTTGAAAAAGAGCAGTTTGTGTCAGAGTTCTCTCAGCCCCACCCACCTCACAGGGTGTCTGTTGTGGGGAGGGGAAGCGAAAGGAGTTTGTAAGCCGCTCTGAGACTCCTTTGGGTAGTGAAAGGCGGGGTATAAATCCAATCTCTTCTTCTTCTTAAAAATACAGTTTGGTGTAGGGGTCAGGAGCACTGACTCTAATCTGAGAGAACCGGGCTGAGTCCCCACTCCTCCACATGCAGCTGCTGAGCGACCTTGGGCAAGCCGCTGTTCTCTCAGGAGCAGTCCTCTCAGAGCTCTCTCAGCCCCACCTACCTCACAGGGTGTCTGTTGTGGGAAGAGGAGGGGAAGGGAGATTGTAAGCCACTCTGAGACCTCAAGTGAAGGGCAGGGTATAAATCCAGTCTCTTCTTCTGCTTTTATTATAATCTTCAATTAAAAACATATATTTTGGGGATTTGTAGGCTGCCTCTGCCTCATGACTTCTGAGGCAGCTAGCAAAAAGCATCCTGAATACAACATCGTAAGAGGCGAAACATTATAACAGTAACAGTAATTTAAAAGAATCAACAACATGAGATCTTTTGGTTGCTCGGGAAATCTTTTTGTATCTTCCATATAACTTCATGATCCAAAGGACGGAGAAAACTAACCTAAAGCCTGGTTAACTGGTTTAACCTTGCACTTAGCTCTATAAACTGGCAGCTGGCAGTATGGAGAGTGTTCCATGATTTAGATGCTACTTCAAAAGAGGCCCTCTCTCTCTCATGTTTAGCCACCTTGTCTCCAAGAATGAGGACATGTCTAACAGAACCTTAGCAGAGGGTCTTAATTTCCAAGCAGGCTCACGTAGGAGCAAGCAGACCTTTAAAGCCCTAAATGGTCTGAGATCAAAGAACATGAAGGTAATAACTAGCACTCTGAAAGCAGCTGCCTTAGTTCTTCCAAAAGCGGTGAGATGATTTCCTAGTAACTTACTCATCAACATTCTTGCTGCAGCTTTGTGTGCTAACAGAAACTTCCCAAAAGTCTGGAAAGGTGGTCCTATGCAGAGCACATGGTAATTGTCTAATCTGGATGTGAACAGAAACATAAACAACCACAGCTAGATCTTGTTTGTCTAGTCAAGGCTGTTGCTAGAGCACCAGTTGAAGTTGGGCAAAGCTGCTGCAAGTCATATAGGAGCATTTGTCTGGGGGTTTGGCTGTAATAGCACCTCCATATTATGAGCTTCCACTTTTAGATGGAGTGCAGCCCCATTCCAGCACACTCTTAATCCATAACTGAAAGAATTATTGACTTTAGAAGCTTGCAGAACGCCACAGCATAAATACCTGAGACCCAAGTAATTGATTCCACAGCCCGCTCCCTCCTAATATTGATTGGCTAGGTAGGCAGTTGAGCTAGCACAGCATGGTGTTCCTGATTCCTTGCTTCAGCCCACCTGGTCAGAAGGATTTCATAGTCTTAGTCCTTGTAATGTAGATGCCCTACTTTTTGAAGATTGTGCTTATGGTTTCTTTTCCAACACAGCAGTCTTGCATTTAAAGAATTTCCTATTTGAATGCATTCTCTTAGTTTCTGTATGAGATGCCTAGACTGAACGTACTTCTCTTCTTTCTCTTTCAGTTGCAGGACTCATTGACTCTTTGATCTATCATTCAGCTCAGGTCATTCAGAAGAAAATAGAGCTTGGGAAGATGACATAGATTTGTTGAAAGGAAGGAATGAAAAAAGACTCCTATAAGACAGTGACTTTTCTGAATGTATCAAGAGCAGATACCTGGACTCGTGAAGAGCCCCCTGACAAGAGTTCCAGGCATGGTTTCATTCCTTGTTTGGGCATTAATTCATGGGTTGGGAGAAGTAAAACGGGATTCATTAAACATCCATCCTGTGTGACAGTTAAATCAGTGCTGTACCTTAGATTCTAGTACTTGTGTGATCTTTTGGTGTATCTCTCAACCTCTGGAGTTTGAGACATGGAGCAGTTGAATGCAGCTCATTTTTAAATGTGGGCAACAAATATTTTCTGGTTGTACTTATACCCAGTGCTATCCTTACAATGTGTGTGTGGAACAACTTCTCAGGAAAGTTTTAATAACACTGTCAAATATTTGATACCTTCCTACATTCCAGTAGAATCATGCTAAGTGTGCTCCCCTCAGCAGGTTTTCATTTTCTGTTTCCTTTTCTTCTTCCTTGGCAGCTTGAACACTAAGCATGCACTGCAGCCAGTGCCCCTGATTTTCAAGTCTATCTCCACCTCCGGTGTGTGCTGTTCTTTGAACGGTGTCTTTTCTAGCAAAGATACATTGGCTTGATATAGATTCAGCTCAAATCTAGCTCTTCTGCTGCAGACCTACACAGCTACTGGCTTGCTGTACATTACAATCTTATGAACATAAGAACATAAGAGATGCCAATGTTGGATCAGGCCAAAGGCCCATCCAGTCCAACACTTCGTCACAGAGTGGCCAGAAATACCAGGTGCCATCAGGAAGTCCACCAGTGGGGCCAGGACATTAGAAGCCCTCCCACTGTTGACCCCTCCCCCCCAAGCACACAGAGCATCACTTGCCCCAGAGCCCCTATCTGTACCTTGTGGCTAATAGCCACTGATGGACCTCTGATCCATATGCTTATCTAATTCCCTTTTGAAGCCGTCCATGCTTGTAGCCGCTGCCACCTCCTGTGGCAGTGAATTCCATGTGTTAATCACTCTTTGGGTGAAGAAGTACTACCTTTTATCCGTTCTAACCCGACCGCTCAGCAATTTCATGGAGTGCCCACGAGTTCTTGTATTGTGAGAAAGGGAGAAAAGTACCTCTTTCTCTACCTGCTCTATCCCATCTATCTCTATCTTGAATGACATTGTGAAGAGACTTCCTGGTTAACCAATGTTGTTGACATAGAGACTACTTTAAGCATATTGTCCACCAAGGTCATCCATCCATCCCTGATCAAATGGCTGTTTTCCTTAGTGTTAAACAAGACCATCCTAAGTGTTTTATTGGTAAATGGCAGCCATGGTGTTCTGTTTTTTGGTTCAGGAGTGGGGGGTGAATTCTTCCCACCCATCCCCAATTTAAACCTCAAAAACTCCCTAGAATTGCCCTGCTGGGGGGGACCTTGTATGTTCCCCTAATTGCTTGTATGATCCCTTAGTTGGACCAAGTACCAGCTTCAGAGGGGCATTTGAAATTGGGTGAATGGAGTGAGGAGGAGGATTAAACCTGTGTCCTGGTCCCTATTTGAATAGAGAGGCATCCGTGTTATTGCGTGTTAATAAATACTCCATTCACAAACCCACAGCGTCTTGTTTAAGGCTTGGTAGTGCCAGTACTCATGCCCAGACTCTTCCTGTCTTTCTGTTCCTTGAGTTCTTTTACCCCAGGCTTCTAGCCTACTCTGCCTTCCTGAAACATCTTTGTTTGGCTGCTCATTGCTGAGGATATTGGTTATAATGCTACAACACAGCAGTGTGTGCTGTCACATGGTTGCTAGAACAGCAGAACCACTACCAGGCACAAAAGTAATTTCATCTGGCAATACTGAATGTGAAAATGAAGCAAGACAGCAAGGAGAACATATTTAAAAGGCAGACTGTTCAGGCAGAAATGGAACAGTTGAGAGGTTTATTGTGCCAAATCAGCTGCATAAAATCTGAGTGAAGTAAGGCCTGTGTCTCATATGAACTTGACAATCTGCTATTTATGTACACTCTTAGAGAAGAGATCTAATCCCAGGATACATGATGCACTGTGCCCTAATTCCATGCCACAAAGTGAAAACATTTTAATGATGCAGATGCTTCCCTCCACCACTACTGAACATCCATGAAGGATTGGGGCATAGATTGTACACATGTGACTCATGATGACTACTTAATACTACACTTCTCTGGTGAGGGAGCCAGTTCTGGGGAATGAGTAGCAGCAGCTATACTGTAAAGATAACTGGGTCTCTCACACAACATGTGACAAAAGTAGAGCATTCCGGAGGCAAGTGGGTAATGCTGCCCATTCTAAGTAACACAAGTAATTTGTTTGGTTACCAGTTCTGCCTTGTCATGTTAGACTTTTATAAGGGTCTTGCTTAAATGTTGGATTCCCCTTTTTTACAACTGTGTCTTTCTAAGGGAAAAAATCTGTTTGAGTTAGAGTCAAATGTTCATACCAAGAAGAAAGGCATTACTGTTATGGCAACTGAGATTGATCTCCCAACATTACTTGACTTTCACACACATGTTTTATGATACACTGTTCTTTTGAAAAGAGAGACAATAAATTCTTGCTCAAGGGCAACTATAATTTATTATCATCCTGTCTGCAAGTGTTCCTTTTACATGGTATTTGCAGAGTGGTGTTAAAATTGCAACCTGATATAGGAATGCCTGTTGCAGGGTAGCTAAACCCTACCTTGATCTCCAGGCCGTTCGCTGTTGCTGCACAAGAGACTACCAGAGAGGGCAATTTAGGATCATGAAATGAAGTGTGTGGAGGTTCTTGCTGGGGAGATGAGGGGCAGGTGTCTTGCCTGTAGATCTGGTGCAGGGAGCTCAACAAAAACATTTGCCACTGTTCAGACAAAGGCTGTACTCATGAGGGGAGGGGTTGGTGGTGGAGCTTTGCTGCCAAATTCTGAAGTTTTGTCCCCTTTTTTCAAATGCAGCAATAAAACTCATTCAGGGATCCTGGTCCTTTGATGTTCTCTTTGTTTGGAAGGGGCAGGTGGCAGCTAGTTACAAATTTTGTCTATACTTAGTTACCAACTACTGAATGTTAAAGATAAAGCTCGCCCTGAATTTCTTAATTATATCATCACTAGATATACTATTCCAGATTATTTGCTTCAACATACAGGGACCAGTACCAATCTACGTGAATGGATATTTAGAGAGGATGCACTTATAGATGCCACACTGATCTCCCAATTGAGGTTTGCTCCATGGTTAAAAATAATGAAAAAGGACCATTTTAAGAGCCTCGTATAACAACATAACCTCGTATAATCTCAGGAGATCCCTTACTTCACTGTGCTTTCAAATGATGCCTTCAGAGATGCTAACTGGTCGCTATAAAAAAATTCCAGTAGACCAATGTATCTGTATATGCGGGCAGTCAGTGGAAGACCTTTCTCACTATATCCTGGCCTGTCCTTTATATGCAGAACCCAGAGCCAAATTTTTCGCAAAGATATTGACAGCCCTATACCCCCTGTCTGATTATGACAAGATAGCCTTTATGCTCTCAGACGAGGATTCCTTCATCTCCACAAGATTGGCTCTCTTTGCCTTGGCCGCTAGAAAGATGAGAGCAAAGAAATTAAACTGTACCATTGCAACAAGTGAGAGATTTTAAAAGGTCTTATCGGTTTTAATTATTAGAGGCCAAGATAGTCTTAACAGGTGTTTTATTAGTTACATCTATACCTACATCTGACATGAGCTAATATAACCTAATAATACATTACTATACCTACACTCTAATAACACATTACTCAGAATTTATTAACAATTCTTGGCTGCACCAACTATGCATTTTTGTGAGTAGTTGATTACAGTCTAAGTCTATACCAGTGCACATTCTCTCAGAAGCAAGTAAGTAACCATGCATAAGGCTGTACTTTTTCTCTGGACTAGAGATGCAGTCTAATTCTCAACATGACCACATCTGTGGATACTTAAATCCAGAGAAAAGTTCCAGGTTTGCAGAAAAATCTAAAAAAAACAAAACCCAACCCCTCTGCTATTTAAACCCCCCCCCCATGTTAGAGGCAGCACCTATAGCTTTACAAAACCATTTCAGACTGGGATCTGGAAGACCCGGGTTCAGATGCCCACTCTACAATGGAATCTTGCTAGGTGACTTTGGACCACTCATACACTCTGTTATGGTTTCACTCCCTCACCCCAGTCCAGGGATGGGAAGAGAATCCAAGCGTTCAGGAACAATTAAACAAACACCAGGAAAATGTCTGTACACCCTCCAGGCCTTACCAATAGTCACTGCCACCAGGATCTTATTAACCAGTCCCACAGCAGAGCTCAGAAGCCAAGATCCCAAACTCCTTGCTTTATTGGACTGACCACGTTACCAACTCTGTACCAGGGCCGCAAACAATTATCACAGTGGTAGGCTCCTTAGGCGAACGGCCTTAGGCACGAGATTCAGTCTTAGAGATCAGGTTGCAACAGAGAGAACAGGTCCAGATAATATTGATTATATATTATCTTTATTCAATGCACAAGCATGCATATAACATGAGACTAGCAAAAGATAAAAAACAATAGATACCTATAGCTTGTTCAGCTCTAGCTACACACTAGAAGTAAGTCATAGTTACCAGGCTTTCAGAGGTATCAGATGAAATAGTCCAAGGTCTCACCAGGGGATCTTGAAAAGGAACCCCATGGTGCTGTGGGCAGCTAAGTCCAGCTTGGCTGCCTAGCAAACAGTCAGTCCAAAAGAACTCTTTGTTTTCCAGAGAAGAACGCCATTCTCTCCTCTAACTCCTACATTTCCCATATAGATCATTGCAGATATACCCCCCCTCCGTCACCACCAGGCATGGCCATTTACCCAATAGTGAGAGAGTGGGAAGGCGTTCCCATCTCTGGTTACCATGCGTTGTCAGGCAAGGTATGTTTTGATTGGCTAGGAGTTGGGCATCCCACTCCAGCCTCTGCTATTGACCATGTGTCATGTCAGGGAATGCTTTTGATGTGTTAATGTACTGGGCATAGCTGTCCCAAGCCTGGGAAGGCGCCGGCAAGTCACTCTCTCTTGGCAGAGGTGTCAAAGTGTCTTGTATATGGAGATGCGGCCTGGCCATCTGGCAAGCCATTTGTACAGGTGACAGGAATACCACTGTAGTGTTACCAGCGAGGCCATATGGCCCAAGCCGGGAAGATTTTAGAAAAGGCTTTTTCTATACACTCAGCCAAACTCACTTCACAGGGTTCTAAAATGGAAAAGAATGATGTAAGCTGCTTTGGATCCCAATTAAAGAGAAAAGTGGAAAATAAATGAAGTACATATATATAGTGAAGATGGGAGGGTGTCAGAACCCACAGCTAAGAACGAAGTACACGCATTCAGGAACGGTTATACTTTTATTGCAAAGCTATAGATGCAGTAACACAGGCACTGTTAGGAATGGCCACAGCCACTAGAGCATAATAGGATATAGGGTATTCATATGCACCCCCCCCCATGGCATTGGCCAATTAGGGACCCTCCCGCATGCGGGATAAGTCAGGCAACCGTTAGGTGGCTAAAGCTGAGAACCAGGAGTCTCTCACGGTACATAGGAGCCCTCCAGACAACACAACCTCCTCCTGCACATCTGTAGAGATAAGCGTTTCAGCAAAAGGGAGAGCAGCAGGGATAGGAATGCAATAACAATTAACAAGACACAGAATGAACTCCTCAACCCCATGGCAGCATAGCTGACAGAGGGCGGATAAAATGTAGGTTGGTTGATGGGTGGGAAGGAGGCAAGGAAAGCTGAGGGTATGGGGGTTGCCAGGAGGAGGGAAAGATGAAATAATGTGGGGAAGGGAGTACAGGGGAAAGTGAGTTGCCCCTCGCAAGTCCTTAAGAGTTCTCCACCACACACCTGGGCCAGGCCTAGAAGCCAGCACCACGCAATTTGGCTAGACTTTTTACAGAAAGAGACTGCCAGTGGTAGGGAAGGAAGGAAACCCTGAATACAGGGGTGCAGATAAAGATATGTTGGCTGGTAGGTGGGAAGGAGAGCAGGAGGCAAGAAAGGAAGAGATGCTTTGGGGGCTTTT